GCTCGAGAGTCCGGGAACCAGGAGCTTTTGCTCTGGACGCTTTCGCGATCCCGTGGGGGGGGGGGTGGAGGGCTTACGCCTTTCCCCCGTTCGCGTTGATTCCCCGTGTGCTCAGGAAGATCAGGGAAGATCAAGCGATGGTGATTCTCATAGCTCCTTGGTGGCCGGCGAGGTCGTGGTTTCAGGACCTCCTGACCCTCCTGGTGGGCACTCCGTGGTCGTTGCCATGTCATCCGGATCTGGTGTCGCAACCTCTGTCCGGTATTCTACACCAGCGGCCGGAAATCCTCCATCTGACCGCTTGGCCGTTATCGGGGAGAGGGCTCGTTCGTCAGGTTTCTCCGAACGTGCTGCACAATTTCTAGTCCAGAGTAGACGAGAGTCGACCAGGACGGTTTACAACTCCAGGTTAGATGCTTTTCACACTTGGTGTGAGGAGGTGGGCGTCGCCCCTAGAGAGGCGTCTTTACCTTCTATTGCTGACTTTCTGATCTCTTTGTATGACAAGGGGAGAGCTCTGTCGACGATTCGTGGCTATCGGTCAGCTATAGCTGCAGTTCATTCGGGGTTTGCCGATGGTGCTTCGGTTTCCTCTGCTCCTCAGCTAGCGGCTCTTTTGAAGTCTTTCTCCCTTAAGAGACCCTTCTTCAGACCTCTGACGCCAGCGTGGAGTTTACCCAAGGTTTTGGAAGCTTTAGCACGCCCTCCCTTTGAACCGCTGTGTTCTGCGACGCTTCTGCATACTACGATCAAGACGGTTTTTCTCATGGCAATCGCTTCTGGTCAGCGTAGGAGCTCACTTCATGCCCTTTCAGTTGCCCCTGGGCATATCCGCTGGGAAGGACGTGGGGTTCGTTTGATTCCCAAGGCTTCTTTTATTGCTAAGAATCAATCTGACACGTCGGGTTCAGTGGAAGTGGTGCTCCATGGTCGCTTCTCTGAAGGCGGCTTCGTCGTCTATTTCTCATTAAATTGGTTAGTTTGCTTGGTTTTTACCACCCGGCATTAATCTGTGCTGGTCTATAGCAAAGTTGGATAGGTAGATACGTTGATTTATTGATGTAAATCATGAAAATCATTACTGATTTTATTATTTACGATATAAATCTACGTATCTACCTATTTTCCCTCCCTCCATCCCCAGCGCCTTTACCAAGGTGTGTTCTAGGGAACTCGTGATAAAGAGGAAGAGGTTACGTTGGCAGCGCTCGGACGCAAGGGTCACGGAGGGCGCTATTCGGCGGGGGGGTATGAGCAATTTTGGCGATGTGTTTTAAGTTTCGGTTATGCAATGTTGAGGTGCAACATAGCAAAGTTGGATAGGTAGATACGTAGATTTATATCGTAAATAATAAAATCAGTAATGATTTTCATGATTTAGAATATGAAGGCATTTGAAGAGCCATGCTTTTCAGAGAACATGTCTTAACTGATGTTCTTCCACACTTGCATAATAAGAATGAGTACTGCTCACAAATTATTTTTCACCTCTTCCCAGAACTCAACCTAGCTTTGTGTGGTCGAGTTGTTTCAGTTGGGTAACTGTGTTCACATACGTATATAGGAGAAGCAAGCTACATGCAACTAGCTACACACAGAAAGCAAACGAGCTAGCTAGCTCAAGCGCCCGGCCAGGCTAAAACACTACAAATTGGGGAAAAAAAATGAATAAAAATAAATGAGATATGGCCGAAAGTGCATTGCCATTGCGTACATAATCAATTAAAATTTTGATTAAAATCTAAATTTGTAAATTAACCACTTGACTGTTCACCACGTACATGTACGTGCTTAGTGCATTGCACTTTCAAGACCGTAGCACTGCATAAGGCCTAGCCCTACTCAGGGTGCTACAAGAATTTTTTTCACCACTTGCCCTGTCGGGCAAGTGGGTTTTCAATTTACTTGCCCAAACAATATTTCCACTTGCCCAAAACTTTAAAGCGAAAAAGGACTCGAGGTTAAAGCATTTATTATCTCGTAATGATAAGTTAGTGTTTTAGATAGCAAATTAATGCACATACATGTACAGTGTAACTACTGAATAATAACCTAATATGTCAAAGAAAATGGTCAACAAAGGATGGTTGAAGGTTTAAAAAACGCATTTTATTGATTCTCCATAAATAATCAGATTCACATGAATCTCGGCAAGGTAGAATTTTTGTTTTGTAATATGGTTCAAGCAGGTTTAAGTTTTTAATATTCAGTCATGTAAAAAAGCATAATGACCCTGTTGTAAAAAATATGATACAAACATGTCATTAATGGTAGCCACATGTACCATGGTGCAACATCACATGTGTGTCTGTGCAAGCCGCTGTCATTTGGAAACGTAGGCTAATTTTCAGCTGTTAATAATTTGGGTCAACTCTTCCATCAAGAAACGTCATGTAAATAATGGGTAATCAACTATTTTAAATAAAGTACGGACATTTTTATTTCATCATTCACTGCTATAAATATCATGCCAAAATTTGTAAATTCTTACTAAATAATAATATTGAAGATATTTTACGATAAATCTCGGATAAGTATGCGAAAACTAGACTAAACAACGTCGCTAAAACCATGAAAACAAAACAACAACGGCTTATATTCTGGGGGTCTCGATACTATTATCAAAATGACTCGCTCGGTCGGATCTTGAGACCGCAGTAATAAATTGAAAACGAGACAAAAACATTCATCTGATTTATATGAGCAGCGAGTTTTAAATAATATGTTCACAATCATTAACAGTCATTATGAATAAATATCAAACATTTGACTTTTTGTACTTACTAGAAAATCCCTGTTGTTTATTCCATTCCGATTCGCACGTGTTCATTTCCCTAGAATAATGACGTCATATTTGGCGTGATTCAACCAATCGGCAATCAGAGAATAGCAAAGGCCTGTCGGTGCGGCCTGCAGAGCTAGAGAGAGAGAGCGCGAATAAGCTCGCAGCTGGTACGATCGCGCTAGCTGTCTCTAGCTAGCTCACGGCCGGCCGTGCGTGGAGGCGGAGCGGCATTCATGGCTTGAAGTGTCACTGTTGCATGCGCGCTGAGCTAGCTGAGCTGGCTAGCTGTCTGTGAAGTTTTTTCGAAATCGGAACGATCGCTTTTTTGCTTCTGGATTTTGACGACGGGTAAGAAGTTGACGGGTGAATGGTAGAGTTCTTGGACACTAGGAAATTACTGTAAAAGTATCACTTGCCCGAATCGGGCAAGTGATAATTTGATTTACTTGCCCGACGGCTCAATTTGGTTGCCCCGGGACGTCGGGCAAGCGGGTTTGTCGCGCCCTGCCCTACTGTGTAATTAACACTGCAATGATGTTATAAAGGTCTCGAACAGTAGATGGCGCTCTTCCAAAAAAAATACTGGCTTTTTTTAGTACAGTGTACAGTTTTTGTTCAGTTTTTGTACAGTACAAATATGCTGTAGCACAGGCGGTATAAACGCGTTTTAAACCAATTGCAGTCAAGTGGTTAAACGTGCAATATGATGATATCGAAAAATATGATTCGCCAACGAGATGTACAAAATCATATGTATAACTCATACTCTATCCACATATTAACAAAAATTGAGGGTATCCGTGCATTTAAAGAAGTTATGGCCAATTAAACATCTATAGGCAGGTTTTTACGATTTTTTGCAAATGTGCGCACGTGTGTTTATATATCTTAAAAGCTCTAGTAAAAAAGGAGCAAATTGAAAAGATTAATTTTTTTCTGTTTGCATTTGCATTGATCTATATAATTAACCAAAATACATGTAAATTTATCCAACATCAATATTTTAGTCTTAGCCTTATAGATTAGTTTTATATATATTATGACCTAAAATGGTTCTTTTTTGTTTTAAATTTTAGGTTTTGTTCTTTTCGAGTTTTCCATACCATGGAGGGGAACCCTTTTTCAGGAAATGAAAGATGCGATTACGATTAACAGTTTGATTTACAATAAGCATTCCACTTGTCAAGCAGCATTTTATAGTTTTTAGTCGAATTTCAATCGTAATAATTGCACGATTAAGCGCTGAGCGCTCTCGCACTCTTCTGCCAGGCAAAACAGACCTACTTGGCACACATTTTCTATGGCGTGAACAGTGGTCGCCCTTTTTTGCCGGGCAGAAAAGCTCCATAGTGTAAATTTGTTCCCAGCAGAAGTGCGGAAAAAGTGCTCATATTTCGTTTAAATCATTTTTGATAATATTAAAGTTGGTAATTCTTGAAGAGGTATTTTATCATGAGGTGAAATTTAAAAGATGTTTGTACTGTAATTGCTTCAGGAATATGCTGCAAAAAGGAGCATAATTTTCATTCACGTTTTTCTCGAAACTGGGTTTTCGTGCGCACAGGCATTCACGCCCTTCTGCCGGGCACACAACGAGTTGTCCTTGAGATTGAAGTTTTTAGGTCTACACTAGCTGTAGCCTAATACTGAAGGAATATGTGCCATCCATGATATAATTTGAATACTGGTAGTCCCGGCCCAGTGGAGAATGAGATGGGGAATAAATGTTATTTTTGCACACAACAAATGGAAGAGTTGTCCCTGACTATGTCACAATCCACTGACAAAATTTCCAATTTGAGAGTTACATAGACTTAGTGATTGATCTCATATTTCAGACATTCATAAGTCTTTTATTGTCTGATTTTGTTCATTTTTCATCAGTCTGTATGATAATGTGTGTTATTTCCCAAATCAGAATAATCCTATTATGATATTTACAATGTAATTAGCTTTAATTCATAAACACTTTAAATACATGTGTATCTGGCCTATCTTCCCGGATATAAACTAGATCGTCACATAACATTTCAGCCCGTTTTATCTTTGAACAAAGTTCAGTATTAAATCGCAAGAGTCAAGTCAAGGGGAAAATATTTTAAAGAGGGGGAAAATGTGAACCATTTTATGTGCACTGTACATATATGCACGTCACTGATATGAGAAATCCGCATAGTAAACCGCAGAATCCCCCCTTTTTTCAATTACAGGATGTCTTGCTGAGGTTATCATTCATGTACCTCTCCAGTGGACTGAGTTTCTGTTGAATGAGAAGGACATCTTGCACCATGGATGGATTCTGCCTTCTCTTTCTGCTCATTATTCTCCTGATGAGATCTGGTGATGTTGAAACCAACCCTGGACCAGACAGGTCAGTCTATATTTATTTGAAGCTTATTTCCTGCTCTTTATTGCAACAGTAATAACCAGTAGGGGTTTGTAACGATCACTCATCTAATCACGTTATGATGTTAAGAATACTTTTGTAGACAAGCTATCTAATCTACGTAGTATAGGGTTGACGCTACGTTTTTACAGGCCAATAATTAACGAATACTCCCGCTTTGGCAAGGATGCAACATCAGGCGCGGATCCACGGGCCTAATTCTTCCGGCCCGGCTATGGCAAGCCCTTTGTGTAAAAACTAGATAAACTCTGTTTTTCTCAGATAAACTCTGTTTTTCTCAGATAAACTCAGTTTATCAGTTGATAAACCCAGTTTATCAAGAAAAACTCAGTTTATCAATAATAAACTCAGTTTATCAACAGATAAACAGAGTTTATCAGATAAACAGAGTTTATCAGTTGATAAACTCAGTTTATCAGACAAACTCAGTTCATCAGTTGATAAACTGAGTTTATCATTGATAAACACAGTTTTTCTGATAAACTGAGTTTATCTAGTTTTTACACAAAGGGGTTGCCATAGCCGGGCCGGAAGAATTAGGCCCGTGGATCCGCGCCTGTGCAACATGACTCTTTTTGTACTAAACCCTACATGTTATCACTTAAAACAAATACAAGTGATTGTTCATGAGACTAGGCATGACCTATATGTCATATAATTATGTACTCTGTTTTTTAGTTTATATGTACTCTTGGTTATCATCAGTAGGCTTTAATGGGTGGGGGATCTAGCCACTGACTGTCAGATAGAGTTGGCCTTCATGAACACGCCCAAAATCATGGATGGAGAAGCATGCATGATTCTTTTGTGTTAGTCTCTTCTCAGTGACAATTTACATGTATCTTGTTAATATCTGCGTCAAGTACCATCACCGTTCATGTTTTTTAAATGGTGTTTCAACAAAATGTTGGGTCACGTAACCCAACACGATCAAATTAGATAGCATATACGGTATGTTCTACCAAAAATCTCAAAACATGATAATGTCATTATGTGAGTGATCGTTACAAGCCAGCAGTATGATAAGTAAAATATTGTTATTATTATTGAAGCAAGGGGATGCTACACTTTGCGTTGACTTGTTATTATTAAAGCGTAACACCAAATACATGCATGCATTGAATTTATCTCCACATTTGCATTAAAAATACATTAACACAGTTATATACAAAAGTAAAAGTATAACAAGTAAACAAACATCACATACTAATTTTTCTTCCATCTAAGTGCACTGCTTAAATAAGGTATAAGCCTAGTGTGTCTATGCCTCAATATACCTTTAAATAAATCTTATCAGAACATGTAGCTTGATAACATCAGGTATGCATATATGAAGCTGCCGGTACTGACAGTGCTCATCTGTAGGAGCTAGTGTGCATATTTCACCCAAATTCAGCAACTGAACTAAAGCTGCAAAGTATGAAGGCGCTTATAAATGAATTATGAACAGTAGGGGTTACAGCACAAAAATAAATACTTAAATACTAAAAGGAAACCTTACCACAAAGAATAAGTGTAGGTATTCTTGAGAATGAGATGTATTTCTGCATTATGATATCCTTACCAAAGTTTACAAGAGATATGTAACAAATAAAGATATTCTTGGCATGATGTAATGTCTTTTTAGCATGATATGGGCGCAGCCATTTCTTGAAAATATGACGTACCAGGTTGTACATGTTGTACAAGTATCATATACCAAACTTTATTTGCGAAGACTTTTTAATTCAAAGACAAACCTCTACTTTTCAATGAGGGAAAATCAAAGCTTTGAAGGTAAACATTATATTTGGTGAAAATATATAAAAGGCTAGGGGAACAATTAGAACTCATTTATTTGAAAATATAGTAGTTGACAAATCTATTTCATTTATGCGAGACCTTCACCCAAGATGAGCACCAACTTCTTTATGCAATTTGCGTTTTGGCAATTGTAGTAGGCATCACAGAAGAGCTGCGTTGAGTGGGGACATGCAGAGCTCAACCATGCAAATTCTCTCTTTATCAAGGAAGATTTTCATATCATGGAAAAAAATCAATATTATAAAATTATATGTCTCTCGAAAGCTCAGGATTCTGTCTTTCATGTCATGTCATTTTCATCAAAATCCATCAATTACTTACGACACAGTTGCTTAAGATTTACCCTCTAATTCGTCACTTCGTTTGTCCCCATTTTTTTTTATTTGATCGCCGATTCGTATTGCTAGTTTTAGCTCAATGCGCTTGAACACCATTTGTCTTTGAGTTTTAAAAATCCACTGGTTGGAAAGAGCTCATCTTAAGCTTTATTTTCATATAAAAAATGATGGGGGTATGTTTTAAAAAGATCGTGAAAAATTAGAGTGATAAATTTGAAACAATTTTTCTATATCAGAAAAACATACTTTTAATTCAATTTTTATACGCGAAGAAAGAGAATTTACTGGAGAATACGATCATGTAAATATTAAGAATGATCGCGAGATGGTGCTTGAGCGCAAATCCGATGAATACAGCTGTACCCTGACACTATGAATATGACGGACAAAGAAAGCAGACAAAATATACAGTTCCTCAGGTAGACAAAGGAACATCCCTTCACTGCTATTATGTAAAAATGTGTAGAACATATGCATGTGACACCTGTTCTACACATTTTTACACAATAGCAGTGAAGGGATGTTCCTTTGTCTACCTGGACTTCTTGAAGAGTTTAAAGCCATTTTCAAATGCCAATTAATTTAAATGGATTTGATGGTCCAAACTTACAGAAATAATTAATCTATATATCTATATACCCCAGATATGCCGAAATTCAGCCCCTCTTGATAGACACTCTTAAATCTAGCCATGTTTCAAAACCCATGAAAACTTGTTCCGGCGACGCAAAAATAGCCATTTGTCACACGCATCAAAATGGGCTTCATATACCTTTATTTGAAAAGTTCCACAAAAAAAAAAAAATTGTCAAAAGAACCTGAAAAAAAGGCATGTAGAAATCCATACAGAGAACAGATTTCTTGAAAAGAAAGGTGATTCATCAATTAATTACAAAATTATATCACCTTGAAAATGGCTAATTGTCAGTATAGCCTAATTACGCAAAATTTGACCATTTTGTCTCTTATATAAATGGCCGTATTTTCAAAAGTACTTATTCAAATTTGACAAATGAGGTATCAAAATTCTTCTTTTCATGTGCTCAAAAAGGAAATGGGCAGGGGAAGTGAAATTTAGAAACTTTTAAAATTTCACTGTGATACATCTTTCATTCACCTGCTAATATCTTTGTAGTACAAAGGATATTAGCAGGTGAATGAAAGACTTCATCACCACACACACCTGGGAAGGAAACATCCATACATTAGAATACTTAATAAACGACTTTGCATAGTACACTGTACGCACTTTATTAAGCAGATGGTGATGCCCATGGTGAGAAACTTTACATTTTCTTGTTTCATGTCTCTCTCATACACTTTGGTGGAGGATCTTGTAGATTAATGGGCAAGAATACAATAAATCATTCAGAATAACTAAAGTTATTTCTTTGGATCATGTTTCCTTTAAGAGATGCTTGCTAAAATCTCTTTATTTTACAGGATTGTCAGTGAAGAGGAATTTATAAAGCTGTCCAAGCTAATTGAACCTAGCTACTACAACAAGTTGGGCATTAACCTGGACATTCCCATTGCAAAGCATGATCAAATCAAGGAACGTAGCCTAAATACCAGTGATGCATTGATATCAGTGTTCACGAGATGGAGCGTCAAACAGCCTCCGGGCACAGACATCAGGTCTCTTCTTGCAGAGGGATTAGAAAGAAGTAACTTAGGGTCCCTCTCTGGTGAGCTACTCGCTGGCAGTCTAGTCCCGAAGAGGACAGGTGAGTATAAGAAGAAGGCCTTTACTGCCATTGATAATATATTGCTTTTGCAGGCAGCCAACAAACATTGTTTTACCTCGTTCTCATTTGGTACAAAATACAAATGGGGTTATTTATAGCAGGACATTCCAGTAGACGAACAGCCCACGGGACTGTACTGCCGGTCTGATGAACCCTCAAAATAGCTGTCAGAACAACCATGGGCGCTAATTCAGAATCGTATCCATACTTTGACCCGTAAGATATACCGTACTAAAACATACCAAAAATCAACTAAATATTCATCAATTGCTCTACTAATGATCATGATTTAAAAGTTGTCATGTTTGTTACCTGTTTCGTGTCAATTTTCTTATCTTTTTTGGAGTATTTTTCCTAAAAACGAAGACTTATAATATACACTTTCTTACATGATTCGCGGCAAACTGCTTACTTCTGCACAATACAATAGCGATTGCGGTGGGCTGCGGGCACGCGCGTGTGTGTAAAGTTAGCGACTGTAATGATGAATTGCTTAGATCCTCATTAAGGTAATCTAAGCAATCCATCATTACGGTCGCTAACTTCACACACGTGCGCCTGCACCCCTCCTGTCGGTACGGTATGCAATATCGCTTGTATTGTGTAGTAGTTCGCAATTTGCCATGAATCCGGTGACAAAGTGACAGTTCTGACAACTTTTCTGATGGTTTGCTAGATAGATATTGTTGGTCTTGTGGGCTGTCGGTTGCAAGGGCTGTGACCATTAATACTTGGTTACAGACCCACTTACTTTGTGCTGTGTAAGGTAGAGGATGAAATTAGTTTAACATGAAGCGGTGTACAATTATTGTCATTCAAATTTCTTGGCATTTCAAGCCCAGCCACTTATGGCCTTTTTATGCCTCCGTTACAAAGTATCCGGAGGCATTATGTTTTCGGGTTGTCCGTCCGTCCGTCCGTCCGTACGTCCCGTTCTCGTGATCGCGTTATTTGAAGAACCAATTGATGGATTCCTGCCAACCTTTGGTCATGTATGTATCTTGCATAGCCGATGAACTGATTAAATTTTGGGGTCACGAGGTCAAAGGTCAAAGGTCACAGGGCTCATTATGTATGCAAAAACAGCTCGTGATCGCGTTATCTCAAGAACCGATTGATGGATTCCTGCCAAATTTTAGTCATGTATGTATCTTGCAGAGCCAATGAACTGATTAAATTTTGGGGTCATGAGGTCAAAGGTCAAAGGTCACAGGGCTCATGTTTGCAAAAACAGCTCGTGATTGCGTTATCTCAAGAACCGGTTGATGGATTCCTGCCAAACTTAGGTCATGTATGTTACTTGCAGAGCCGATAAACTGATTCGATTTTGGGGTCATGAGGTCAAGGTCAAAAGTCATGCGGCTCATTATGTATGCAAAAATAGCTTGTGATCGCATTATCATTAGAACAGATTGATGGATTCCTGCCAAACTAAGATCATGTATGTTTCTTGCAGAGCCAATGAACTGAGTAGATTTTAGGGTCATGAGGTCAATGTTCAAAGGGTCAAATATGTATATGAGAAATTGCTTGTAATCACGATATTCTGAGAACCTGTAAATGGATTACAATTGAACTTGAATCTGAAAAATTTCTTCTGTTTTGATTTGTAAAATTGCTCAATGACGGAGGCATCATTTTCGACTGCGCGCAGTCGAAGTTCCATCTAGTTTTCTTCAAGTCATGGTCATATTTTGATACCAAGTTTATGAAAATTGTACCATTACATAGTTCTTTCTAGAATTTCTGATTTTTGTGTACAAAACAAAAAGAAAACTACATTTCTCCCAGTTCTTTCTATATCTTGTGGAATTGTTCTTCGCGCTATAATATTTAAATTGTATAATATTCATCATTATTGTCCATATTGTTAGTGATGGAAATTAATGATATTTACATGTAATATATAGATACATAATTAGACAAGTATATACGTTCATACAAAAAACAAATTCTATTGAGATACTCTAAAGTTAGAAAAGAAAAGAAAAACATAGACATTTCATGCATCAAAATAATATACATGCATGATGTGTAGTTGTGTACAAATTATCATCTGTTCTGGGTCTGGACTAAAACGTCATGAAATGTAAAGTTGACAAACAACATCAGAAATGTGTTCTTATGTTTACATGTACTGTGTAGGTTATGAATATCCTCAAACTAAACAGTTTGATATTCAGGAAAAATTATCACACTTATGTTATTAAATTTTAAGGTGCACCTGTTACAATGCCAGGATCACAGACCCAACCACTTTCTCCTGACCTGATCAAGAGATGTGCAGATGATTTCAAATTCAAGTACAGGACAACTCTCTGTAAGATCAGAGCTGATCCTCTCAACCCTGATTCCGTTGAGCAATTCCCAGACATGTACACAAACCTTGTCCTGACAGAGGAATACCGACAACGCAAGCGACCACTTGAGTACAGGTATCTCTTTAATCTTGAAGTCAATGGGGAGTTCCCCAAGCGGATCATGGTTGAGGGAGAGGCTGGGACCGGAAAGACAACATTCTGTGCAAAGATTGCCTGGGACTGGATAAATGACAGTCCTGTTGTCCCAAAGTTTGTGTGGGTACTGGTTGTCCCTTTTCGTGAAGCCAAGCAATACACGATCGGTGAGATTGCCAAGTCGTATCTCTCCAAGAACAACCCAGCAACAGCCTACCAGATCACTGAGTACATCCATGCAAATCCAAAAGATGTATTCATTGCGCTTGATGGATTAGATGAGTTTGATGGCAAGGTTGCACTGCAAAGGAAATCTGGTTTAAAGTCAGAATGTCACCAGCCAAAGTCATCAAGCCAAGCAAGTGTCACTTTGCAGCCGAAAGTCAACATTTCAGAGGCAAGTGGAAGTTCTTCAGAGAGAGGTGAAATTGCACTAAGAGACATTCTTTGTTCAGATAAACTTGCCGCTTGCCCGGTGTTGGTGACAAGTCGCCCATGGAAGGTCTCACAGATTAGATGGAATGATAGTCTAAGAAAACAGTACACTTTCATTCATGTGGAAGGTTTTAGCAAGGAGAATGTGGAGGTTTACATTCACAAGTACTTTGAAGACGATGAGGCCACAGCAGATCAGCTTATCCGATTTACCAAAGACAATGTCATCATATCGAAGAATATGGCCCCGTATCCTCTCTACATAGCTATGCTCTGTCTTATGTGGAGAGAACGTGATAAAATGTTTAAGTCATTACAAACTTTTTCTCAAATATTTGATGAAATGTTTCAATTCTTGAAGGTGCATTATGCTCAGAAAGAGATCACAGATTTAGAGAGCCCATCTTTCCTAGCCTATCTCTCTCACATTCAGAAGCTCATGAAACCAGTTGCCAAAGTTGCTTTCATCGGGCTCCTAGAAAATACCCTTACTTTCAAAGAAGGTGATTTTGAACAGTGCTCAGACTCCATGGAAACAGCTTGCAGACTAGGGGTGTTGTCTCAGGAGAAGAAATTTTCATTTACATATGATAAAACCAGTATGTTCCTGCAGTCTACTATCTTCTTCCCACACAAACTTATTCAGGAGTACATGGCTGGGATCCATCTTGCTTCCCTGTATGAATTAGATCACAATGAATTCAACAGGCTGATTGAGCAAGTAGTGCTGCCTAGGAAGGAAGAGTTTAGGCATCTCCTGTACTTCACTGTATCACGGGACAAAACCATTGCAAACCATGTCATGAAATGCATGGTACAGGCCCTACAGGGTAACACCCCAAACCCAAAGGAGATGGATTTCTTGGTTGATGTAGCCTTTGAGAGTCAGGACCTAGATACCGCAGCCTTGGTGTCGGGTGGAATGTCATCTCTGACAATAAACCAATCCATGACAGCACACACCATAGCAGGTTATATATTCACTGGACTATATAAAGAAGTGGTAAGTTTGATATCTGACATACATTAACAAATATTATTACTAAAAAGGGATGACCAACCTGATATTTAGTTGGTTTGAATAGAAGCAGAAACTGAGAAAAACAGGTCATTGACAGTTTTAGCAAGAAAAGATTAAAATGATTTAAATTCATAACTTTTCTTTTTGAAATCGGATATTGCTCAAACTTTAAATAATTTGTTTTTTTCTTCATTTTCTGCTTTTATTAAAACCAACTTAATATCAGGGTGGACTTTCCCTTAAATTCCAAATCTATCAGGCAGCTTCATGTATCTAGACAAGCATGTTTAACCCTTACTGTACTGGGGGGGGGGGGCCTGGGAGGCCCCCCCCCTCGACATTTTCGGAGATTGCGCCGCAACCGCTTGGAATTTTGAATTGTCGTTTCATGACTTTTTTCCCTCAAGTCTTACGCACATTTTGATACCATTTTCGTCAAAATCGGATATACCTGTAAGGCGTTACATAACAATTAGTATGCGCATGTCATAAAAAAAATTTTAAAAAAATAAAAATCGCATCAAAATTTGCATAAATTGTCATTATTAATTACATTAAAATAACTTTTTTGTGTTAAAAAAGAAGTTTCATATGAATAATGAGTTATCACATTCAAAAAGTGGAGTTTGACACGTTTTCTGTAAAACGCATAAAATTAGCGCATTTTGCATAATTAATTAGGCTAACGACAAAAATTTGCATATTCGGAAAAAACTAATTATACCATCTTGTTCCTTACGTAGATATATACAAACATGCAAATTTTCAAATAGCCCAGTACAGTAAGGGTTAAAGAAAGGGGCTTTAACATAATAATAATAATGATAATAGTGGGTTCTTGTATAGCGCTCATGTCTGTTAGACCTGACACTCCTGGCGCTCCGTAATATGCCTATTTTCCACTCTTTCATCCATGACATCATAGCTGGTAATCTGTGGTATAATCAAATGAAATCAATTTATTTCCTTTTTTAAACAACATGTATAAAATCAATGACGAATTATTTTTGTAAATAAAAGTGGCAGGGATCTTAAATGTAAGCAATGGATTCTGATTTTTTCATAATATAATTTTTTGTTTGTTTTGTTTTTGTCTGGCTTTTGATTTAAGATCTATCTTAGTGTTGATCGTGGAAAATTTGGACCAATTATATCACATGATGTGGCTGAGATTATATGCTCTGGGCCCTCTCTAGACCATGTTGCACTACTACAAGCAGCCTTGCACAGTGACTTCTATGCAGTTCTAGCTAATGAAGGAAACAAGTCCAAGGTAAGTGAAAATACATATTGTAATGTTGTAGTCTAGCCTATGGGGGAAGGGGGCTCTTTGTCAAGACGCAGAACATCAATCGCTTGAAAATCATGAGAAGTCAGGTCGGGTCGGGAATTTTTGGTGTCCTCTAGTTGGCAAATAAATATATAGAGGAAATGAGGAGTATGAGGCCACCAAAAATTTGTTTGGTTGTCCTTGATCGCCCGCTCGCCATTTTCAGCTCGCTCGTCATTTTTGGCCCGCTCATATTTATGCCTCCCCTACAAAGTAGCCGGAGGCATTATTTATAAATATTTTGTTATGATATATATTTCTTTTGGAGTTGTATGAATCACTGTTTGCATACATGTAGGTCCAAACTCTCACCCTTGAAGATGTAAGGTGTCCAACATCAACTTCATCACATCACCTAGCAGAAGCTTTGTGTTACATGCCAAGCCTGACTGACCCGACACTAGGTGGAAAAGATTTCCAGGGGGAGTTCTATTCTACACTGGATGCAAAGGCGTCAACCTTGCAGGTATGTATGTGTGTTTTTACTCTGATCTATATATCCATACCTTGGTGAATTCATGTACACATGTAGCAGTAGAGATGAGTGTAAGGAGTTATGATATTTTAGCAACAGTCAATATATTTTTTTCAATGTGTTACGTTTTTTATGAAAATATATAATACTCTTGGCAGATAAAGGAACTTTATTATAAAGAGGGTCTTTCATGTCCAGTGCTTGGTACATAATTCATATCGCTCAAGTTAAAAATATGATTTTCTGTAAAAAAAAAAAAAAAAATCACTTTTAAAGCCCCACTGAACTACTTGTAGCTACTTTCTCCCTGTCAGTGACCACCCTGGGTGAAATAGTAGTAGTAGTAGTAGTAGTGGTGGTTATTTTACCTGACTGCTAAGAAAGCATAAATGCCCGTTAGTAAGCAACCAGAGGACCGACGGCTTAAGATGATATGGGAGAAACGACGATGTGAACGTAAAATGATAAAGTCTTCCCTCCAAGTAGACAAAGATATTTGCCAGACAAAATGCAAGGTCTACAACGAAGAGATCAACCAGGCCAAGAATCAGTACATACAGGCAAAGATCTTAGATTGAGATCAGAAAGACCTGTTCCATGTTGTACGTCAACTAACCTCACCAGTACATGCCCACACCCTTCCTCAACACGAATGTTTTGCTCAGCTTGCGAATCGGTTCGCTGATTAGTTCCAAGAGAAAATCAAACATCTCCGAGATGACCTGAATCATATGATTCATAATGACCTATCCGTCGATATCTTAGAGACACATCAATCATCAATGCTAGAATTCGATATCACCACGGAAGATGAGATTCTCACCATTCTTAACCCTATTTAGCCCGGGGGGGGGGGGGGGGCTTTAGAAGCCCCCCCCCCCTCGACATTTTTCGCGCTAATTTTTTAACGCAAGAAAATCTTGCACTGAAATTTTGTGACTTTTTTCTTTTGAGTCTTGCGCATCTTTTGAAAGAAATTTTTCGAAAATCGGACCTACCATTACAAAGTCACGTGTCCTTTTGTCTTCGCATGTCAGCCCGAAAATCGCTCATTTTTGTGATTTGTGTACAAAACATATGGAAATCTCATTTTTCAAATAAAGAGATAAAACATTGGTTATTTGGTCTTGTTTATAGTTTAGGGGTTTATTTTGAGGTCAAAATAGTTGAATTATAGTTGGAAATGAAATAAAACAACAAAAACAATAAAATACATAAGTTAAAAAAACAAAGAAATACATAAGAAATTATCAAAACAATAGATAACATAAGGAATAAACCCTGGTTTTTCAATTTGTTGTGTTGTATTATTATTCCAAATGGTCTAACAAACATATGTAGCTAGAAAGAATGCTTAAATATGAATAATGTCTGATTTATGGGCAAAAATGTGAATTGTATGACCTTATTTGCATAAATTACCATAAATATGCAAATGAGTGAATTTTTCAAAAAATTGAAATTACCATAGTATTCTATACACTTCACTTGACATTTATGCAAATTTTCACGGCGATCGGGCGTTTCACGGCCGAGATCATAGGGGGGGGGGGCCTTAGAAGCCCCCCCCCCCCCGCCCGGGCTATGCAGTTTCAAAATAGCCCGGGCTATATAGGGTTAAGTCCACATCGACATTTTCCTGTGACCTCAACCCTATGCCTGTACCACTTCTGAAGAAGTGCTTTTCTGAACTTCTAACCGTGATGACTAAGATTGTCAACGAAAGTCTACAATCTGGGGTTGTTCCTGTTTCGCTAAAGCAAGCTGTCATGATTCCTAAGCTGAAGAAGCCTGGTCTCTCACCTGAAGAACTTGAAACTAGCGGCCTATTTCTAACATCAGCCACATTAGCAAGGTCATCAAAAAGGTTGCAGTTGCCCAGATACAGGAATACCTGACATCACATGACCTGCTTCCTCAGACACAATTGGCATATAGATCTCACCACAGTTTAGAAACGCCCTTACTGCGCGTCAACAACGACATCTTGATTGCGTTGGACATGCACTTGGAAGCCATACTCGTCCAATTAGACTTTACAGTCGCTTTTGACACGATCGATCACCCTCTCCTCATAGATCGATTGTTCCGTCATTATGGACTCGCAGGTACTGTCCTCAGCTGGTTCAGATCGTACTTCTCACAACGGAGTCACATCTTTAAAGTTGGGACCAGTACCTCACAAACTGTCGAGGATACTTGCGGCGTTGCTTAGGGTTCTGTCATGGGGCCACTTAGTTCACCCTATACACCTAGTCAAACTAGTACAGACAGCCTTTAAAGGATTGCCTCAGAAAAGGTATTTAAATTTTCGATGGAGACTAACTAGAGTTGTTTAATTAAAGGGCCCCTCTAACCAAAACGGGCTTGAAATTGAAACAAAAAGACATGTAGAAGAATTTTTGATAGAGATTCCCAATATGACAATGATTTCTCTTAAAAATCTTCAATATTTCCGGAATCTAGCTTTAAAAATGACAACTCAGCAAACTCAGAAAAAAAAAAAACTTTTGGAGCTGTATTGCGCAATAGCATATGAGGTCACTGCAGGAGACACCATTGGCATTATAACCCAACATAACATAGCACTTGAATGGAGATACCCTACTATAACATACCAACAAACAACTAAATCTTCTACAATTTTTCAAATAATGGTAAATTTTCTGGATTATTTTTCCTAAGCACGAGGGCAGAAGTATACATGCACTGTCTCACAGGTTTCAAGGCAAACCGCCGAACAATAGTGCATACCGACGATGGGGTGCGCGAGCGCGTGCGTTTAGTTAGTGACTGTAATCTCAGATCCTCATTAAATTAATGCGAGTAATTCACATTATGAATTGATAATCATTATTGTTCAACAGCATTACATGCCTTAGACAAGCTTTTATGTCTTCTGCCTTGTCTCACCGACTCTAAGGCTACATGATGTTCTCTACCATGAGCTTTCGCTTCTGGTAACAAAATCAATTGATAAATAACCTATTTTGTGTTTCTTTGACCGACGTTCAGCCTGCAACAAAAACGATCTCGATAAAAAGGGGGGTGCTGAACGCTCGTCATATCTTGAGCTGAATCACCTTCCTGCTCCCACAAAATAATGGGGAAAAATTAAAAATAGAAAGCTGAAAGTGAAACTTTGACAAATTAGAAAAAAACACCTAGCCAAGGGTGTGTTTGGGCGTCGCCTCCAGGACCCCCCCCCCCCCTGAAAAAAAAAAATATATAAAAAAAGATAAATAAATAAATAAAAAAGGGAGAAAAGGAAGGGAAACAAGATCATAAGGAATGAAAACGAAAACGAATGAAGCAGAAAGTCAAAGGGACCTTGCTTGTACTACAGCTCTCTTATTTATTTTATTCATGTGAGAAGAATATCTGTTTAAACCCTGCCCCCCCCCCCCCCACTCCATGAACGGAGGGATACCATGCACGTTCCCAAACTCTCTGGCTCGTAACAAAAGAAAAAGGTCTACCCATATTGACTTTACATGCTTAAATGCTGTATTTTTATGTTGACAGGAGTATTTAAGAGAGGTTAAAGGTAATACAAAGTGTCGATAGAATTAAGCGAAATAGTGAACAAACATGAAAACCCATCTTATTTACGGCAACGCAGTTTAGAATTGATCAGTACCAAATGGCCAATATAACTACACATCTATACAGATGGGTCAAAGGTTCCAAGTTTTGGAATAAGTTCTGCTTCTTTTTATGTACCAGCATTCTCCTTTCAACAAGCCAAACGATTGGCGGATCACACCTCATCTTTCAGAGCCGAATTGGCTGCAATTGTCCTTGCGCTTAATTGGCTAGAGAACATTAATGTGTATGTTGGCATTGTTATTTTTTGTGATTCCGTAAGCGCCCTGCTCGCCATAAAGGATGAAAAAGATATTACATTTGTAACTGAAATTATTACATTAAGTACAAAATTATCGTATCAAGGAAAACACATACACTTAGAATGGATTCCTAGCCATTGTGGTGTACACGGAAATGAAATGGCAGATTTTTATGCAAAATCTGCTTTACAAAATAACATTGAAATTTGTAATAAATTATCCTTTTCTGAAATAAAGAGTATTATTACCAGCAAGTATATAAAACTCTGGCAAGACAGATGGAATAATTCTGATAGCTCTCTTAGACATATACTGCCTACAGTAAATCAACCATATGAATGTAAGTTGAACAGATTTGAAGAAAGTATTCTCCATAGATTAAGAATAGGAGTGATAGGTTTGAACTTAGATCTCTTCAGATTGAATATACACTCGACAGGCCATTGCAATAACTGCATAGGACGTACTGAAACTGTAAACCACTTTCTCACTGAATGCCCAAAGTACATAATAGAAAGAGCTATGTTACTCGTAGAAACTGATTTATCACATCCACAGGAAATCATGACACTACTTAAACTTTCAGAAATAGTTAAACAAAAAGCAATAGTTCGCTTTGTTTTAAGAACAAAGCGGCTGTATCAAAACCATTAAATTGTTGTTGAGTTTTTTATTTATTTATTTTTTTATTTTTTTAATCTTCTCTTTTCCTTTTTCTTGCACCAATAAAGCCCACAATACTTGTAACTAATTTGACCTTTTACTTTTTCTAACAATTCGGTGATCACCTCCAACATCACATGCTAGCTGGCACCCCCTCACCTATGCCGGAGTGACCTAGGTTAAAACCGAAAGTCTGCGAAATATACCTCAAAGACTGGTAAGATGGCATTTTTGAAAAGGGTGGGGTAAGTGCGAAGTACACATGTGCATACGTGAGGTGATATTTGAACGCGCACGTGCGCGTGAACACAAGTACGTACGTTTAGTTTTAGTTTATAGGCGTTTTTCATTCACAACTTGCTAGGCCGTCGTCTCTTTCCAAAATTATTAATTTATTGAATCTTCTCTCTAAAAAAAAGTTATAGAGTCTAAAAAGAAAAAAAGAGGAAGGAAAGAGGATGGAAAGAGAAAGAATCCTAAAAATAGTCATTTATGACATGAAATTGTACATATGTATATATATAAATAATTCATAAAAATAGTGTGTGGCAAAAATAGTCAACTGTGACTGATTGCCAAACAAAAACAAATCAAGAAGAAGAAGAAGAATTTTGGTATTGGGTCATGAATTTGGTTCCAATGAACATATTGGAAACATATGCGATCCTGCAATATTCAGTGATCGTTGTCACGGTCGAAATCGACTCTAAAGTTATGAAACTTTAAATAATAAACACTTTATGTTGAATGGCTCCCTCTCAAGGTCAAGATATCAATTGAGTTATAAAACAATGTTTATTGACTCAAATCGACCGATAAGCTATTCTCGTTCGGAAATTATATACCACAACTACATACTCCGAGATTTTCATGGTCGCAGCTACCATTGTACGGCCGTAGGAGCTATTTGAAATTTATCAAAATTTACTGGGAGCACCGGTAAATCTTTATATTCGATTTTTCTCGGAAGCAGAAATGTTTTAGGGGCTAAAATTTCTGGTGTTTTTAATTTATCCACAGGGGCATCCAAATATATCAAAATTGTAAAGAATCACTATCCACCCATTTTTCAAAATTTCCCAAAACTTTGTAATACCTTTAAAGGTTGTCAGTTTTTTTTCCACCCGCCTAGCTAGGATTTTTTTTTAGGGGGCGGTAGTGATCAACCTTTCCGTGGTAATCATTTACAGAGCGCGCTTCGGGAGGTGGTTGGAAGCGTGGAAGCTTTGACGTTTCATTAAATTATTAGAGAAAGAAGACGATGCGTTGTACCATTCTCGACTCTTAATCCTTGTCTGAATTTTCAAAAATGTTTCTCTGTCTGCTCCTTTTTCTTTGTACGTCCTCTTACTAATTCCCTTCTCTCTCTCTCTCTTTTTTTTTTTTGGGGGGGGGGGAACGCCCCCACCGCCCCCAAGCTTTGCGCCTATTTTTCCCCCTCCAGTAGACCTTTCTCTCATCAACAAAACTGGCTAGTGTACCATAGGCTTACGCAATGTAATGAAATTTCTTTCAACTCTGTACAATGGTTAATGCCAGAAGGGGCGGCAATTTCAGAGGGAATTCTGAAAATAATGCAGAACTAAACAAAATTCTACTCTGAACTGCTCTAAAAATTTGAAACATGGAAAATGTTTTCGATATACTTTGAAATTACAAAGTATATGTTATGTGGGGTACATATTAGGTAGGCTCAGCAGAAATTATCATTATGTGTTTAAAAGAGTTACCGGTATTAAGACATTTGAAGACCAACTAGAGCGCATGATCCGACTACCTCTCCAAACATAATCCTGGCTACAAGGGTGTTTGTAATGCTTATACATATTATGTACTTTAAAACAATTAAATGCTCAATCAGGTGATCAATGTGCTTTAGTATTTCATAAATTCAAATGAATGAATATGTTCACAAGTTGGCTATTTTTGGATATTTTTCTAACAGATTCAGAATGAACGCATGGAGGGTCGGTGTTTGGACAACTTCGATCCCATGGCATCCAGGAATCTCGCCAGATTTCTTTGCATCCTTCCCTGTCTCACTGACCTCACGATTAAGGATTCACATGAAACTCCTTCATGGTTTCTCGAAGACTTCTACCGGGAGATTGCTCTTCAGGGTCCTTCTTCAATGGTATTTGTTTATGTATCTTCTTTCTCAAGACTTCATGTTTATGATAATTGTTTTAGCTGTTTTAGATGTTCTAGCTTTAAATTGTACCAAATGGCTTATATTTCTTTTGGATTGATGATCACCTTTCATGTAGGGAGTACAGTAATTGTTATATTCATTATTAATTTATTCATTTATTTGTTTATTTATATATATATATATATATATATATATATATATTAATCTATCTATTTACCTATCTAGCTATTCATCTATTGATTTATGATATTTATACAAAGTAGCACATTTTTACCAATGTTAGTCTCCCATGAAGTAAAAACAGTTTAGTAAAAAACAATATTCATAAAATTATCAACATAAGCTCATAAGAGGAACAAAATACCATGGAGGAGAGATACTTCAAAATTATTGGTATCCTTGTTTACAAATGCAGTTTTTTCGAGAAAATACTCTTGGATAGGCTAAGATTTATACATACGATAATCATTACTAAACTAGATGTTATTAATCATGATGTTTAGTCATTATGACAATAGAAAGCCTCAACAGTCCAGAAAGCTTGTGAGTACAGGGTCGATTTTCATACAACTTAGATCCACACTCGGGGTACCAAAATTGTTATATTGCCCTGTATACATAGAATATGTTACAAAATATGATAGCTATTTGTGTTTGCGATGGAGAAAGAGAGAGAGATAGAATACAAAATAACATTGTTTATTTGTTTGAAAAAGTTTTGCCTTATCTTACACACAGAACCATTTCTTTAACAAGAGGCTTCACTTGGATGAAAGGTCAGAAGAGTTGAGGAAAATGGATGTTAGGCAACAACGTGAATACATCGGACATCTCCTTCAAAGTAAAGTCCATCAAGGGTCCGTGCAGCACTCAGGTCAGAAGGCAGGAATCGTGCCAGAGTCCGTGCAGCACTCAGTTCAGAAGGCAGGAATTGTGGCAGATTCGGACCAAAGTAAGCATGACGAAACATCTTGTCAAAGAACTCAATAAATTCTTTTTAGACCTCTGTAGCATTTGAAGTGACACCATCATATTTAGATGTTCCCTCCATCAGTGGGACTCAAACCACGAACCATGTGATTCACAGTCTAGCGATGAATCCAATAGACCACGATACCTCTAGATCATGTTTTATGTTTTGGAGCAAGCGCCATCAGCGTCTTGCTTGCGGATACCGGCGCTATAGAATCATTGTTATCATCATTATTAGGTATAAACATACAAAATTGTATAATTGGATGATTGATTAAAGGTTGCATATCCCTTAATGCAGTACTATAGACGTTTGAAATATAAACGGTCTTGTCAAAGATAAGCCTGCCTGTGCATATTCGATACTAATTAAACAAAATTATCTTAGACTATTGTTCCAGACAAATCATGAAAATAGAGTGCCTGTTCACAACTTTTATGACTGCGGTTCATCTTCACTAAAAAGTGGTAAAACGCAACTTTAATTAGTAAGAGTAAATCCTTGTATAACACTCCATTTTAAAATTATAATTAACATCATAAGCTGTAAACACAAATTATGTTTTTATGCCTTCGTTACGAAGTAGCCGGAGGCATTATGTTTTCGGGTTGTCCGTACGTCCGTACGTCCCGTTCTCGTGATCGCGTTATCTGAAGAACCGATTGATGGATTCCTGCCAAACTTTGGTCATGTATGTATCTTGCAGAGCCTATGAACTGATTAGATTTTGGGGTCACGAGGTCAAAGGTCAAAGGTCACAGGGCTCATTATGTATGCAAAAACAGCTCGTGATCGCGTTATCTGAAGAACCGATTGATGGATTCCTGCCAAACTTTGGTCATGTATTTATCTTGCAGAGCCAATGAACTGCTTTGAGTTTGGGGTCACGAGGTCAAGGTCAAAGGTCACAGGGCTCATTATATATCAAAAACAGCTCGTGATCGCGTTATCTCAAGAACAGATTGATGGATTCCTGCCAAACTTTGGTCATGTATGTTACTTGCAGAGCCGATGAACTGATTAGATTTTGGGGTCATGAGGTCAAAGGTCACGCGGCTCATTATGTATGCAAAAATTGCTTGTGATCGCATTATCATTAGAACAGATTGATGGATTCCTGCCAAACTTAGATCATGTGTGTATCTTGCAGAGCCAATGAACTGAGTAGATTCTTGGGTCATGAGGTCAAAGGTCATGGGCTCATTATGTATGCAAAAATAGCTTGTGAACGCATTCTCATTAGAACTGACAGATAGATTACTATTAAACTCAGGACATCTTGCAGAGCCAATGTACTGAGTATATTTTAGGGTCATGAGGTCAAAGTTCAAAGGGTCATATATGTATATGAGAAATTGCTTGTAATCATGATATTTTGAGAACTTACAAATGAACTTGAATTTGAAAAATTTCTTCTGTTTTGGTTGGTAAAATTGCTCTATGACGGAGGCATCATTTTCGACTGCGCGCAGTCGAATTCCATCTAGTTATTTGTTATTTACTTTTAAACTTCACAGGCCAATTTACTTGGAAATATATACTTTTCAACATGTTTATTACTAAAAAAGACTTTTTATATCCTCTTTTAAAAGAAACTCGCTGCAAGTTATCAATTATTAGCAAACGCTGAACTGTCTGCTTTAATTAGGTATAATCCTTTAATAATGTAAATGATCAGATGACTTTTGCTACAGCCTTAATTATATTCAGTACAAAAACATGAGGAATTATTGTTGACACCAATAAGGCGAATACGTTGTGTGAACGTTAGCTTTGGTTGGGGTATTGAATATTTGTTGTCATTTTATTGTCTACCTATTGTCACACCCTCCTTAGAATTTAATCCATTAACCCTATTAACTACTCCGAAACCGCTGCAAATATAAAATTTTCCTTTCATGACTTTTTACTTTCGAGTCTTGCGCATCTTTTAAAACAATTTTTTCGAAAATCGGACCTACGGTTACACGGTCACGTGAACTTTTGTCTTTGCATGTCAGCCCGAAAATCGCTCATTTTCGTGATTTGTGTACAAAACATATGTAAAAGTCATTTTTCCTAAAAATAGATAAAACATTGGTTATTCAGCCTTGTTTAAAGTTTAGATGTTTGTTTTGGGGTCAAAATAGTTGAATTGTAGTTATAAATGAAATAAAAAAACAAAAACAAAAAAATACATGAGTTAAAAAAACAATGAAATACATAAGAAATTATAAAAACAAGAGATAACATAAGGAATAACCTTGCTCTTCCAATTTTTTGTGTTTTATTATTCCAAATGGTCTAATAAATATATGTAGTGAAAAAGAATACTTAAATATGAATAATCTATGATTTATTGTCAGAAATGTGAATTTTATGACCTTCTTTGCATAAATTACCATAAATATGCAAATGAGTGAATTTTTCAAAAATGTGAAATTACCATAGTATTCTATACACTTCACTTGACATGCATGCAAATTTTCGCGGCGATCAGCGGTAAAACGGCCGAGATCTTAGGGGGGGGGGGTCAAATTGACCCCCCCCCCCCCCCAGTAAAAACCTGGTCTGAAATAGCCCAGTTAAGATAGGGTTAAACGATGTTGAACAATATGATTATAATTTCATTATTATTATTATTATAACATATATCCTTTTGCAAGATATTTACCTGCACTTGCTACTCTCCACCCAGGTGTTAAATGGGTACCTGGTAGGATGCGAAAGTTCATAATTATGGTTGGACGAGCAAGTGCGCGCTTGTGGAATGCTCGCCAGGGAGTGGAAATGTGCATACATTGTGTGTGGTTAAGCCTGCATGAATCCGATGAACGGGGTAATAATATATCTGTAAAGCGCTTAGGCACATCGTTGGATCGATGTATTGAGCGCTATATAAACATGGGATATTATTATTATTACAACTACTAATTTTAGTTGAAATATTATTAAAATTATTATTATTATTATTATTAATCATCATCATCTTTATCATCTTAATTATCATCTTAATTATTATTATTAATTATCATTCTTATAATAACTTTTTTTGTATTTTAATAATCAATATTGTTAATGCTATCATTATTATTATTCACAAAACATGGTTCAGTGGAAAAGCAGTGGTCTTGTAAGCGAGAAGTCCCGGGTTCAAAACCATGTCAATTCGCTCGTGCCCTTTGGTAGGGCTTTAATCCCCAAAACCCAAGTTCCTCCGAGAGGGAGTAAGCTCTATTTTGTTTTTATGCCTCCGTTACGAAGTAGCCGGAGGCATTATGTTTTCGGGTTGTCCGTCCGTCCGTCTGTACGTACGTCTGTACGTACGTACGTCTGTACGTACGTACGTCCCGTTCTCGTGATCGCGTTATCTGAAGAACCGATTGATGGATTCCTGCCAAACTTTGGTCATGTATGTATCTTGCAGAGCCGATGAACTGAATAGATTTTGGGGTTACGAGGTCAAAGGTCAAAGGTCACAGGGCTCATTATGTATGCAAAAACAGCTCGTGATCGCGTTATCTGAAGAACCGATTGATGGATTCCTGCCAAACTTTGGTCATGTATGTATCTTGCAGAGTCAAAGAACTGATTAGATTTTGGGGTCATGAGGTTAAAGTTCAAAGGTCACAGGGCTCATTATGTATGCAAAAACAGCTCGTGATCGCGTTATCTCAAGAACCGAGTAATGGATTGCTGCCAAACTTAGGTCATGTATGTTACTTGCAGAACCGATGAAGTGATTAGATTTTGGGGTCACGAGGTCAAAGGTCAAAGGCTACAGCGCACATTATGTATGCAAAAACAGCTCATGATTGCGTTATCTCAAGAACCGATTGATGGATTGCTGCTAAACTTAGGTCATGTATGTTACTTGCAGAGCAGATGAACTGATTAGATTTTGGGGTCACGAGGTCAAAGGTCAAAGGCCACAACGCACATTATGTATGCAAAAACAGCTCGTGATCGCGTTCTCAAGAACCGATTGATGGATTCCTGCCAAAATTAGGTCATGTATGTTACTTGCAGAGCCAATGAACTGAGTAGATTTTTGGTTCATAAGATCAAAGGTCAAAGGTCATGGGCTCATTATGTATGCAAAAATAGCTTGTGAACACATTCTCATTAGAACTGACAGATGGATTACTATTAACTCAGGACATCTTGCAGAGCCAATGAACTGAGTAGATTTTAGGGTCATGAGGTCAAAGATCAAAGGGTCATATATGTATATGAGAAATTGCTTGTAATCACGATATTCTGAGAACCTGTTAATGGATTACAATTGAACTTGAATTCGAAAAATGTCTTCTGTTTTGGTTTGTAAAATTGCTCTATGACGGAGGCATCATTTTCGACTGCGCGCAGTCGAATTCCATCTAGTTTCTATCTAAACTAAGGCGCCACAGATTTATTCAGAATTGACAAAAGACTTAAATCCGTTCCGTTGACATTAAGCTATGCATGAAGTCTTTCGTCTATGGCTGATTGTCAACGAAACGGAGTTACATGTGTAAGTCTTTTGTTAATTCCGTTTTTTGCTACGGAAAGCATCCAGTGAAAACGAATTAGTTTAATGAAATTATGGAAATGCAAGCACTACTTTAAACAAGCATAACTTTGTTATTCCTTGCTCATTTTTCCTGATTGAGGTGTTATATGAAAGGACAGACACTCATAACTTTTTGGTTACCTCTCTTCAAATTCATTTTAATCACTCATGCGTGAAATATGTATCAGATGACTTGCATCAAATTAAAGAGGAGGATCTCAGCTTTCCAAATATGTGTCATTTATTGATTATAAATTTGACTAAGTTATGATAAAACAACGATAATTCTTGGTTTCCGTTTTTGCTGGGTCGCACTGTATGTCTCATAGAAATCATTTTCTGATTATGTAATACATTATCGTCATATCCTCCCATTTCAAAAGGTAACTTACAAGGCCATTGAAACTGACTTATTTTAGGTTAATTTTGTTTGGAAGGAGGTTAGATTGTGTTAACAAACGACATGAGAGGAGGAAAAATTATCAAAGTAGTTTTCCAAAAGGGACCCCCCCCCCCCCCCCCCCATTTAAAAAAAGAAGCTTAAAGGTAATACAAAGTTTTGGGAAATTTTGAAAATTGGGTGGAGAGTGATTCATAAGCACTAAAAAAATTAGCTCCTAAAATACTTCTGCTTTCGAGAAAAATTGAATATAAAAATTTACCGGTGCTCCCGGTAAATTTTGATAAATTTCAAATAGCGCCTACGGCCGTACAATGGTAGCTGTGACCATAAACATCTCAGAATATGTATTCGTGATATATAATTTCCAAACGAGCATAACTAATCGGTCGATTTTAGTCAAGAAACATTGTTTTATAACTTAATTCATATCTTGACGTTGAGAGGGAGCTACATGTATACAACATACAGAGTTTATTACTTACAATTTCGTCCATTTAGACTATTTCAACCGCGGCAACGATCAGTGAATATTGTAGGATCACATAATGATTCCAATATGCTCATCTGAACCGAATTCATGACCCCATACCAAAACTTTGTATTACCTTTAACTGAAATGAAAGGATCTCACCAGGGGCGTCGCTAGACCATTTTCAGTGGGGGGGGGGGGGGGGGGTGTAGAGGCCAACGATTACCGACAAAACTAGCAACCAATCACCGACAAAATTAAATGTCCAATATCTACATATTTAACCCTATAAACCTGGGGCCGAAGGCTAAATTGTATTTCCTATGGACTATCTATAGTACTTGCGTATGCGCAAATGGTCATTTTCCTCGACGACATAAATATACGAATTATTTCGTCAACTTAGTCAGCATTATAGCTATAGATCTATATTTTAATGCAGGCGCGGAGCTAGGATCTTATTTTATGGAGGGGCGGTATAGTGAGCAAGCGAATCACTTAAAGAGCGCGCGAAGCGCGCTCATAAGGGGATGTGGGTGATACGCCTCCCACGCGAAGCGCGAAAGCTTAGACGTTTCCTTAAATTATTCGGAAAAGAAGACGATTTATTGTACCGTTCTCAACTCTTAATCCTTGCTTGAATGAAGCTTTTCCCCCTCCCGCGAAAGTTTTGACGCTTCATTAAATTATTAGAGAAAGAAGACGATTTGTCGTACCGGTTTCGACTCTTATTAAGCCCTATTAATCTGAATTCAGTTTCTCCCTCTCGCGCGAAGCGCGGAAGCTTTCACGTTTCCTTGAATTATTAGAAAAAAAAGAAGACGATTTGTCATACCGTTTTCGACTCTTACTAAGCCCTATTAATCTGAATTCAGTTTCTCCCTCTCGCGCGAAGCGCAGAAGCTTTGATGTTTCCTTGAAATATTAGAGAAAGAAGACGATTCGTTGTACCGTTTTCGACTCTTAATAAGCCCTTTTAATTTTGTCTGAATTCAGTTTCCCCCTCTCGCGCGAAGCGCGGAAGCTTTGAAGTTTCCTTAAATTATTAGAGAAAGAAGACGATTCGTTGTACCGTTTTCGACTCGTCTAAATGAAGTTTTCCCTTTTCGCGCGAAGCGCGGAATTTTTGGCGTTTCATCACAATATAGAGAAAGGAAGACGATTCGTCGTACCATTGTTGACTCTTAAACCTTGTTTGAATTTAGTTTTCCCCTTTCGCGCGAAGCGCGGAAGCTTTGACGTTTCCTTAAATTATTAGAGAAAGAACACGATTCGTTTTACCGTTTTCGACTTTTTATGAGCCCTATTTGTCTGCATTCAGTTTCCCCCTCTCGCGCGAAGCGCAAAAGCTTTGAAGTTTCCTTTAAATTATTAGACAAAGAAGGCGATTCCTTGTACCGTCCTCGACTCGTCTAAATGAAGTTTTCCCTTTTCGCGCGAAGCGCGGAATTTTTGGCGTTCCATCACAATATAGAGAAAGGAAGACTATTCGTCGTACCGTTTTCGACTCTTATTAAGCCCTATTAATCTGAATTAATTTTCCCCTTTCGCGCGAAGTGCGGAAGCCTAGACGTTTCCTTAAATTATTAGAGAAAGAACACAATTTGTTGTACCGTTTTCGACTTTTAATGAGTCCTATTGGTCTGCATTCAGTTTCCCCCTCTCGCGCGAAGCGCGGAAGCTTTGACGTTTCCTTAAATCATTAGAGAAAGAAGACTATTCGTTGTACCGTTCTCGACTCGTCTTAATGAAGTTTTCCCCTACCGCGCAAAGCGCGAAATTTTTGGGGTTTCATCACAATATAGAGAAAGGAAGACGATTTGTCATACCGTTTTCGACTCTTATTAAGCCCTATTCATCTAAATTCAGTTTCTCCCTCTCGCGCGAATCGCAGAAGCTTTGACGTTTCCTTGAATTATTAGAGAAAGAAGATAATTCGTTGTACCTTTTTCGGCTCTTAATAAGCCCATTTAATTTTGTCTGAATTCAGTTCTCCCTCTCGCACAAAGCGCGAAAGCTTTGAAGTTTCCTTTAAATTATTAGAGAAAGAAGGCGATTCGTTGTACCGTTCTCGACTCGTCTAAATGACGTTTTCCCCTTCCGCGCGAAGCGCGGAATTTTGGCGTTTCATCACAATATAGAGAAAGGAAGACGATTCGTCGTACCATTGTTGACTCTTAAACCTTGTTTGAATTTAGTTTCCCCGAAAATGTTAAACCTCTGATTCCTTTAGCTGATATTATAGGAAAGTGAAACTTCGAGAAAATACAAGTATTGTAGTTGTAGTCACTCTAGAAGTCGTCACAGCAGATACGAAGTCACAGTTCGTAGGGAAAAAAAACTTGTAGGCCGACCGACAATATACATCTCACCGACTTCAAACGTCTGCATTGATATAGTACACGAGCATCGAGCAAGAATACCGAAACAGCCGAAACAACTCCACCCAACAACCACCTTCTCTCTTTTACACCCACCCCTCCTCTCTCAGACTGTTACCTCCCCTCTCTCCAGGCGCGGATCCACGGGCCCAATTCTTCCGGCCCGGCTATGGCAAGCCCTTTGTGTAAAAACTAGATAAACTCTGTTTTTCTCAGATAAACATAGTTTATCAGTTGATAAACTCAGTTTATCAACAGATAAACAGAGTTTATCAAATAAACAGAGTTTATCAGTTGATAAACTCAGTTTATCAGAAAAACTCAGTTTATCAGTTGATAAACTGAGTTTCTCATTGATAAACACAGTTTTTCTGATAAACTGAGTTTATCTAGTTTTTACACAATGGGCTTGCCATAGCCGGGCCGGTAGAATTGGGCCCGTGGATCCGCGCCTGCCTCTCTCTCCTCTCTTTCATCCCCCGTTTCTTTTGTTTCCATTTTAATCCTTTTTTTCTCTTTTTTTCCTTTTCTTTCTTTTCTTTCTTGACCTTCTTTCCTCTCCTCCCTCTTTTTCTTTTTTTCTTTCTTTCTTCTCTTTTCTTTCCTTTCTTTTCCTTTCTTTCCTTCCTTTTCCTTTCTTTCTTTTCTTTTCCTTTTTCTTTTTTTCCTTTTCTTTCCCTTTCCCTCTCTTTTTTTCCCTCTTTTTTTTCCCTCTCTTTTTTTCCCTCCCCCTTTTCCCTTTTTTCCCGACGGCAGCGCAATTTTACCGACAAAATCCTGACAGGTGGGGGGGTGTCGCACCCCCCCACACCCCCCCTTTGGCGACGCCCCTGGATCTCACTAATATTAATTTGAAAAAATGAATCCTTTAAACACAATCTCACTACCACAAATTGCAGATCAGTATACAACTATTAAATTGAGTTAACAAGATTAAATCATTTTAAAATGTTTATTTGTGTATTTAAATGATAAATTAATGTCTAATGCAGCACAATTTTACAAGCATTAACAAACATAATGAATAAATATTTTAACGAAGTTAATACAATTTATATTCTTTCAATCAGATTCAACCGAGACATCATCAAGAAAACCTGTTTCCGCATCCCAAAGACCGTCAGCATTCACATCAGTCGAGATTCCTCCTCAAGATGGATCAGCAGCAGCTGGTGAAGTTTCTATGTCCAATGCCAGGTTAGAATTATTTCCTAATCCCTAATCCCATAGACAGGATAATTGTAAAACTGTAATAATATTCCCTCTTTATCGTTCTTAGATACATGTAGTTATCTATAAGCCAGCATAGACCTAAAGTTGTAAACAAGAATTTTCTTGATTGTTTGGGTTTTGGTACAATATTTTCATTTAAGGTTTTGCAATACTTTAATGCTTTTAATAACGTTATGTTCTCTTAGTCCATTTTGACTAAAATTCAGATTTGTTTACGTATCTGTATCGTGGAGATATGCCCCCATCTTACTTAATGAAAAAATAAAAAATAGCATACGGCTTGAAAGAATTTGACGAAATAACGTCCCCCATTTCTGGATGTATGTATATTCAACGTAGATGATCTGTGTTGCGTTAAGCATTTTTTGGCATTAAAGAGGACAGTACTCAGTTGATCCTTGCAAAAGCGGCTTCAATATTTCCATCGGGTTGTTGGTTTAGACAATTTTTAGTGAAAACATGTACCCAGGAGATAAAGGCTTTAATTAGAATGTTGGTTGGAAAGGTTTGAAGACATTGCCCGTGATAAAGTTTTATGCTGATGAAATAAAATATCTGTATTCTTGACCCTACTCAATTTTAGTCATTTTGGGCCACTTTCGGGCTAAAACTGAGCAATATGATTAGTTTTGGTCAGAGGTAATTTGCCCCTAAAAATTATCAGTAAAGTAAATTTAGTAAGCCTATTAAATGAACAAACGTGCACAGGTGCTAGAAAAAATAGTCAAGTGGACCCACCACAATTGTTATCAACTTTTGTCCGTAATCAGGCCAAATTTTTGGTTACAATCAATTTATGGATATATGTAGGTTTTGACGTCCAAATACCATATAAAAATGTGTGCTGATCAGTAGCAAGATCAGAACAATTAATCTTATTGAATGAATTTGCACAGTTAAACATAATTTTAAAATGTCTATGAAAGTAAATGGAAACACATGTTTGAAACCGATTTTAAAATATATATATATATATATATATGCTGATTCTAAAACAATTGGTTTCATTAAATTACACTGTTTTTACAATTTTGCTCATTTTTAGCCAAAAAGTGACCCTAATTTCCAAAATGTCAACATACAAATAAAGGTGACATTTTGAAATCAGCACAATGTTTTACTTGGGACCAGTCTACAAAATCTTACCTGTCACAGATTTTGCTCAATTTCAAGCCAATTTAATTCCCCCCCCCCCCCCCTGTTCACATAAGTTTGTTAAAAATGTTGCGTAAATGATTTGCTTCAAAGTAGCCAAAATGACCAGAACAGTCCAAACGGTGTTAATTCAGTCAATGAGATTGATATCAGCGCAAAGTTTATATGCAATTTGGATGTCTAAACCCACTCATCAATTGATTCCAAATGATTTCGAATGTTTATTTAAAAAAATAAATAGAATAGGTCCAGCAAATCTCCTTTACTGACAATAGGAAGAATTACCCCTGATCTTTACCAAAAGTGACCATAATGACCAAAAAGACCACAATGTTATGACGAGGATCAATACGACTTTTTCAGAATTATAGTGCAAACTTTTACCCAGGATAAGCTATACAAACCTTTCCAACCAAAATTCTGATTAATGTCCTTTATCTCATATGATAATGGCCCCTATTAGTCACGAAAGGGAGAGGCAGGAATGTAGTGTAAACAATCACCTCACTATTGCTCAAATTTTATTTATAAATTTTGATCTTTCGTTTTAGAGTTCTGAGTTTCGACGAGCAACATGAAGATGAAGGTAGGTATCTGCTATACATTTAATATTATTATTTTATTTTTGGCAAGTAAAGAAATGAATCATGTTCCAATTTCAAAGTGCAGTTAGTAGGCCATGTTTACATGTTCTTATCTATCCAATTTAAATTAAGCGATGTTTGTTTAAAATTTCCATACCACTAATTAAACATGAAATGCGAGTTTGTGTGTACTTTTATTGTAAAATCACTCTTTAAACAGTGCAGGTACCTCAGTTTTAGACATTTTTCGATAACATTTTGATGTAGGATTTTTTTAAAGAATTCCTTTATACATGAATCTATATGCCCAATTTTACAGCTATAAGTAATAAACATTATTTAAAGTGAATGTGATGTATTAAAATGATAAGTTAGATTTATCAATACGGCAGTAAACGCAGTTGAATTTATTCATTCTTTCTTTGTCTAATTCAAAATCATTTGTCAGGCCACGTCAGAGGCAGGCACATTGTTATTACCATTGATCTCTCCTTTTCTAGTGATGATCAACACATTCCCCTTTCTCCTGCAATCAGGAATCTGGGTGTTGTGTTTGAATGATAAATGAGAATGTCTGATCATGTCACCTATTTTAGTTGTACCCTAAACTGGAAATTGTCTACACATCAGAGGGAACTCAATTCGAGATACATGTCGTAATGGGGTTGGGGGTATCTGGAAAGAGGACCTAGGCAGACCCTGACTCCTACAGAATGAGCGTAATCAATCGGCTAATCTGTCAATAGCCGAAATTATCCCATACTACCCCTATTGTTTAACGAACTACAATGAATGTCTTCCAGTTACCAAGATAATTAAATATTAGATGCTTGGTCTAACATTTAAAACTTGGTGTATGTGTGTGTAAGACAGGAAATAATTGGACAAGAAGATCAGTGGCTCGAGGCCTCATTATACTGTATTCCTCCTGTCAAAACAAAACACATGGAAGAAAACCCAGAAAGAACCTGCATGAAGATACAACAAGAATACCAAACATTTCACTGTTGTATGAATTTACCAACAATTGAAGAATTATACATGTTTCCCAAACCACATGTTTCCATAACAAGAATAGTTTAAACTAAATTATTAACTCCTTTAGAAGCTCGACTTAGTAGTAAGAATATATAAACAAAAGATATGTACTAACAATAATAATATAAGCAGGGTGTCTAACCTGATTAGTTCTTAAAATGGATCAAGCTATTCATAGAGAAAAATCCATGAATATGATTTAAAAGTAAATACCGAAGGATCCAGTGTAGCATACAGAGAAAACTCCACAATGAGAAATAGACCATAATATCAACCAGATTACATTCTGAATGAACCAAAAATATATTACTACATGTACTTGATCACCAAACAAAGTTGTATCATCTTGCACATATTACAATAATGTATACTCCCGACACTGTTAACTCCTTGGACTCCCCCTAACTATATTTGTAGGCCTACTGGTTTAGGTCCAGGTGCTACACAACAATAGGGACTTTTAGATTAACACGACGAGAGCGTGGACTGCCGCGTGTGACATTGTGTTAAGGCACTGGGCCGTGCCCGGCAGTGCCTTAAAAGGACGTCACATTACCTTAAAAGGATGTCACACGTGGCGGTCCACGTTCTCGTCGTGCATATCTTAAAGTCCCTAATACCAGCCTCACCCAACTTGGTGCAGCACTGATTTAAAAGGAACATGATAATAGTTTATAGGCTCAAATAGAGTATAAGAAAACAATGATATTCCTCAATATAACTGGCAAATTCATATGAGCAAAATAAACACAGGCCTCCAGAATTCCTAGGGAGTAATTGACCTAAGAGTTAATTGTCCTAGAGGTGATTGTCCAGGGGCTGATCGTCCTAGGGGTAATTTTCAGGGGGAAAATCGTGCTTAAGAATTTATTGAAAGTATTTTAAATACACAATGCAATTAACATGCATAGCAAATAATGCGATATCTCCTCGCATCATAATTGATACGTGTTTTGATAATGTTACTTTTTTTTAAATCGTAGACAAATACCATTCGGAAGGAATCTTTGACCATACTGGAGGAGAGCTACAGATCCCGTCATACGGACTCACTCTTTCCATTCCTCCCGGTGCACTACCAGAGGGTTCTAGTGAAACGATTACTGTAAACGTTCTCACAGACATCCCACCTGAAATCACTCTGAAACACGACGAGACGCTCGTTACATATGTCTTCCAGTGTCTTCCGTCAGGATTACAGTTTGTGTCAGGGAAACCTGTCAGATTGAATATACCCCATTGTGCCAACCTCATTGATCCGACAAAAGTACAGGTCGTACTGTACTCCTTGAATCACGGTAAAGCAATTTGATGAAGAAACCAACTGTTCATTAACATGTCTAAATCTTATGATAATAGCTGTATTTTGGAAATTCAGTTGTTATCACATACCCTCCAACTAAATGGAAAGCATTCCAGCAAGTCGCTATTTTACAGGCATGAAAATTGTAATCTAACCAAACTGAACACATCTTAGGAAAATCCAACTGAGTGGAGTAAAAGATTGTGATAGACGAAAATGATAATACGGCTAGGGTCTAGGCCTAGGACAGAATGAAAAGTATTATTAGTAGTATAGTTATCATAATTATAATGCAAATGATGCTGATAATTATTCTAATATTAATAATTCAAATATCAATAATGACAATGTACGTTGTTTACTCACGTTAAGATCATCAGCGGCGTTGCTACTACTCCTAATGACCATGCAATTATTATTGCCCCAGCAATTGCCAAGGCACCCATTTACATCTGGATAGCGTTCAATTAGAGACTCATCTGATTGGTGATGTAACTTGAAGAAAAAAAAAAATCTTCACAAATAATCTGATAATATAGATAAATATAGAGAACAAAAAGAGAGTAAATTCAGATCTAATGATCCATGTTAAGGTTGGAAGTGTATGCAAACGATGGCAGGTTATAACAAGAAGCAGAAATCTCCACCAGTGTCAGAATATATATCTGTTCTTGATACAGCCAATGAATTTAATTTGTTTATGCATGATTTGATGACAAATGTTTTGATGCCGAAAGTAATAGGATTGTAATACTTTAAAACAGTTCAATGATACACCCACTGTATTTCAGTACAACGATGTTGCCATGTACTTCACATGAACTAATCCACACACAAAAAATCAATGGGATCGGACAGTATGTGCCTGGCAATTATTAGCCACCCTTTTTGTCACTCTTTTTCAAGAATCTCTGAATCCAAACCATGTCCCACTGTGCTGGAAATCATCGACAATAATACCAGGGGCCAAAACACCCAAAGCATCTAAACCAAATGACTATCGGCCAATATCCCTCACCTCATTGGTGAGGAAATGTTTTGAACGCATACTTCTTCAGAAGCACATTTTCCCACATAATATACTGCCTGACCAAGGAGATTTGGATTTGCAAAATCTCCTCGGCCTGACATAGATCCTCTACAATTTGCCTACCAATCACGCAAGTCTGATGCCGTGTTATTGTTAATTCACTTGGTTGCACAGAATATTGATATATTGGGTCCTTATGTTTGTGCAACCATGGACCCTACTACAGATGGACTAATAATGAGGGTCTTTCTTTGATCATCATGACCACCGCCACCTGATAATGTGTATGTTGATGAGGGCATTCATTTGACGCGACAATGTTGATTATGTAATCACTCATCATCGCAGACAAATGAACTTTTACATTTAATCAGATTCTTTTCGCTGGGCCAGGGCCCAGAGTGCAGTTTCAGGAAAAGTATCGTGATTTAAGACCATTTTGAGGATCAGTGAACCCCAAATTATGACAAATTGTGTGATATTAGATTGATTATTAAAGAAGTGGACACTGGTGGACATACATCTAAACTTCATTGCCAAACTTTGAAATATACATATCCTTTACTGTCCTATTACCTTCTATTCCTTACAAATGGATAGGATAAGTTTTAAAATGAAGTTTAAAACCATTGTGTTACAGCCATATTAACAGGTTTTGTCTTGAAAACTACTTCTAAAATGGTGCTAAGGTAGCGACTTTGATGCTAGATGTACATTGAAAAATAACCAGAAAGTTTGGGTGAAAACGGACCATTATTTATGATATAAATTCGGAAGAACTAACCTGATTGATTCCTTAATTCTCCCGACTATATTTTTACAATTTAATTACATTTTAGTTGAATGTAAATCTTCACAAAGCAATAAATTGTTTTAAGTCTTTTTTTCATGGTAAAACGGTTGGAAAAAATTCAAAAATGGTGTGGATAATTTACTGTTAATCAGTGTCAGAGGGTGTTGCACAGTGACGCCTTCAAAGAAAACCTTTAATATCTTTGTGGTTTAAGAATTTTCTCATGATGTTTTGCCTGTAGAAGGAGTATAATAAGTAAATGTTTACACAACAATTCAGCAATTTTTTTAATCGGCCTTCAACAATGTTACTGAGTCACTTTAAAGGAGAGGACATACAGAATGTCAAGAGTTTTAGGTACCTTGGTACAATAATCGACAACGAACTATCATGGAAAGATCAATGCCACTCTCTGTATGCAAAGGCTCAAAAACAAATGTACTTTCTACGAATACTGAATCTGTTCCATGTTGACAGAACCATCCTGTACTGAGGCTATACTACAAGTCAGTAATAAAAAGTGTAACGATGTTTAGTTGTGCGGTTTGGTACGGTGGGTGCAGACAGAATCTTAAGAAATTGCAGAGAATATCCAATCATGTTAGCTTAGCAAGATGATTGGCGAAGTGTCAGATTTGAAACAGGGATGCTTTAATACAATACTGAAACAGGTATCCCATATTTCGGAGAATGGTAATCATCCCCTTCATCCTTGCTTTACCCTAATGCGATCTGGGAACCAGTACAGATCAGTGAAGGCTCGAACCTCACAATTCCTTAATCCCTTTGTCCCGCTTTCGTAAATACAATGAGCAACTCCAGTGAAAAATTGAATAGGCCTGTATCTTGCCACTTCGCTATTCATCAATTGCATTGTACCATTTCCTTTTAACCAAATGTACCAGTATCACGAGCAACGAAAATAAATAATACTCTATTGTATCATATGTTATTTCAAGTTTTAGTTATATACAGCTTAATTTATGGGGAAAAGGGGGATTCAGCTACATTACCGTAACAAATGATAATAATAAATAATGTAGATGATGACGATGCCAATAATAAATGATAATAGTAACAATGATAATGATGATAATAATAATAATAACTAGAAATTTAAATCGTCATGGGGACGAATTAGGTGGTCTGTGTTCAATACCCAATAGATATTCAATAAATTTGAATATTTATTATATAGAGAAAGGGAGAAGTTATATAGACATGTAAACAATGATCATGATGATGAGCATGATGATGATCATGATAGTAATGGTGAACATGATGATGTTGATCATGATCATCATCAGACCATGATGATCACGATGATATTGATGATCATGATCATGATCCTGAGCATGATCCTGACATCTGATTTAAAAAATGAGGGGGCATTTAGATAACATATAGTCTCAGCTACAACATACTCCAAAATCAACAAAGACCAAGCAGAAATAATGGCGATATTGCTCGCAAAAGACAAGAATGTAGAATCCAGATTTGAGAAAAAGTCATCTCCCATAAGGATCACACACAAAAAAGTAATGGATCAAGTGATAATAGGGTAATAATAAAGTAAATATGGTTGTTTATTACATTCTTTGCGATTCTACATGTTTTAATAATCAAAGGAGATGGTAGAGTGAAAGGTCAAAAAGAAAAAAAAGTGAAGAAAAAAAATTGTTGGAGACGCCCGGACTCGAACCAGGGACCTCGAGGTCGGAAGTCAAGTGCGTTACCGATATACCAAAACATTTCCCATAGAGATTACACGTAAACGGAAAATGGAATTTTCAAATCCCACTTTGTAAGTGAAATATGAGCATAATCCCGGCATCTGATCGAAAAATAAAGGACACGCTTGTGATAGCTTATTGTCTCAGCTACAACATACTCAAAGCTCAGCGTAAACAAAGATAAAACGACGGAGATATGGCTCGCGAAAGACGAGAATGTAGAATCCAGTTTTGAGAAAAAGTCATGTCCCATAGAGAATACACGCAAAATGTGAAAAATTGACATGCCTCCTTTAATCGCAAAAATACGCCATGATACCATTGTCAAAATGAAATATCGTGGTGGCTGCATTTGTAGAGAACATTCTCAGGTAGAACATATCAAAATTTGAAAGAAAATTGATCAATATTTACAGAGAGATTTACAATTTTCCAAAAATTTGCTGACGTCATAATATGCAAATTGAAATTTTGAGTTTGAAGGCCATTATGATGACGTCATGAGTTAATTGAGGGTCAAATTACACATGAAATCATATCTCCAACTCATGCTTTTTCTAATCATGATATAAAAGTTGGGGGTCAATTGACTATCTTAAGAGCTATTTCGATTTTTAAAATGGCATGTTTTTGATCAAATTTGCATTATATTGCCCATAGCAGCACGCGCTGATTTTAAACTTTGACGCGCGCTCACGGCTTCATGAAAGGTCAAGAGTGACTGAAATTAATGTAAATTGTCATTTACGGTAAGAAGAATCTAAATCATGTAAACATTTTGAATTTTACCTTTTCCGCGCGTTGTGAGCGCGCGCAATGCGCGCGGGGACACTTCCGGACGGAAAATTTTGAAATGCTTAAAATGACCTGATTCGTACTCTCGTTTAATAGTTAAGGGATTTTGAGCATTTTTAAATTTTGACGTGCGCGTCATGACCTTTATGTGACCTTTGATGACATGACCTGTTGACCCTTGACCTGAAGTATATGTGATATGAATATGAATGACCTTTGCTTATGCATCATGAAGATATGATGGATAACGTGATTTCACAAAATGGCACCTGGATGACGTCACGATGACCTGATGACCTTGAAAATGTTCCTGTTACGTCTAATGACAATGACCTATGACTGTGCCAAAATTGAATGAAATTGACGAAACCGAACTTGAGTTATCCTAGGCACAAAAAAGTGTAGGAAATAAATAAATAAATAAATAAATAAAGAAAATTCTGACGAAAACAATAGGTGGTCTGTCGAACGACAGACCACCTAATAATGATTATGATATTAATAATGAAAATAATAATAACAGATAATAACAATAATATTTCTGAATTCTAAGCAATCATACACTTTCGATGAAGTTGTTTTAACCCTATTTAGCCCGGGCTATTTTGAAACTGCATAGCCCAGGGGGGGGGGGGGGGGGGGGGGCTTCTAAGACCACCCCCCTATGATCTCGGCCGTGAAACGCCCGATCGCCGCGAAAATTTGCACACATGTCAAGTAAAGTGTATAGAATACTATGGTAATTTCAATTTTTTGAAAAATTCACTCATTTGCATATTTATGGTAATTTATGCAAATAAGGTCATAAAATTCACATTTTTGCCCATAAATCAGACATTATTCATATTTAAGCATTCTTTCTCACTACATATATTTGTTAGACCATTTGGAATAATAATACAACACAAAAAATTGAAAAACCGGGGTTATTCCTTATGTTATCTATTGTTTTGATAATTTCTTATGTATTTCTATTTTTTTTTAACTCATGTATTTTATTGTTTATGTTGTTTTATTCTAAGAGAATTGGAAGATGAAAATGGGATACAAGTGGGTGGTCATTCAATCACAAATATTAGATATGCTGATGACACTGTTTTATTTTCTGAATCAGAGAAAGATCTCCAAAGACTCCTGAATGTAGTTGTAAAAGAAAGTGAGAGAATGGGACTAGGGATCAACTATACCAAGACAAAATGCCTGGTGGTATCCAAGAAGAGCAGTCCAAAATGTAACTTGAAACTGAAAGAACAGACTATTAAACAAGTCTCCTCATTTAACTACCTCGGCAGCATGATTACCGAAGATGCCAGATGCGAGACAGAGATCAAGAGAAGGATAGCTCTCGCTAAATCTGCATTTTCAAAGTTAGGCAAAATTCTGACAAATCGAACATTGTGTATGAGGACCAGAATAAGGGTATTGAATTGTTACATCTACCCAGTACTTATGTATGGTAGTGAAACATGGACTTTAGCCTCTGATACTAAAAAGCGTTTGGAAAGTTGCGAAATGTGGTTTCTAAGAAGAATGATGAAAATCCCCTGGACTGACAAAGTTAGTAATGAGGAAGTTCTTACACGAGCTGGAGTGCAAAGGAAAATGATACGTGAGATGTTGATTAGGCAGTTGAAGTTCATGGGTCACATTACACGTAAAGAAGGCTTAGAGAACCTTGCTTTGACAGGGAAAATTGTGGGAAGAAGGAGTAGGGGAAGAAGGAGGATACTTTGGATGGACAGTCTGCAGAAATTGTTGGAAGAGAGAGGAGTGAAAGAACTGGGAGTGGTACTAATACAGAAGGCTAGGAGCCGAGGGTTGTGGAACAGCATGATCGCCAAAGTCAAACGATATGGCACTTAGAGAGAGAGAGTTGTTTTATTTCATTTCCAACTATAATTAAACTATTTTGACCCAACAACAAACACCTAAACTATAAACAAGACCAAATAACCAATGTTTTATCTCTTTATTTGAAAAATGAGATTTCCATATGTTTTGTACACAAATCACAAAAATGAGCGATTTTCGGGCTGACATGCAAAGACAAAAGGACACGTGACTTTGTAATGGTAGGTCCGATTTTCGAATCTTTTTTTTCAAAAGATGCGCAAGACTCGAAAGAAAAAAGTCACAAAACTTCAGTGCAAGATTTTTTTTGCGTTAAAAAATTATCACGAAAAATGTCGAGGGGGGGCTTCTAAAGCCCCCCCCCCCCCCCCCCGGACTAAATAGGGTTAAGTCCATTTATTCTCTTATATTATTCCCCTATGTAAAAACGATTTATATCAGTTTTTTCCATTTGATTATACTGTGTATTATTGATTTTCTATTTTCTATTGTTCATGTGCTTTATGAAATGCCAACAACTTAATTTCCAAATGGACCAATAGCAGTAATGTGAATCTGAATACAGTTCTAAGAAAGCTTGCAGCACAGCGAGTGAAAGCTTAACAAATGTTTTTTTCTTTTTTTTTAAGGAGGGGAAGCTGTCCGCATTGAACAAACTTCAAGAACCTGTCAGGTTACATATAGCCATGTGGAGATATCACTGGAGCACTTTACAAAAGTATGTGCGGCCTTCACTAAAGATTTGCACTCCTGGAAATACAAACGAATGTCCTTCATGCCTTTTCTTCCAAAGATTATGCCAGAGAGCAGGAAAATGCTATTGGAGTTTCGTATGGCTGACAAACCCCATGGAATCTCTTGGGTATGACATAAGTATTTTTCATATGAATTCATCTTTTAAAAAAATACATTTTCTTATGTAAACCCATCCTAAATACTCATGATGCAATGCTAACTAAACTAATAATGATACTTTGATACGTTCGCTGGGCTTTAAGGGATAGTTGAGTTTTTGTCAAATGGAATTTTAGTAACCAAAACCTGGATCATTACATTACAAACTATTAGTTATCACTGCACTATGCTCAAAAGGTATACAACAAATAACAAATGTATTAGTAATAAACCTGTTTACAATTAAAAGAAGCCGTTTAACCACATCAGGGCATTCTCTTAAATGACATTGGTTTGAATCATTTTTAATTAAGAAATTGTGTTACAATACTAATGATTAAATATAAAGATTATCAACAACTATTTAAAAACATCTGTGTGAAAATGATTTTTGTTAAATGATTTTTGTAATGGTTTATCAACGGCTGGTTCAAAATTAATTAATATTTGTCGGGCCCCACACATATATTAAAGGGTTATATGTATGGATATTTCAGCCGTTTCTGAACCGATTTCGATTAAACAAAGATGATTTTGTGTATGTTCGTTCAAATTTGACACTCATACCCCATTCACAGTGGCCTCAAACACCGCGACAGCAGCGGGACTGTCCCGCTGCTGTCGCGGTGTTGTCTTCAGTGTGAAGGCTCGGACCCGTTATAAACTATCGCGGGATAACATCGCCTCGCGATAACGCCGCGACAAACTATCGCTAGGTTCGCCTAGCTACAGCAGCGGGACAGTCCCGCTGCTGTCGCGGTGTTTACTCAGTGTGAAGGCTCTCCGCTATAACACCGCGACAAACACGTGTGATTTGTTTACTTACCTATCACTGACCTCTTTTCTCCAGCAATGGGGAACATAAAGTGAAATAGAAATAAAGTAACCAGTGGATTCAAATTGATTTTATTATTATGTAGATATTATAATTATCCAAATAAAAATATTTCACACTTCAAAAAATTAAAATATTCTGACTGGAAGCAATAAAAATGCTAGTTTTTTAAAAAGTAATATGATCGAGGATACAAAAAGCAACTTGACATGTTTACCTTTTGCCCGCGCTGAAGTATTTCCGGTCATATCGGGGTCACTCGCGGGTCATGAGCCATGCATACACGTGTTTGTTACGGAGGTAATAAAAATCACCCGCTGCAGCGTGAATGGGTACATGATATTTATCCCGCTGCTGCAGCGGGATAACTTTTCTACTGTGAATGCAGTTGTAGCGGTGTTATGGCGGTGTCGCAGCTCCGCTACAACGCCGCTACAAATTTCAAAACCACTGTGAATGGGGTATCAGTTTTTCATTATCTCACCAAAAAACTCAACTTTCCTTTTAACGTGAAAGATCTAAATTAGATTTGGGTTGTTCATGACAATACAAATTCATGTTGAATAAATAAATTTATTCAACGATTAAAATGATCTTCAAAGGTTACCGGTATGTTTGGCATGGTGATATGTGTAATATTCGGTTGTAGGAGTAAGGACAATTACGCCCTGGGCAATCACCCCCTGGAAAATTACCCCCCTCTGGTAAACTACCCCCTCCTTCCTACCCCCCCCCCCCCCCCCCCCCCTCCCCGAGTATGTGGGTAGTCAAAAGAAGACTGGTAAACCTAACTAGGAGATTAATGCAGAGAGAGAGTCCTGACTTAGTTCACTCACCCTTTCCTGCACTCTGTTAACTAAAGAATACCTCCTATCTTCTGACCATATCAAGTAGGCCTTCAAAGGACTACCGAACGAACATGCTCACTCTTTGTTTTATTCTACCCCTTTTGAAACCAAACAGCCATTTTCACGACTACACATGGTGAAACCGCAAACTTATGGAATGTTAAACTTCACATTGCATCGACTATGGGCCTTGTCAATGATAAATAATTCTGGAAGTTCTTTGTATCTTCCTCTATATTGTATTGCTATTATCCCCTCCTCCGAACTCTACACTTTTCTTTTTAATATGCAATATTTGTACATGTGTATTTAAAGTATTGTTACATTACCTTGTCACAGAGAGAAGTTCATGACATCAGAAAGAACGCAGAGTATAGACCCGCTAAAGATGATGATGATGAGATGAATGTCGAAAATGGAGATATGGAAGTCACTTGCCAACTGAAGGATTATGACATACTTACAGAGGTTGGCGTCCATTATCATTATCTTAAGTATAGTAAAAGAAACATATATGTATATAAATATAAATTGGATAAGGCAGACTAATGGGACATGGTTGCAACTCCGAGTTTCACGCCTTGCGAGAGATCATCAGGCAATCTGATGATTGCTCGCAAGGCGTGAAACTCGGAGTTGCAACCATGTTCCATTAGTCTGCCTTATCCAATTTATATTTTACTCTGCCCATAAGCATTGAACACTGTACGGAGGAATATACCAAATCTAAGTATGTATATAAATATACTTAGATTTGCTCTATCCTTCCATACAGTGCTCTATCCTATAGGTTGTAGAGTAATCATGTACTTTAAAGAATGCTACCAGTTGCCTACCAGTTGCCAATATATATTATACAGTTATTGACTGGCAGGGGGTGTAATATAACATTATTTGGACTGCTGAAGGCAGTTATATTTCCCAAGTGGTTAAATATTCCCAAAGCGCGTAGCGCTGAGGGAAAATATTTCTCCCTTCAGGTCCAAATAATTTATATACCCCCTGCCAGTCAATAACTGTTATATTAGATAGCCTTGATTTGATTTGATTTTTTTTTTGGGGGGGGGGGGTCCATATTTTTTTGGCCCGAAATTTTTTTAATTTTTTCTTTCGGGGACAATCAAAAATTTAGAAAAACAAGAGCAAAAAAAAAAAAAAAACCTTCAAAATAATTTTAAGGGAAAAACAAACAAAAAATTACCAATAATGCATTTTTGGGGAAGAAAAAAAAGGGGAAAAAAACCCTCGGTAATGGTGTAATGTATGTCATTGGTGACATACAGTCCTCAAGAGGGCGCGAGCATTGATTAAAAATATATTCATTTCACCAGCTGGTAAAATATAACCGGCCAGGAAAATATAACAATTTGGATCCTTGCAGTCGATCACGTGACGAGCTCTGGACCAATCACATCTCGGTATCTGTAAGCTATCTAAGATAAATATATATTATTTAGTCATGATATCTTATTTTGACTACAAATTCTTTATTACCTGGTTTGATATGAAAGACCGTTTGTGTAATATGGGGGCAACCATCATTTCAAGAACTACTACTTATTTGAATACTTAAAGCATCTGGTAACATCCTTCCAAAGGCAAACAATTGCATAGCGTAGGATTTTGGCAGTACTGTGCACTTTTGTCTAGAGATGCCGAATTTACAACAGTTGATATTAGATATTAGATATTATCAAATGAAAGATGCTGAACACTACCATATAAAGAATCAATGTTAAAAAATATTTTGTTGGTTAGCTTTTAAAGGAATTTGCAGTTATAAACTTGGCCAACTAAATCAATCGGTCACTTGTAATTTTGGCCCATTTGTAACGCTCCGAATCTCCAGTTCATGCTTTCAGCAGAATTAGTGGTGACCCAATACCGTATCCGGACACCTACCCCATGGACATCCACCCCGGATAACCACCCCCAGTCAACCGCCCCCTAGGGCAACCACCCTCTAGGGAAACCACCCTCTAGGACGACTACCATCCCTCGGGACAACTCCCCGGACAACTCCCTCCGGACAACTACCCCCTGGGACCACAACCCCCCGGACAACTACCCTCATAGGGGTGTTTCGAAAAGATTTTAATTACGGAGAACTATTTGTAGCCTTAAAATTAAATATATTAAAAAGCGAAAATTCAAGTATTTTAGACTTTTTATAATTCCTCATCAAGAACATAAAATCTCCTTGATAATAGAAAATATGAATGATTTGCATTAACATTTTTTGCAATTTAAAATAACTTTTACAAAATATTTGATAGATACTAACGGCTTTCCATAAGTGTTAAGTCCAACTTAGGATCTTTGTGAAACACTCCCCTACAACTACCCCTGGGACAACTATCCTAGGGGGTAGTTGTCCTAGAGGATGGTTGGCGTTGGGGGTAGTTGGCCGGGGGTTAGTTGTCCTATGGGGTAGTTGTCCTAGGGTATAGTTTATGGGGGGGGGGGTAGTTGTCCTAGGGTATGGTTTATTAGGGGGGGGGGGTAGTTGTGGGTAGTTCTCCTAGGGGCTGGTTGACTGGGGGGGGGGGGGGGTTATCCGGGATGGATATCCATGGGGTAGGTGTCCTAGAACCGACCTGATACAATTGGACAAGTCTTGTCTCTGCAGATTGTTCACAGGAGCTGCATTTACACTGCAAGCAAAAATTGTCGATGATTCTACCGGCAAACACAACATATGTTCTGAATATACGGCCGCTTAGTACCGCTTACGTACCAGTAGGGTCCAAACTTTTTTGAAAACGAGATTTCTCTTTCTTAGTGGTACAAGCATACTACGAATATGTCATGGATAATTACCACATAACACAATTTATAAAAGTCTTTCCATATCGGATATTGACAAGGATGGGTTGGAGAAAAAAGTGCACAAGTTTCAGCTTTGTCGCGGTACTAAGATGGAGTTTCTGCTATCTAAAGTGCATGTAAACATCTGGCAGAATTAAAAAGCTGCTGAATTGAATAACTGAAATGCTGTGATTCTTTCATATCAAAGGTTCAAAGCTGCAGAGATAGACAGAAGCGATTGAGAGAGATTTGTAGATTTGATGCATTATGATCAGCAGTTAATTTGATGAATCAAATAAGACAAAAAGTAAATATGCGGTTGTAGTATGATCAATTATATTTACAATTCAAAATGTCAAGACTGCAAGGTTTCTAATTCCTGAGACCGACATGGGCAGTTTCAATACCTTTCCGATTCACTGTTGTCATATGATTTCATATAGTTCTACCATGAAAGATTATTCTAATGAAACACGTATCCAAATATTTGATTTAAAATGTTTTATTTTCTAGGCTTGATATGTTTGGTTGTACCTGTTTAAGCCAATTTCTGCACTTTCTGTATCACAACAATTTAGGTCCGTGAAAATTATTTTCCATTATTATAACAAATATTGCAAGCGCCGGCATATAAGAATTACAAAATATATTGCCCAAATTTCCAAGGTGATGTCAAATTTCACCGAGGCTGCAGGCTGATCAGTACATTTGGGTTGCCTATACGTCATTTGCTCGAATCTATAACCACTATCTTACGATGGCGATGTCATTTAAGGCCAGTAATCTGTACAACGAGCGATTATGTGGCTATGACAACTCTAAAACAGGATGTATATTCGTAATTTAACAGAGAGCTATTTGATTGTGTTCACTACCTGCAAGGGAGATAAATAGTTGTCACGGTTGGTGTGATGGCTGCGCACCTTATTCAAAGACAAGCACATGGCTGTTACTACTGCTGTAAATTATCTTCGATCCTACTCTCCATAGTACCAGTGCCTTGTATATAATATGGAAAATGTAGCTCATATAGTATCATCTTTATTTGTTCATGTTATGTAACTTGTGTGTAATCCCCGATCAATGTATTCATATGTTATTTTCAACCATATTTGCCTGCAAATTGTTTTAATATAAGCCCTTAATTATATCCAATGACAGAATGTCAATGCACGTGACATTGATATTTGTATAAAGAATACTGTCTTCTTCGAATTGGATTTTCACGGGAAAGCAGATGACCTGCTGGTGAAGCTGAAAGTGATACAGTCTATGCTCCTGAAGAATATAAAGTTCAGAACATCTTTCTATGCTTCTCGTGGTGAGTTTTAAAATATTTTTTGTTTCTCTTTTAATTCTAATTAGGAAAGCTTGTGTTTCACTTTGACTATAAGACGCAACCGTAACTTTGTTAACCAAGCTAAATCATTATTGTTTATTTGATAGCCAATGCATTGAAGTGAACTGTTTTGAGTAAAAGAAATCACTAGTGATGTTGACATTTTAACACAAGTGTTGTCATGGTTACTTCCAAAAATAGAATAGGCCTGCATGAAGTGTTCATTGCCACAAACAGATGAGTTGGAAACAGAAATCGGGACTGCGGTACTAATTTGGCTGTTTTTATCTGGACAACCTGACCGTAACATTTACTTTTAACTGCAAATATTAGTGGAAGAAGAAAATTTTAACACGTAGACCAATGGGGATCTGAGCACAATTGATTTATGCGGCCTGTTACCCGGGGCAACCGATATCACTCGTGAACTATTGACCATTTTTTCGTCTCTTTAAGGGAATATCCAAATCACGACTGCAAGACGGGTATATAAAATACTATAAAGTGAGGCAACAAATTTAACCAAAGAAAAATTATGATTTGTCTGATTGAATCGTAATTCAAGTTTTAACGCAACATGATTATACCACCAATAACATGAACATAATGAATAGTTTTAGAAAGTGAACACAATATCCCCTCTTTAAAAAAAGGAATAAGCGAGGCATCACCAGGAGAAACAAATTCAGCATCCCCGAGACTTTCGGAATCAACATTAGTCGACGTTCTTCCTCAATGTTCATCAGCAGCAGCCCGTGCAGATTCTACCTTTAAAGCCAGGTAAGAATTGTTTTCTAGTCGCTAATGCCAATAAATCACAATTGATTGAATTATCGTTGATGGGATAATTCATATCTTACATACATCTTTCTTGGATAATTATCTAGTATAAGCCTGCAAAAACTAAAGTTGTAAGCAAGAACTGTCATGATCATTTGCATTCTGTTACAATGTTTTCATTAAATGATTTTGCAATGCCATCATAATTATAAATCTTTTCCGACTAATATTCAGACTTGTATATTTTGCGGATATTCCCCCATCTTAATGGAATGTGAAAAAGAAGTAGAATAGAAGATTAGAATTTGAAAGAATTTGAAGAAATTACGTCCTCCTGACACTCATCAATATTTATAACTTTGACTCCTTTCACCCTCACTACACAAAAAGGAAATATAACATATAATCTGACTAGAATTTTGGTTCAATTGCATCTTTTAAAGAGATGAGAGAGAAAAAAAGAAGGTGAATAAAATAGAATCTTTGCTTGTGCTTCGGAAATATCTTATCAGAGTAGGTATATATAAAGCACATTGTATATCATGTAACATACACAAACATCAAGAAAAAAATTGTTCATGTATCTTACAGTCCCCGTTATTGATGTGCTATACATTGTAAAATCGGTCAAGTGAGATGATTACATGAAAAGTAACATTTCATATTTTCTCCATAAAAACATAGACCAACCGAGGAATCCAGGGAGCAAGATTTTGACGACCTTCTCAGGACAGTAGCTAAGCAGATTCATAAGGATATTGACATCGATATTCTGGGCAAAGAATTGGGTTTTGAACCTGCGGAAACAATGTGTTACATAAATACAAACAAAAGATACCATATGGCAACATACATGGGAACACTTAGTATGCTTCGGGAATGGAGGAACAGGACTACAAGTTCCGAAGAACGTGACAAGTTGAAGAAAGTTCTGATTGTCCTTAAACGCCATCGTCTGGTAAACGAACATCTGAACGACGATATAGCAAGTTAGTGTGAACCAGAAAAATTGAAAATGTTGATACAGTTCAATTTTGGGATATATTTTTGGTTTAATTTTGTTTCATGCATACTAATTTATCTCCATGTATTCGTACATAGAATACATGAAGACAAGTCATACTCTTTGTCCTACAGGTCTCTACATGCGAATTTAAATATTTCATGAAAATTATTACAAATCATAAAACCGTGCCTTTGATGATATTCGTTGCAAAGCATACAATGAAAAACTTACTTCATTTACAAACGCACAACCTTATACTCACAGCCCATCTTTAGCTTGATGATTTTTTTTTTAAAGGAAATGTGCAAACGTCCTCTCTCGTTTATGTTTCTAATGCATAAGTCTGTACATCATAATGGTGAATGTCTATTGCATATATGTTTTAGATAATATCACACTGAGACTGGACTTTTGCACATAACTCTGCACTTTATAATGGTGAATTTCTTATGCATTCATGGATATATTGTGTATGATATTATACTGAGAGTGGATCTTTGTGCATTTGTTTGCGCATCATAATGGTGAACGTCAAATGCATATATACCTTTCTTGTAATATCATACTCGGGTTGGATTTTCGTGCATTAAAGTCTGCACATCATAATGGTTAATGTTCAAATGATATACATGTATATTTTATATGATATTGTCTTCGTAAGGGAGTTTTGTGCGTTAGTCTGCACATTATTATTGTAATTACCTCTCTTTTTACTTTTTAATACAAAGAATAACAAAAAGGCAGAATTCATTGCCATATCTTCACTTTCGCCTTTTAAAACGATTTTGATTTAACTGCAGAAGTAGTGTTTTGAATGTAGTCACAATTATCATTCTTTTCAAATTGTCTGGTTTGTATGTGAGTCCCATAAAAGTCTTTTTCCCCCATTGTTGCTGCGCAGCATACATGATCAGTGAATTGATATAGGTGTACCACTCCTTGTATGTACAGTTAAAACCTTAATATATATTACCTACTCGAATCTATTCAATTATTTTCCTTTAAGTGGCACTATATTGACGCCAAAGCATTCTTACATCAAACTTGATACATGACATGGTATCTCCAGTTCATACCCTATTGTTATAAGTCTGCTCCAGAGAAATGTATTTCTATGCATTTTGAAAGGGGCTGGACAATTACCTAAAACTTACATCCTTCGTGGAAATTAGCAACCGCACTGGCGTTGCATAAATTATAATAAAAGGGAAATGTGTAGTAATGAGGAAGACAACGTGCTAAAGTATTTGAAAGAGTAGTTGTCCTCGGGGGGCAGTTGTCCTCGGGGGTAGTTTTCATCGGGGGGGGGGGGGGGGGGGGGGTAATTGTCATAGGGGGTAATTGTCCTCGGGGGGGGGGGGGGGGGGAATTTTCCCCGGGGGGTAATTCTCCAGGGGGTAATTGTCCTTGGGGGGTAGTTGTCCTCGGGGGTGATTCTCTGGGGGGTAATTGCCCTTTGGGGGTAGTTTTCCGGGGGGTAATTTTTTCGCGGGGGTGATTGCCCAGGGGGTAATTGTCCTAGAACCTATTATTATCATCATCATTACTAATACACGTATTATTGTTATTATTGCCGTTGTCAATGTTATAGTAGTTGTTGTCGCCGTCATCATCATCAGCATTTATGCACTAATCTTCTTTTTTATTATTGTCTTCAACATTAGGACAATCTTCTTCAGTAAACCAGAGCCGTCAATCAAAAGTTATAGACGTATACGCAGCTTATACGAGTCGTCAGACTTACATCACGTATTCTCGGTATGTATTTGCAGTGACGATTCGATCAGCACATATCATATCAGGCATTGTGCACTGCATGGTCATCCTCAATCGGAAAAGTCCCTGAAATTTAAAGTAAACATGATTGGATAAACAATTCTGTCTGATAGACATTGTTTTGTTGTTTAATCCCTTTCATCCCTTCTAAGCTGGCGTAATTGATGGGTTACCGGTAATGAACTCTTTGCAGCCAACCACGGAAAAAATAAGGTATCAAAAGAAGCGGAGCACAATACTCTTGATATTATATGGGGCTCGATCTTAATGATTATAATTTTCATTTTAATTGTCCATTTAACAATGAAAATATGTGGTCTCTACATGCATGGTTCATGGGTACATAAATAGGTATTCAAATTCATTAAAATTATATTGACTTGACAGAAAACAACAACTTAAACAAATAAACAAATGTCGATATTTTCATAGTATCAAATACAAAACGTAATCGGGGATACACAAAATTTTGTGCTGATGTTGTGATATAGTGTAAAATAATTCCCGAGTTCGTTGGAATATACCCGAAGACTTAATTGTTTAACATTATAAAGAACACAGGGAACGTTTATGCCATTTCACATCGTCAAAACTGGGTTTCCTATGTGTTGTGAAGTCTACATCTTCTTTTACTACATAACATTTTGTGATATACATATGCATATATATATAAATCATTACATGTAGGTGTTTATATCTCACAAAATACATTCTTTAATATTTTGTCATTTCGAACTGCAAGAAATTTCAATCATAATCATACTCATAATAATAATCATAACTTTTTTTTTACAGATTTCGAGCTTTTAAAAACAATCTCATGCACGGGAGAAAAAAAAATCCCGGAATATTAAACCCCATGAAAGAGAAAAATGGTTTTATCGGATTTTAAGCATTTCGAATGACGAACTGTTGAGTTCGGAAGATCATCACCTTATCATGACATTAATTATAGTCTTAGGATTAAATGTTTACTTAATGACGAACAAACCTTGCCTAATTCTATTTTCACCCCTCACGAATAAATTTATTATTTTATTCCATACGTATATATAGCAATGATTCCAACGATGGTAGTCCAGATGAACCCTCGACGAAGAGAGACGATAACACCAACCGAAACACTGACTCTAATGACGAGGATGAAAGGCAGAGAGGGGACAAACAAACACAGAGACGTTCCAAAGATGACAGTCGAGGTGGACATTGGAGGAAGAGAAAGAAGACACATCAAAACACTGACTCTAATGACGAGGATAAAAGAACGAGAGGGGACGAACAAATAAAGAGACGTGGTTCCAAAGATGACAGTCGAGGTGGACATCGGAGGAAGAGAAAGAAGACACACCGAAACACTGACTCTAATGACGAGGATGAAAGAACGAGAGGGGACAAACAAATAAAGAGACGTTCCAAAGATGACAGTCGAGGTGGACATCGGAGGAAGAGAAAGAAGACACATCAAAACACTGACTCTAATGACGAGGATGAAAGAACGAGAGGGAACAAACAAACAAAGAGACATGGTTCTAGAGATGACAGTCGAGGTGGATATCGGAGGAAGAGAAAGGAGAAGACAAACCAAAACACTAACTCTGATGACGAGGATGAAAGAACGAGAGGGAACAAAAGAAGAAAGAGACGTGGTTTCAAAGATGGCAGTCGAGGGGGACATCGGAGGAAAAGAAAGAATATGACAAACTGACAGATGCCATCTCCTTGATAGCTTTCCAATTCATACTTTGACATGTGCCATTTTGATATGTTAAATCATAGGTTGAGTTCTGGGAAAGGCCAACAAAAAGTTCTGAGTTTTCTTCATTCTTCTTTTTGTTGATGTGGAAGAATACCACAAGAAAAATAAACCCTGAAAAATGACACAGTAAATTGCCCCTAGTCAAAATATGACAATACATTTCTGAAAATATCTTGACCAAATGTTTATTTGTTTTTAAAATAAATATCATGAGGATCCAAAACTTCACAATTTACAGTAATGAGCGACATAACTTGTCCATTCGCTTGCGGTCATTTTCTTTGACAATTCAAACGTATGACAAGAACCCAACTGTATCTGTAAGTGCTTGTTGTATATAGTTTAACACATATCATTATGTTACAGAATGAGAATGGTATGAAATCTTTGTGATGTGTGAAATACCTAGACAAGATATAGTGCAATAAACGAGTCTGTCAACATGCGTGTATAAATGTGAAAGCACATTTCAAACAAGTGCCATATGAATTTATTAGTTTGCTACCCAATTATAGAAGCCGAATGAAATTTGCGGCATATTAATGAACATTTGTTGGCAACTTGACAAGAGCTAATCTTAATAAACATTATATTGTGGACAAATATAATGGTTGACTGATGTTATTTCTAATCCGTTCTCTACTAGTTAGAACAAGTGAAGGCAAAGTTTTGTTTACATTTCTCTGTAGATTGTGATATTCATTTTCAATTATGTTGTTAATGTGATGTTTTACCAGTTGAGCCTGTTTTCGCTCCTGTTCTAACGGGTCATGTCGGTGCCATCTTTGTATTTGTTTTTGTTATTATTTTCATTCATTTTCATTAATTGATCATGTTTCGTGTATATTATATTTGATTGCATTCATTCTAGTATTAACGTTAACTGCTATACATGTATATCGGAAGCACCGGATCATTTTCATAAGTTGAATATTATGGCGTTGTCTTACTATTGCATAATCATATTGTCTATATTCCTTTCAGTCGGCATAATTATGATGTATTATAATATGTTTGAATTTTGTATTTTCATCTCGATATTTTTTTTTTAAGATACATGCTTATTGCTATATTTTTTAATCAGTCCGCTTCCATTTGTGTATTTTTGTATATTATATATATTGTTTACCATCTCTGATTGTCATTTTGATGTTCTGACATTGCAAATACTTATCAATTTCCAGATACCAGTTCTAATTTGATGATGGTCAAAATATGATGCTTTTAAGGACACCAATGTGAGTTGTTATTGAGCCTCTAAATGTATTCGTTATTATACCTCCATTCTAAAAGACATCCAAAAATATTATAAGTGTGTGAGTATTTACATGATTGTACACAGCTATCAATACACAGTACGTGTATGACCATGCTTCAACTGTATACACAAACAATAAGTTCCCCGTCTATAAATACTCTAGTTATTTATCTTTTCCTTGTAGAGTGTTTCTCATGGAAAGAAGATATACATGTAAATAACTTGACTATAAAGCCTACTTTTTTGTCTCCCTTGAGTGGTCTTAATACACAGGTTTCACCTTACACCCTTTTGATAATTGAAAATTATATTTTAATACGGATATTCCTAATCATAATATTCATGATTTGACATTACGTGATTAATAGATTCATGTTGTTTTCGTAGTTACTTCTTGTATAGTTTTAATAGGCACCTTTATTGGGAAAGACCTGTTTCTCGACCTCTACGTATGTAGTGTTGATGTTCGATAATCTATATATACAGGATGTAGAATCGTCATTTATCTACATTAGAAGAAAATGTAAAATAACAGTAACACAGAGGTATCTAACTTTTACAGGAAGTCATTTGTAGGAAAGCTTTAATATCAGTGCAAGAGCCAGGTGAAATTTGAACAACAATAGGATTAACTACTTACCACAAAGTATTTAAAATCTAAGATTAGGTGTGCATATAACGTGTTATAAGGATAAATGTCTAATGCATATGAGTTTCATATAAAATCATTCTGATATTGGATTTGTATGCATAATTCTTCACATTATGATGATAAATGTCCATTCTGTATAAATTTCGTATGATACCATATTGAGGTTGGAATTTCGTGCATAAGTCTGCACATTGTAATGTTGAATGTTCAATGCATTATATTTCAAATGATATGATACTGAGATTCGATTTACGTGCATAAATCTGCACGTTGTTATGGTGAATGTTCAATGCATTATATTTCATATGATATCATACTGAGATTGGATGTTCGTGTATAAGTCTGCACATTGTTATGGTGAATGTTCAATGCATTATATTTCATATGATATCATACTGAGATTAGATGTTCGTGCATAAGTCTGCACATTGTTATGGTGAATGTTCAATGCATTATATTTCATATGATATCATACTGAGATTGGAATTTCGTGCATAAGTCTGCACATTGTAATGGTGAATATCTAATGCATATATATGTCATATGATATCATACTGAGATTGGATGTTCGTGTATAAGTTTGTACATTGTAATGGTGAATATCCAATGCATATATATTTCATATGATATCATACTAAGATTGGATGTTCGTGTATAAGTCTGCACATTGTTATGGTGAATGTTCAATGCATTATATTTCATATGATATCATACTGAGATTGGATGTTCGTGTATAAGTCTGCACATTGTTATGGTGAATGTTCAATGCATTATATTTCATATGATATCATACTGAGATTGGATGTTCGTGCGTTAGTCTGCACATTGTTATGGTGAATGTTCAATGCATATATATGTCATATAATATTATACTAACATTGGATTTTCGTACACAAGTCTGCACATTGTTACGGTGAATGTTCAATGTACATATATGTCAAATGATATCATACTGAGATTGGAATTTCGTGCACAAGTCTGCACATTGTAATGGTGAATGTTCAATACATATATATATGTCATATGATATCATACTGAGATTAGATGTTCGTGCATAAGTCTGCACATTGTAATGGTGAATGTTCAATACATATATATATGTCATATGATATCATACTGAGATTGGATTTTCGTGTATAAGTCTGCACATTGTAATGGTGAATGTTCAATGTACATATATACATCAAATGATATCGTACTGAGATTGGATTTTCGTGCATAAGTCTGTACATTGTAATGGTGAATATCTAATGCATATATATATGTCATATGATATCATACTGAGATTGGATGTTCGTGTATAAGTTTGTACATTGTAATGGTGAATATCTAATGCATATATATTTCATATGATATCATACTGAGATTGGATGTTCGTGTATAAGTCTGCACATTGTTATGGTGAATGTTCAATGCATTATATTTCATATGATATCATACTGAGATTGGATGTTCGTGTTTAAGTCTGCACATTGTTATGGTTAATGTTCAATGTACATATATTTCAAATGATATCATACTAAGATTGGAATTCCGTGCATAAGTCTGCACATTGTGATGGTGAATGTTCAATACATATATATATATGTCATATGATATCATACTGAGATTGGATTTTCGTGCATAAGTCTGTACATTGTAATGGTGAATATCTAATGCATATATATGTCATATGATATCATACTGCGATTGGATGTTCGTGTATAAGTTTGCACATCATAATGGTGAATGTTCAATGTACATATATTTTAATTGATATCATACTGAGATTGGATTTTCGTGCATAAGTCTGCACATTATGATGGTGAATATCCAATGCATATGTATCATATATGATACCATACTGAGATTGGATGTTCGTGCATAAGTCTGCACATTGTAATGGTGAATGTCAATGTCTACACTGTCGCTCATAAAGTTGGAATATTTTTGTTTTACCCCAATTTATGGAATTATTTTTAAAATAATTTAAGAATAATAGATCTAGATACATTCTCAGATTTTATTGAATAATAATTTGACAATGTGTGTTTTGCATGACTGCTGAAGCATGTGTACGCTACTATGCTTATCAACTAGGGGACATACGCCCTTAAGTCATAAATGACAGTAATGAGGATTAATGCCCCCACAAAAGGACACTAATATAGCAAATCGACACGGTTTGATCCCGGGGCTTCACAGTTAGGAGCCCATTACTTTGTCCCTGAAACATAATTGTATGCAGCGGGGGCTAGGGTAGGGGGCAGTTTCCATAATTTTAAAAAACACAGAAAATGCAATAAATTTTCAATATTTTATTGCATTTTACCCCTGTCCCCAACATAAAAAAATCCTCTGGACGGCCATGCATTATGGCTCAAGGCATGGGCACACGAAGGATTTGTTTTATGTTGGGAACCGGGGTAAAATGCAATAAGTTATTGAAAATTTATTGAATTTTCTTTTTTTTTTTAATTTGCGAAAACCACCCCCTACCCTAGCCCCGCTGCGTACAGTGTATATATTTCAAATGATATCATACTGAAATTGGATTTGCGTGCATAAGTCTGCACATTGTAATGGTGAATGTTCAATGCATATATATGTCATATAATATTATACTAACATTGGATTTTCGTACACAAGTCTGCACATCATAGTGGTGAAAGTTCAATGTACATATTATTCAAATGATATCATACTGAGATTGGATTTTCGTGCATAAGTCTGCACATTATGATGGTGAATATCTAATGCATATGTATCTCATATGATACCATACTGGGATGTTCGTGCATAAGTCTGCACATTGTAATGGTAAATGTCAATGTCTACACTGTTGCTCATAAAGTTGGAATATTTTTGTTTTACCCCACTTTATGGAATTATTTTTAAAATAATTTAAGAATAATAGATCTAGATAAAAGTATACATTCTCAGATTTTATTGAATAATAATTTGACAATGTGTGTTTTGCATGACTGCTAAAGCATGTGTATGCTACTATGCTTATCAACTAGGGGACATACGCCCTTAAGTCATAAATGACAGTAATGAGGATTAATGCCCCCACAAAAGGGCACTAATATAGCACATCGACACGGTTTGATCCTGGGGTTTCACAGTTAGGAGGCCATTACTTTGTCACTGAAACATAATTGTATGCAGCACTGGATAGGGTAGGGGGCAGTTTCCATAATTAAAACAAAGAAAAAGAAAATGCAATAAATTTTCAATAATTTATTGCATTTTACCCCTGTCCCTAACATAAACAGATCCTCTGGACGGCCATGCATTATGGCTCAAGGCATGGGCACACGGAGGATTTTTTTTTATGTTGGGAACCGGGGTATAATGCAATAAATTATTGAAAATTTATTGATTTTTTTTAATTTTTTTTTAATTTATGGAAACCGCCCCCTACCCTAGCCCCCACTGCGTACAGTGTATATATTTCAAATGATATCATACTGAGACTGGATTTGCGTGCATAAGTCTGCACATTATAATGGTGAATATCCAATGAATATATAATTATATTTCCTTATATAGCGCCTAACACTTACTTTATCAGAAGTATATATCTCATATAATATCATACTGAGATTGTATTTGTAAGTATAAGTCTGCGAATTTATTCGTATTATTTCTATTTTATCATATCCAACTATAACGCAATTTTGTCCAGAGAACAGTGTTATTGTATCATTTATTTATCATGTACATTGTACTTCATTGATCGATGCATTCTCCTTCTAAATCTCCTTTGCATTCCATGTGAATATGTTATACCCATGTATAGTTCTGCAGATTGTATGATGAATATTCAATATCAATGCTTCATTTGATATCATAAATCACTGTTGAGATCAGATATGAGCAAATAAATAAACAATTAATTGAAATGACTTGACATCGTCATCGGACTAATTTATACCAAGTTTGCTCTCTGATTTGCGTTTTTTTTTCTCCTTATAGTTTTTACTATCATGATGTTAATGTTTATTTTATTAATACGATTTCATTTTAAAAGTGATTACATACTTAATAAGGATGATGTGTACCTGTAATACCTCTATCAATTGGTATAAGCTTGTTAGAATAACTAAATATTTGAAGTGCATGAAAGGTAGTATTTTGGATTGAGAGAGATAGAGAGAGGGAGAGAGGGGGGGGGGGTGTATCATTGTATAACTTAGGGGCCGGAATGTAATTAGGCATATGGCAGCGAAATCACAGAAATCGTAATATGTAACTATGAGACGGAGAAGATAACAATTCAATTCAAATCAATTTATTCACGTTTCCAACAAAAGATAACAAATCAATTATAAGCATTAAAACAAAAGTAAAAAAATACATGTTGGAGACAGAGGGGTGCACTAAAAATGTAATGCTTGTTCAAGTGTGAACACCTCAAATGATACTTGGGAATAATGAGCAATTAAATTAATTAATTCGTAACTACAAAAGGAACTACAAAATAGGGGAAAGAAAAAGGGGATGCCAACAGAGACGAGAAAGGAACAAGACAATGCTTTACACGACAAAGATAGAAGAACACGGTCATAATACAAAGAGTAGACAATAACAAAAAGAAGTGAGAGATCGGGGGTACAGAAAATAATACAAAATGATGAGCTGCATGTCGGATTGAGAATAAGCATGAGAAGGCACAATATAATATATGAAATTACATTTTGAGTCAGCAAGTGGAGAATGATCTTGTATTAAACAAAAGCAACAACGACATATAATTCAATGAATGAGGTCACCTCAATCATTATACACCGTGTATAATGATTGTATTAAACACAATTTCAATTTTTCTTTTCTTAAAGGTATTAATCGATGGAGCATTTTTTATTTCATTACTTAATGAATTTCAAAACTTTGGACCTTCACAAGGTGAATGGAATACGAAACTGAAGGGGGAAGGAGAAATATCTAGAAGGCGAAATAGATTCAGTTCAATTTAATTCAAATTAGGTTTTATTCAATCTCGTCAAAAGGTCCAAAGAATAAGAATGCGAGTTTACATCATACATACAATTATATTACAAAACATTCAGGAATATATATATAATACATATAATATAATATATTAATATAAAACAATATAACGTATATTACCCCACGTGGACATCCTAAAAATCGTAACCCAACCGACCCTAATGTCTACTTAATGACTCATTTTTCACTCCAAATGTCCCTCCAATGACGCCTTTAGTAATAATACATATATAGAGAAAGATATATAATACAAGTGGGCCTTCTATGAGAAATAAAACGTAAAAACGTTAATAAAGGTAATACAAAGTTTTGGGAAATTTTGAAAATTGGCTGGATAGTGAATTTTTACAATGTTCATATATTTGGGTGCCCCTGTGGCTGTATTATAAGCACTAGAAGATTAAGCCCCTAAAACACTTCTGCTTTCGAGGAAAATTGAATATAACAATTTACCGGTGCTCCCGGTAAATTTGGATAAATTTCAAATAGCGCCTATACGGACGTACAATGGTAAATACGACCATGAAAATCTCAGAATATGTAGTTGTGATATATAATTTCCAAACGGGAGTAGCTATAATCGATCGATTTTAGTCAATAAACATTGTTTTATAGCTTAATATCATTCATAACTTTAGACTCGATTTCAACCGCGATAACGATCACTGCATATTGTAGGATCGTATACGCTTCCAATTTGTTCATTTGAACCAAATTCATGACCCCTTACCAAAACTTTGTATTACCTTTAAGAGGACACCAAATTGTCCTCTACAGTGCGTCCCAAAAAAAACTATACACTTTTGAAATGGCTGCTGAATAAAAAAAATATATGATTCTGGGGGAAAAGTTTTATATGTATGGAAAGCTCATAAACTCGACTTTCATATGACACCAAAAAACCCGAAATTAATTCATGCTTGAGTGAGCACTGCTCACTTTTGTAAAAGGTATGAAAATTAGGTTGCGCAGGAATTGGCCATCCAATTTGTGAGAGGTAAATCCTTTGGAGCTTACGGAATTGAGGATGATATGACCGAGTTATGATTAATTGTGATGAGTTTGGGTTTGCTGAGTGAAATTTGTGGTTTATGGGATTAACATTTTATGCATGAGTGAACAGGAATTGCATTTGTTATTACGGTATAGCAATGTAACTTTCCATGGTAGACTCAGTGGTGTGTTCATGGGAGTCAGGACAGGGTGATGCAGGCGCGTACGCAGGGGGGGGGTTTGGGGGTTAAACCCCCCCCCTTTGGAAATTTTTTGTGTGTAAACCCCCCTAAAAAAAACCTAAAACCCCCCCCCCCCCCCCCCCGCTTTTGGATTTTTTTTTTTTTTTTTTTTTTTTTTTTTTTTTAATTATTAAAAAAAAAAAAAAAAAAAAAAAATTATTCCCATGGCCGACCTAAAAAAGGTGACCTTACCCCCCCCCAACGGAGCAAAATGTCAAATTTCCAAATTTCGAGACCAAAAAAAAAAAAAAAAAGTGTCCTCTTACCCCCCCCCCCCCCCCCCCCCCCCCCCCCCCCCCCCCCCCCCCCCCCCCCCCCCCCCGCTTATTCAGCGGCTGGCTGAGTCGTTGCGAAATTTTCGGACCGATTTATAAATGTTAAAACCCCCCCCTTGAAAAAATCCTGCGTACGCGCCTGGGGTGATGGTACATGGTGCAGGGGAGGTGAAATGTAGGGTAGGACTTTGTTGGGTAGATGCAATAAGAGTCAAGAGGACATGTATGCCCCTCCCCCTCTCTCTTTCTCTCTCTCTCTCTCTCTCTCTCTCACTCTCTCTCTGCGTGGGTGTGCTTGTGCACATCTTGACAATTCATTGAGACAATCACCATTCAGCTATCAATCACTTAATCAACAATGTATCAGTCAATCGGTCAATCAATCAATCAAGCATTCAATCACCATTCAGTATTTCGATCAATTTAATCATTCAATAAATCAATCATAATTATTCAAAAACTCAGTCAATCACTCAATCTATCAACCAACCAACCAACCAGTCATTTTAGCACTTGAGTTTTGCACAAGAAATACGGTACAGTTTAACACAAATTCACAAAATTGTAAAATGAACATGTCAGTCTTTCTTTTCAGTTGATTTTTATTTCAATTTTACAACTGTTTCATTAAGGTAAAAAAAATGGGAGAAAATATCTGAAAAGGGAAACTAAAAATCAAAGTCTTCCAGTTTAATGGTCCACATGTCCACCTCCTCTTTCGATGCACAATCTTTCTCTCTTCAGCATGTCCCATACAGCTCTCCTGACCATTGGTCTGTCTCGTCTGAGGTCATCCATCCCGTGGGTGATTCTTCTCCTGATCTCGTCCAAGTTGGCTGGAGGGGTAGTGTACACTTTCGCCTTCAGATATCCCCACAAGAAGAAATCCAGGGGCGTAAGATCAGGGGAACGCGGGGGCCATTCAACATCTCGATGCAAAGCAACAACCCGATCACCGAACAGCTGGGTGAGACGCTCTGTCACTGCTCTCGAACGATGACAAGGAGCTCCATCTTGTGCCCACCATACACGTTGAAAGTGACCGTTTCGACGACGGCGGTATCTTGGAATCCTGTCAAGGGCAGAGACAATTTCCTCATCTATCATCTGGTCATAGGAAGCTCCTTGTTGTCGAAGAAGACAGGTCCGATGATGTTTCCATTCCCTGTGAGGCCGGCCCAAACAGTCACCTTAAATCTGCTATTACTACGTTCGTAGTGAAACTCGTCAGGAGGGTGTCCCTGCTCTCGATATGCCCTCAGGTTGTGGGTATTCACTTGGGCATTCAAGGCAAAGCCAGACTCATCTCCAATGAGGAAGTCATCCAGGAAGCGGGCAGGTCTTTGAAGCAGCCACTGACAAAACCTTAAGCGACGCTGGTGATCACCATGAAGCAGTTCATGCCGCTTGATCATCTGATAGGGATGAAATGTCAGGTCTAGTCGAGTAATCCTGTTGAAGGTTGTGTGTGGAATCCCTATTCCATTACGGCGACTGCTAATTGTTCCATCCTGGTGATCTTGAAGAGCTTGGCGTACAGCTGCGATGTTGTCCGCTGATCTTCCAGTTCTTCTCCGCCCAGACCTTCCTTGATTCTGGTTATGACTGGACCCTGTTTCCCGATATTTTCTGATATTACAGTAGACTGGAAAGACTTGCCGGAACCTCCGAAGGACAGCAGTGGCACTGTTACTTTGAAGGTATTCTGTTACCATAAAAGCACGCTGCTGTGGTGAAAACTGAGGCCTCTCCATCTTTGATTGTCAGTCCAAAATGAATGAGGACTGAGTAACAACTTACAGCTCTTAATTTATTCTTAATCCATTTATGTGTCATTTCCATGTTACACACTGTTACACACTTTTAGTTTTTTACATCTGTGACTTTGAATAAAAACCTTCACCCCACACTTCGATTATTGTAAGATTAGTTGAACATCTCATTGATTTAATTAATACCCAGGCAGGTAGGGATTATGTAAATTGAAAATTCAAATACGGTTTGTTAAAAAAAAGGAATGTCCAAGATGTCAGCTACTTATTCTTCAGGTATTAAATGGGTAACCAAAGGATTTACCTCTCACAAATTGGAAGGCTAATTCTTGCGCAACGTAATTTTCATACCCTTTACAAAAGTGAGCAGTGCTCACCCAAGCATGAATTATTTTCGGACTTTTTGGTGTCATATGAAAGCTGAGCTTATGAGCTTTTCATACATATAATTTTTTTCCCCCGTAATTATATATTTTTCTTATTTGGCAGCCATTTCAAAAGTGTATAGTTTTTTTCGGGACACACTGTATAATGGCAAAGTCTACTAAATGACTCATAATTATCTTTCATTTCAAATGTCCCTCTTATGACGCCTTTAGTAAATATATATATATATATATATATATATATATATATATATATATATATATATTAATTGATGGAATTTGGTAACAAGATGTATTTTTGAAAATGAGAAAAAAAAGTTGGATAACTTAATCACAGGAAAAAGCAAGAATGATTAAACAGTTGTAAATGATATTCAAAAGTGTTTCTCCCGCCCAATTTCATATTTTGGTCGCTTAATTAAATCAATTAAATTGCATTCTAACTTGTGTGTTATCATCTAACGATGAATTTCGGTCTAAAATCCGTGTAATGGAAATCAATTGGAGACACGCAAATGTATTTGTGAGCAGCCAAATTAAATAATCGGCAAAATCATTCCAGTTGTTTTACAATACAACTTCTTTCCTTACCTGTTAGAATTAAAACAAATAGAACACCTCCAATATAGCGTTTTCCAAAATTATGACCGACCAATATTACAAACTATTCAGTTGCCCTTCGTCTTCATTTTCCTCCTTGTATCACCAGTAGATAGACATCAAAATAAGGATGAAAATTAAACGGAATATTTTCCTGGCAATGAAGGACGTATACAACAACGGAAAGGTAAAAGATTGAACTTAGGATGACACTTGTACATTTTCATGCTTTATCTGTTCTGAGGTCCCTATGGAGCAGAAATCACATTAACATTGCTGGTTTCTGTTGGTTGAATTCTTTTAAAAGCAAAGCACCTAATTCTCCATAGTCGCATTTTTTTCTCCAAAATGTTCGATAAATCTGTCATGCAGTGGAAAATATTAATGCGCACTTAAAAAAAAATGTTTTGACTTAAGTCTTTCAGAGCTCTTAATTGACAGCACAATTAAGAGATCGTTGTGAAAACAAAATAAGAACACAATTTAGGTATCAATTGCCCCAAAATTATCTACCTGGCATATAATAGCAAAAAATGTCATTAATTTTATAGGCACAGGGGGAATATTTTTATTTAGCCTGTATTGGCAAGGTCACAGGTCGATTTTATTGCATTTCCCCTCCCATCCCTTTAATGTTATTCACGGATCCCTAACACTTTTCGGGATCATTTCTATAAGTTTGTATCGTTCTCTTACGACACACTAGTGTCTTCACACTGGATTAGTTTGTATTTTTTTCTTTTCTTTTCCTTCCTTTTCTTTGTTATTTTCCAATGATAAATCTTATTCTCTGTTTCCTTTTTTTCTTTTGTCCTTTCCTTTCCATTTCCTTTGTTTTTCATATATTGATTTGCTATTCTATTTGTTCTTTTTCCTTCTTGATTTATGGGCTAGCGGATACCATACCTTTGTTGCTAAACAATTTAATTTCCGACGACCAACCTCAACTGCTCAAGTGAATTTCAGCTTTTGTAAGTCAGTTTATAGCTTTTTCTTAAACTTAAAATACTAGGCATGCCAAACACTGTTATTTGGAGAAAATATGGAAATTAACAATGGTACGCACAATCGTAAAGAATTAAGCATTCTCGCAAAATAACAAGATCTAAGCCAAAGTCTAAAGTCAGAGCTGAGTGATTCTGCTCATTCACTTTGTACGGGGCTGCAATGAATGAATGAGGTCATCAGTGACGTGAGAGCTTTGACCATACCTTGTTTCGACCCGTGACTCCGGCAAACCGCTCTATAATACAGGACTGGTTGAGAGACAGAGAGGAATGAAAACAATAAATAGACATAAGGGATATGCACAGTGAGAGAGAGAGAGAGAGAGAGAGAGAGAGAGAGAAGGGAGAAGGCAACAGGATATAATAAAGAAGGAAAGTGTGAATTAACAATAGTCTAGGGTGTCTGAACGATTTTTCAATTTTCAATTTGGGATCGTTTTTCACCATTTTTGTGGGATATCTGAATAAAAAATGTAATCAGAATAATACCTTTCAAATTTCAAGACTCACCAATGTTTCTATCAAAAGATACAGCCCCTCAACAACTGTGCAATATGGTCAGAATGCAAGCGTGTAGCCAGGATTTCATTTTAGGGGGGGCGGTAATGAGCAAGCGAAGCGTGCGAATCACTTACAGAGTGCGCGAAGCGCGCTCCCTAGGGGGGTGGGTGCAGGGAGGGGGGAATTTCCCCCCTCCCGCGCGAAGCGCGGAAGCTTTGAAAGAAGACGATTCGTTGTACCTTTCTCGACTCATAATCCTTGTCTGAATTCAGTCCCTCCCCCCTCTCACGCGAAGCTTTGACGTTTCATTAAACTATTAGAGAAAAGAGACGATTCGTTGTACCTAATTTCCCGACTCATAATCCTTATCTGTATTCAGTCCCCCTCCCGCGCGAAGCGCAGAAGCTTTGAAAGAAGACGATTCGTTGTTCTTTTCTCGACTCATAATCCTTGTCTGAATTTAGTCCCTCCCCCCTCTCACGTGAAGCTTTGACGTTTTATTAAATTATTAAAGAAAGAAGACCATTCATTGTACCTTTCTCGACTCTTAATCATTGTCTGAATTCTGTCTCCCCCCCCCCCTCTCGTGCGAAGTTTTGACGTTTCATTAAATTATAAGAGAAAGAAGACGATTCGTTGTAACTTTACCGACCCTTAATCCTAAATTTGAACTCAGTTCCCCCTTCCAGCGCGAAGCGCGGAAGCTTTGATGATTCGTTGTACCGTTCTCGACTCCTTTTCCCTTTTTCTTCCTACGTCCTCTTTTTTTTTTCTTCTCCTCTTTCTCTCTCTTTTTTTTTTGGCCGGCGTTTTGGGGGGGGGCGACCGCCCCCCCCCCCCCCTGGCTACGCGCCTGTCAGAATGGACAAAAAAGTGGTTCATGCGCAGAGTTATAATATTTCATTGCTCAAAAGCTGCACAGCTAGTATTATGCACAGCACGATATGCAAAGTGTGGAGTAAGGGTATTTTCAAACTGTTGGGGCGAGTGATCCCTTGGGACTAGAGAAAAAATAAGTGCATGGATATATTCTTTACAGCTGGCTCAACTTATCCCTCAGGGGAGCACTTCGTGAAATTACTCTGAATTACCATGGAAACAATGTTTAAAATCGCTGTTTTGAGCAAGATATCTTTAGAATTTGGGGGGTGGCCCCCTATGAGGAATATGGAGAAAAACCTGCTCTTTCATATGACACCTCATTTATTAAGTTTCACTTTCAGGATCACGAGTAATAGAGGTTTGGATTTCAATTTGTTCATAAAATCATTGACCAATTAGCATGAGCGCGCAATGCACATGGACTGCATAGGGATGTGTGCAATCTCTATGGGAAGGATTTTAGCGCACAAAACTGAGTGCGCGATCAGACACCCTATAATAAACAGTAGGGTCTAACAACAGTGGGATGAGAGAGCTAGAGAAGAGTAGATCTAGAAATAAGTTGCTGCTTTTAGTTTTACTTTTACATTGATGCTTTTCAAACAAAATGGCCCGAAATCACAAATGAAGTTTGGCGACAAACCTAGGTTTATGTGCGTCATATGACGCGTGTCGGTTTGTAAAAACGTGTCAAAACGCGTCATATGACGCACATACATGTACATGTAAACCTAGGTTTGTCGACAAACCTCCTTGGTGAATTCGGGCCAATATGTACCATCTGACAATGTGAATTAACTTTTTCTTATACTAGTCTAAATACAAATACAAACATTGACATATATATTGATTAGGGCTACGTGTACTCAACTACACAGTTTTACAAGACTAATAGTAGCTAGAGTTAGATGCCTCTTTACTCTTAATGCCTAGTTCACACCGACGCCGAATGTCGCGCTTTAAATCGGCGATTAATTCGGCGTCATTTTTTCAAAAAATCTCACGATCTCCTGAGATATGTTATGCTAAGTTCACACCGACGCCGAATTGGTGGCGCATTAAATCGGCGAGCAAAGCGGCGGCAAAGCGTAACAAAGCTTAATTAAAGCGTAATAGAGTGTGAGAAAGCTTTGAGCAATTCGGGACATTCGGCAAGAGCGCCAAAAATTTAAACTCTGTTAAGCTTTCCTACGCTTTGAGCAAAACTTTGATAAGCTTTGTGACGCTTTGATAAGCTTTAATACGCTCTTCCCGCTTTACGCAATTTGTGACAGATCGCCTCAAATTTTTAAACAGTTTAAAAAAAATTGGCGCTCTTGCCAAATGTCCCGAATTGCTCAAAGCTTTCTCACGCTCTATTACGGTCGTTACGCTTTAATTAAGCTTTGTTACGCTTTGCCGCTGCTTTGCTCGCCGATTTAATGCGCCATCAATTCGGTGTCGGTGTGAACTTAGCATTAGAAAAAACTTTAAATAGATCTAGGTCTAGGCCTAGATCTAGTTCAAATTATTTATTTGATTAATATAGGGTCTAGAGGTAGGCGGCTGTGATCTGGCAAAGCAACGTAGATCTAGATGTGACTTATGTCTGCTCGGGTACTTCCAAGATATCACAGGTTATAAATTTTACAGTTAAAATTGTTCCTATTTCTCTCAAGTTGAATAATTTCCCAAGATATATTGTCTAGATCTAGGCTACATCATGTAGCACTTGCAGATAATATTCTTTTAATTATGTACTGTAGACTAGGGTGAAATTATTTAATAAAACACTTTTTTTCTCCAATCTAGCAATCATTTTGTAGAGATACATTGTTTTGCCAGCACACTACTTTACCCTGCATCTCTGGCGTAATTTGGTAAAACAAATATACGTCACATGGTTCTGCCAGCTTATTTAGATCAAAATGGAAAAATTGCTGAACTTAAGATGCAATCTTCTTAAAATTTAAATCAATTTGAAAACTGAAATTTTGACAGATTAACAAAATTCTAAAAACTTGAAAAAGGTCAAAATATGACAGATCATGGCCGAAGTGCATACCAACTGCGTGTGCGTGAAGTTTATAGGGACTATAATCTCAAATCCTCATTAAAGTCAATGCAAGTAATTCACATTAGGAGTTGAAGATGGATCGATTACAGTTGCTAACTCCATGCACGCCCAAAAACCAACGTCGGTATGCACTAGAAAATGTATAATAATAATAATAATAATAATAGCCTAATAGTCCACTCCAAATTGTATTAAACCAAAACGGAAATTCTTTTTGCCCAATTGATCGTGAGCCCGGCAGCCACTGAGCAGCGCCAGCTCTATCCCTTATTGTTGAACGCCAAACAAGGTAGCAACAACTCCCATCTTTTAACGTCTTTTGGTATGACGCGGCCGGGGTTCGAACCCACGACCTCCCGGTTGTAAGGCGGACGCTCTACTGACTGAGCCAACACTCCGGTATTCATGGTTATTTCTGTCAAGTATTAGAGTAAGACTAAGCAGTTACATGTGCATCAGCAGAGAAGAGCTTTATTCACATTGGATATCTAGGCACTCTAGTCTACCTATGAACTTTTTTATTGGTACATGTAATAGTCAGTCAGGAGGCGCGATAGCTCAGTAGAGCAGTGGTCTCGTAATCCGATGACCGGGGTTCGAAACCAAGATGATGCGCTAATGCCCTTTGGTAAGGCGTTAATCCTCACTACTAGGTCCCTTGGAGAGGACCTAAAGCCGTCGGCCGTCTGGTTGCTTACTAACAAGTAATTATGCTTTCTTAGCAGTCAGGTAAAACAACCAACCATCACATCTCTCTCTAATAAGCCAAGTAAAGGTATACTCTGTCCTAGACCGAAAGCTTCAGTCTTTGATATCGATGGTTGTTCCATTAAGATTACATCTGGCTCCTCTGACCGCCTCTATGTTTTATTAAAGAATGACCTATAACAGACGCTTATTTCTGTCTAACTCACTCCCCACTGTCTAATTTCATGCAGAGTGCGTCACGATCAAAGAGCAACAATGGACGACGATGAAACGTCCCCGCTCACGTATTCAACGCAGGTGACGGCATCGGCAGACAACACGCAGCCAGCCACGGACACCACCAGGAAGTCCAGGATCACCGTCGAGCCCGTCATCTTCTTTATGATGTTATCCTACAGTCTGTTCATACCGCTGAGGCTCCAGTACCTGACCAGACGGATCGCGGAAGACGAGTTTGGGATCGTGGATTACAACCGTGCCGACGATCCGCTTTGCTCCAAGAACGGAACAAACAGTGGGATGACCATTAACAGCACAATGGAAATGGACATCGAACAGCAGGTGAGAGATTCTAGAACGTGTCCCTTAGTGAAAAATGTAGAAACTTTTGAAATACACCTCACTTATAGGACGTTGCAAGAAAGTTGCATTTGATTGCAAGTTGCGATTACAACTGATATTTGCAATCGATTGCAACGCCCCTCTATAGTCTCCTAAATTGTCTAGGATTGTGTTAGGATTAAAGTATTAACAATTGAATAGTTAACTAGATCTAGCTTTTATTCTCCCCATCCCTCTTTGTCTCTCAATCTCTTACTAAGGGGGCATTGCAAGAATGTTGAGTGGCAATTAATTGCAAGACTTACGCTTGATTCTGGGGATTTGCAATTGATTGCAACTTTCCTGCAACGCCCCATTAGTCACTATAAATTTAGAAGTTTTTAAGATGAAAATTTAGTTTAATCCTAGCTTTGACCAAATATTCTACGTTTGAGTCGGAATAAACTTTAAACTGTATTGAGATGGCTCAAAGGCAGGGTATTCTACTGACGACACTACTTAAGACTTGCATATACCGGTACCGCATATGTTTCTCACAACGTTGTGTTGTGTCGACAGCCATGCCCCACAATGCATCTCCACCTGCACGATGCACGCATGATGTTTGGGTACAGGAACCGGAAGTTGCTCTGTGCATGTCTTCAGCGAAAGATGGTGCAATTGAAAATACAATAACGGCAGTGGAAGCGATGTCGGTGAAATTCTCTGATGTTGAATTAAATTTATTAAATAATTTTTCCCATTTTCTGGTGTGAATCAATGCAAGGTAATCAAATATGTATTGTTAGAAGGTTTCAAAAAAGCTTGTTAAAAAAACACATACTATGGAGGATTAATGTTTTTATGTTAATGTTTAGTTATTTCTAGGATATTCATCATTGTCATGTCATCATCATAATGATCTGTGTAGAGGTGTTGTGGTCCTTTGGATAAGTCGTCAGGCTGTGAACCACAATGTACTGGGTTCAAATCCCTGGCGCAGCACTAGTATCCTTTGGCACGCTCCTACCAGCTGAGGTAAATGGGTACCTGGGAAGAATTGATTCCTTAAAAAGCTTGAGCACTGTAATGGCAGCCGTGCTAAAACCAGGGTAATAATAACGGAGTGCAAGGAGTAGCAATATGCCAGACATGAGCGCTATACAAGACTTCGTCATCGTCATCATTATTATCATCTTTTTCTCTTTCTTTTTACCCACCACAGGTTTCTCTTTTTTCACTGTACCTGAGTGCGACAACCTCTGTTCCAGCGTTGTTCTGCACAACCCTTTTAGGAGCTCACAGCGACCAAGCTGGGAGAAAGGTTGCCCTCATAGTCCCATCTATAGGCTTCTGTGTCTATGCAGCATGTTATCTTATTGTCACCATGCATGAACTAAACATCTGGTACTTGGTCATTGGTGAGATACATATCATGGTTTATCATTTATGATTTTACTCTGTAGAGGTGTAGTGGTCGAGTGGTTTAAGCACTTGACTTGATATTTAAAGGTCATGGGTTCGATCCCCAACACAGCACTAGTGTCTTTTGGCAAGGCATTAATCAACATTTGCCACTCTATATCCAGGAGATAAATGGGGACCTGGTAGGATAGTAATTGCCATATGCCTACAAGGTGACCGACCATATGGTAGGAATACTCCCCAGTGAGTGGAGGTTGTGCGTGAATGAATCCGATGACGGGGGTAATATTATCTGTAAATCGCTTAGAGAGGGTATTTCATATAATTAAGAAGTCAAGGAAGTCCACCCTCATATATAGTTGGTTTTCATAGAAGCACAAAAATGAGAGTTACAAGTCAGTGAAAGTTTAAGCAAAATCTGATTAAGATTTTAAAAGTTATGAATTTTGAAGTTGCGATCAATCAAACACAAATTGGCAACGCTGTGACGTATCTTGCAAGGTCCCCTCTCATTTGCTCTGTACTAAAAATTAAAAAATCAGAAATTTCTACTTTTGCCCTAAAGAAGACAACCAATCATGCATGCACCCTACATACAATTATTGCAATTTTTTGTTGTTGTATGCAACCCCTGTATGAAACCAATCTATTCCATCATCAATAAATGAGAGTTTATAAAAGAACCATCTTTTGGTAGAGCATTTCTTGTACAATCGATATTTATACAAACGGTTAACAACTAAATCATTCATACTCTTACCAAGTTTTGTAATTTTGAAGTACAATGTTTGCAAAATATTGATTTGACCCAATTTATGTTTCTTGAGAATGTGAAGTACACCTGTATTAAAACTTGCATCTAAAAATATTCAACAAAGGCCCTAATTCAACCTTTCATTCTTGAGTTACGGAAAACAGAAAAGACGTCAAATTTACAAGATGTATGAATAATTCAGTTGTTAACAGTACATGTTTGTTGGACTGTAATTTTAGTTTTCATAGACTACCCTCTTCTGATAATGCCACTACAAGTTACGATGAACCGAGCAATGCATTTCCTCCCATCCAGGTCATTTTGTGCTGGGTCTCTGTGGCGACTTTTCGCTGCTCCTTGCGGGCTGTTTTTCCTACATGGCAGACATTACAACAAAGAAGGAGAGGGCTCTGCGAATCATCCTCCTCGATTGCCTGAGCTTCATGGCAGCCGGTATTGCACAGGTTGGAGTTGGGTACTGGATTCATGCTCAGGTACAAATGCTTTCAGGAGGGCGTTTCACAAAGACTTTTTTCAATGACAAAACCTGAAAATCAGTGACAAATGTGCTGATAACCAATCAGATGCAAGGATTTCAGTAGCTTATAACAAAAAATGTCATTTGTCACTGATGACAAGTTTTGTGAAACACCCCCCAGGACAGGGATGTTTGCATAAATATCTTCAACAGCTGATTTCATCGTCCAGGGAGGTGTTTCACAAAGATCCTAAGTTAAACTTATCTCTAAGTTGGACTTCACAATTATGGATAGCCGTTAGCATATTAAAAAATATTTTGTAAAAATTATTTTAAATCATTCACTCAAATCATTCATATTTTCAATTATCGAGGAGATTTCATGTTCCTGTTGCTCTTTTGAATATATATTTTCTTTTAAGGCTACAAATGGCTCTCCATAACTTTTAAGTCCAACTTAGAGTTAACTTTGACCTAGGATTTTTGTGAAACACCCCCAGGTGTAGTAGATGAGCATCAAGATATTCATGCCCCAACCTCCTGGAATGACCAAGCTACAAAAAAATAAATTATTGATGTATTACATATTGTGGACTCCTACAAATACCTTGGGCTGTGATTTGATGAATTCCTTAGCTTTCAGAAGGGTACCAGAATGCTAGCTCAGTCTGCATCCAGAGCATTGGGTGTTGTTATAAGTAAATTCAAATTGATTGGAGGCTCTTTATTCAAGACATATAAAAAACTTTATGATGCCATGATTTTACCCATACTACAATATGCAAGTGGTATCTGGGGTGTGGATGAATATTCTGTTATAAATAGTGTCTTTTTCAGAACATGCCGTTTTTACTTAGGAGTGGGGAAATATACACCTAACAATGCAGTATTAGGGGAGATGGGTTGGGACCCACCATTCTATCACCAAATTCAATCGGTTGTTAGATTATGCAGTAACTAAAGTAAACTCAAAGTGACCGCTACCCAAGTAAAATCTTCTCTTGGTCTAAATCTCTAGCAAACAATGGAGTCAAAAACTGGTGTTTCAGAGTCAAAGAGCTTTTTTCAAAATTACAATGTGTACATGTTTTACCTTTAGCTAATCTTGTTAGTACAGACAATTTTGTAAAAACTGTGTCATCGTCATGTAAATTATTTATCGAGAATAGATGGAGAAATTCAATTTTTGACGATAAAAGGAAGAAAGCTCATGCTAAAAATAAACTTAGAACTTATCGAAATTTTAAACAATCTTTGAACACGTCAAAATATGTAATAGAATGTCAAAATAGATCAAACAGACGTGCTTTGGCTTTGTTTAGATGCGGTTGTGCCCCTATAGCTCTTGAAACTGGGCGTTATCAAAATGTCCCATATGAAGAAAGATACTGTGTTTTTTGTAATTCTAGTAACAGAAGATGAGTTCCACTGTTTTATGATTTGTTCTGCATATAATGACATCAGATCACAACTTCTTAATGATATAATAGAACATGACCATACGTTTTCAGATCTTTCCACATACCAACAATTTATTTACCTAATTTCAGCTGACTCACTAAGCAGTTTAATAGCCAGTTTTGCAAACGAAATCCTAACAACTCGCCAAGAACTTTTGTACTCCTTAAATGAATATTTTTTTTTTCTTTTTTCTGTGTTTTTTAATTATGTTATACTTATATTTGTACTATGTTATCATGTCAAATTGTTTATGACTGTTATTTTTGATGTATCACTCATAGGCCTATTTAGGCCGGCTGTCCGATGACGGTTGTGATTTTTTAATAAAGAAATAAACTAAACTATGCACATTGTGTACTTGTATAAGGAAGCGATGTGTGGCCTTGTACTGGCTATAACAATGAAATAAGTTGGAACAGTTTTGTTATCTATCAGGGGACCATTTATATTACACAGTCATGAAAATAACTGTAGCATCACACTGGGCAAGCTGTCATCACACTGGGTAAGTTTTCAAGGTAGCTGGTTTCAAACAATTTGGTGCTGAGCAATGATGTGGTGATGACACCCGCCCCCAAACACTGCATATTCCCTGCTCAAGCCTGTTGCTCTAATGATTTGCCGGTGAACCTCATTTGCAGGCTGTGTTGTTTAGAACCAGTAACCTCAAAGACGATGAATATGACATTACCTCTTTAGTACAGTCAAACCTGCTTTTAGTGAAGAGATATCAAGCCTCCCTTTCGGGTACATATTAATACATCTTTCCTTCTAATTCACCTTCTACAGGGCTTTGAGGCACCTTACATGTACATCCTGGCCTGCGTGTCGTTGATGACCTTCTACGTCGTCTCCCTCATTCCTTGTTCTCACTTTAGTCAACTTCTCTGCTAAGAACCTAGATAAATACAAAATTCAAAATAATTGTTAAAGGTACTATGTCCCTTTTGCAGCCAACATCAAATGCTGTAGAACTTTGCAGGAATTATGAATATGTCATGTATGTCCTATCTGTGAAATTTAAACGTTAGCAGTGTCCTCATATTCAAATTATGCAAGGAAAACCATTTACTTGCTAGACTTCACTGTCAGACACTATTGAGTGACTGACTGGCTTTTTTTCTTCTTTGATAATAACATACATGAAAAGAGTTGTAAAGGGTACATGAGCATTTGTCTACATCAATAACCCACTTCTTGTGATGGCCAAGATTAAACTGATTGAATCTTTGCGCAGCATAAAATGTATGACCATTCGGTACAATTGTCTGAAAATCAAGACTATTACTTTTGGGCTCTATAGCCCTAAAGTCGATTTGACAACTAATAGTCGTTGTTTTCCCACTTGAAGACATTTTCAAGCCCCACCTTTTTTAGGGAAGTTCTAAATTAGTATTATCTTTCAAATGCAGTTGGAATTTAACTTTTTAATTTTTTTGGCCTGCAAATGGGACATAGTCCCTTTAAGAGACATCAATACATCTTCCCTTCTAATTCACCTTCTATAGGGCTTTGAGGCACCTTCCATCTTCATCCTTGTCTGCGTATCGTTGACGACCTTCTACATCATCTTCCTCGTCCCTTGTTCTCACTTTAGTCAACTTCTCTGCTAGGAACCTAGATAAATACAAAATTCAAAATAATTGATAAGAGATATCAAGCTTCCCTTTCGGGTACATATTAATCAGGCCTGATAAAAACCAGATTTAAATCGGTTTCCAGATTATTATTTTTTTCCAATTTTTTTTTCCAATTTTTTTTTTCTTCCCTATTTTATCCTGATTTTCCCGATTTCCCTCTTATTTTCTCTATTCTTCCCTATTTTGCCCTATTTTTTTCCCAATTTTGTCCCAATTTTCTTACTCGAAAGGGGGGAATGTTGTTAGATGCCATTTTTTCCTTGCGAATCCTCTTTTTTTTTTGTTTACTCAAGGGGGGCGTGGTTGAGGGGAAAACAAAAAACCTATTTTTTTTTTTTTAGTGCTCACTATCACCCCTGATTAATACATCTTTCCTTCTAATTCACCTTCTACAGGGCTTTGAGGCACCTTACATCTTCATCCTTGCCTGCGTGTCGGTGACGACCCTCTACGTCGTCTTCCTCGTCCCCGACACGCACCCGCAGGCCCATCCAGCCATGCTCAACGTCAGGGATGCCATCCGGAAGATCCTCAACCTGGTCCAGAGCAACACCCACAAGCGACGCCTACCCCTCCTCATAGCAACCATCGTCATGCTGCTCAGGGTCCTGGTGTTCTTCTCGTTGCCGGGGCTGACGTTGCTCTACGGAATGGGGGATCCTTTCTGCTGGGACTCGATAGTCATCGGCATCTTCAGTGCTCTGCAGTACCTGTCCGGTGCTCTAGGTATGTAAGCCTTCCTCTTAAAGGGACTAGATCGGCAGTTTCCAAGTGAAGAAGGCCATAATTCGCTGACACCAGACTTTGTGGAAATACCATTAATGGGAGTACAAATCTGCACACAGCAAACTCGTTAGCCAGTCAAGAATTACCCCCTAATCGCTCAGAGAGCTTTGGGTGAGGGAAAAGCGAAGCATTACATAAGGTCTAATGGTCATAAAACTGAAGGCTAACCCTGGTGATTGACAACACCTGTTATTGGGTAAACACTTGAACGGTGTCGAATTCCCCATGAGAGCTGACTTCTATGTGACTTTAAAGCAGGGGGGTGTTTCACAAAGATCCTAAGTCAAACTTAACTCTAAGTTGGACTTAACGAATTATGGAGAGCCATTTGTAGCCTTAACAAAAATATATATTCAAAAGTGAAAAATGAAGTATTTTTGACATTTTATAAATTCCACATCAATATCATGAAATCTCCTTGATGTAATAGAAAATATAAATGATTTGAATCAACATTTTATGCCTTTTAAAATAACTTTTACAAAATAATTTCAAACATACTAACGGCTTTCCATAATTGTAAGTCCAACTTAGAGATAAGTTCAACTCAGGATCTTTGTGAAACACGCCCCTGCTCTATCTCTCTCTCCTCTCTTTGTGTGTCTCCTCTTTTTGCTCTCTCTCTCCATTTCTCTCTCTCTCTCTTTATCCATCTATTTTTCTCCAGTCATGTATCCATTACTATCATTGATCAATCAATTCATCCCTTTTACATCTGTAAACAAAATTTAATAATACTTTTCCAACATAAATTATACATTTAGTACAAATATGGGGTTTTGTTTAAATTGTCATTACTTTTTATAATCCCCCACTTTGAAATTAATATTTTTGTAGTCTAATCTCATTCTGTAATTCTGCTTTTGTTCTTTTTTGTCCTTTTCTTCCTAATGTTTCTAATGGCATTAATGTGTTGAATGATAACAGTACTATGTATATCGTATATACAGTATATACATATTTTTATGCCTCCGTTATGAAGTACGTCTGTACGTACGTCTGTACTATTATTCAATTCAATTCTGTCCTTGTTTGGAATGCGCTCCATCTCTCTCACTTTCTAGGTATGATAATCGGTGGGAAGCTTCTCAGTCGCTACCTGAGGGACGCCACTCTTGTTCAAGTTGGTTTAATATCATCCATCATGTGCGTTGTATTAACAGGCGTTGCTCCAAGCAATCCATATATTTTTGCAGGTAAGTCTAATGAAAGAGAAGGTTGAGTTCTGGAAAAGGTGGACAAAGAATTTTGTGAACTTTTCATTCTTTTTATGTTAATGTTGAACACTATCTCTCTAACACGATGTACACAGTGTGTGTTGTATTAACAGGCGTTGCTCCAAGCACTCCGTATATTTTTGCAGGTAAGTCTAATGAAAGAGAAGCATGAGTTCTGAAAAAGGTGGACAAATATTTTGTGAACTTTTCTTTCTTTTTATGTAAGACTATCTAAGACGATGTACATAGTGTGTGTTGTATTAACAGGCGTTGCTCCAAGCAATCCTTATATTTTTGCAGGTAAGTTTAATGAAAGAGAAGGTTGAGTTCTGGAAAAGGTGGACAAATATATTTTGTGACATTTTCATTCTTTTTAAAGTTAATGTGGAAGACTCTCTCTAACACAATGTATACTTGATGACTGTCGTATATCACACACTTCCATACACCCGCATCACTCACGTTTAAAAGAAAAGTTAGCAGCAGGTTTGCTTATATTTGCTGTTCAGACTGCTGCCTTCAAGGATCCTTAAAAATAATTGTGTTTTTCCTTTATCCACTGGTTCTCCTTGTCTCTTTAGTTTCAGCTGTGAATCTGTTCAAAGCGCTGTATGTACGGATCTTTAAACAATCATGTCCATTAAAACCTGTTTAGTGTTTCTGTTCCTCAAGTAGGTCTGTTCAGGCCACCCTTATTACTGATGTTTAAAACAACCGTGTCTAACCTTGTTTAGCGACTGTTTCATTGCGTCTTTTTAAACCGCTGCCTATACCGATGTTTAAACCAGTTATTTCTAAACCTGTTTACTGCTTGTCTTTTTAGTTCCAGTGGTAGGGCTGTTCAGACCGCTGCCTTTACTGATGTTGAAAACAGTCATGTCTAAACCTGTTTACTGTTTCTGTTTGTCTTGTAGTTCCAGCTGTAGGTCTGTTCAGACTGCTGCCTTTACCATACTTTAAAACAGTCATGTCTAAACCCGTTTACTGTTTGTGTTTTTCTTCTAGTTCCAGAGGTAGGTCTGTGTAGACTGCTGCCTTTACCATACTTTAAAACAGTCATGTCTAAATCTGTTTACTGTTTCTGTTTTTCTTCTAGTTCCAGCGGTAGGGCTGTTCAGACCACTGCCTTTACCGTACTTTAAAACGGTCATGTCTAAACCTGTTACTGTTTCTGTTTTTCTTCTAGTTCCAGCGGTAGGTCTGTGTAGACTGCTGCCTATACCGTACTTTAAAACAGTCATGTCTAAACCTGTTTACTGTTTCTGTTTGTCTTGTAGTTCCAGCAGTAGGTCTGTTTAGACCGCTGCCTTTACCAATGTTTAAAACAGTCATGTCTAAACCTGTTTACTGTTTCTGTTTGTCTTGTAGTTCCAGCTGTAGGTCTGTTCAGACCGCTGCCTTTACCATACTTTAAAACAGTCATGTCTAAACCCGTTTACTGTTTGTGTTTTTCTTCTAGTTCCAGAGGTAGGTCTGTGTAGACTGCTGCCTTTACCATACTTTAAAACAGTCATGTCTAAATCTGTTACTGTTTGTGTTTTTATTCTAGTTCCAGCTGTAGGTCTGTTCAGACCGCTGCCTTTACCGTACTTTAAAACGGTCATGTCTAAACCTGTTTACTGTTTTTCTTTGTCTTCTAGTTCCAGCGGTAGGGCTGTTCCGAGCGTTGTCATTACCGATGCTGAGAACGATCATGTCTAAACTTGTTTACCCTTCAGAGCAAGGTGAGTGACAAAGTAACAAGCAACTTGATTTCATGTGTTATATATTACATGGTCTGCAGGGTTGTCCACGAACAAAAATAATTGTTATATTAAAGGGATCCGGTACCTTTGTCTTAGATCCTTTAGAAATATCCTTGATTTAGCTCATGCTGCAATGATCATTATAAGCCTTTAGGTCAGTCAGGAACCCCATGACTTTTACAAGCCGATCGCCTGTCTCATTATCGAGATATTTATGATTGAAAATCAATATCAAATTTTGTGTTTGACTAACGGTTTTCATTTAAGTACAGTCTATTTGGGAAAACGAGTACGGTAAAACCGGTCACTCAAAGGTTTTAACTTGTTTGAGGCACTTCTTGATCATTTTGAAGCACAATTTGTTCAGGGCTTCAATATAACACCATATCACAGACACTGATTAAAGACGTAGGGCCGTGCATCTAAGATTTAACATTGTTAAACGATCCCTTTAATATAAATAATAAAGACAATACATAACTCAAGGACACAAAACAAGCCATAATTAAATAATACAGTTTATGTATCCATGTTTTGTATCCTTTATCTGTTTATTGTAAACTATGTCTGAGCTGAGCCTCTCTTCTTTTTTTTTTATAGAGCAAAACAAGTGATTGTACATTGGACAAAAAAAAACAACTAGACTAAATTGAAATAAATCATCATTTTTCTATTTTACAGGTGTAATGTTTGCCTGTATTGGCTGCCTTCAAAGCATCGCTATGGTGATCTCTCCTCTCCTTTTCAACACTCTCTACTATGCAACGTTGCATATCCACAGAGGAATCGTCTTCTATGTCATGGCAGCGTTCCTATTCATTGCCAGTCTCCTTTCAATGTAAGCCAAACTCTTTGGGTGGTATTCGGACTAACTTTAGTCCATGGTTTAACTTTAGTCCATGGTTTAATCCTCTGACTCACTTAAGTATGGAATGCCAAGTGTCCATGTGAATATGTTCTTTTAATAATTTAATCTGTCACCAAATTAAAATAAAATGTAATAATATAATCAATAAATAACAATATAACCATGAATGATTATGCAATCATGGTAATTTAGGGACATTATTAAAAAATATATTCATATGGGCATTTGGAATTCCATACTTAGTCGGAGGATTAAACCATGGACTAAAGTTACTCCACTTTCGAGAATACCACCCTTTGACCCCGCAGTTGCCACCAAGTCTACAGTAATACAGTCTAACCTGTCTATAGCGACCGCCCAAGGGAAATACAAAAAGTGGTCTCTGTAGACAGATTTCTTAAGTACACGTTTCAATGAGAAACCGTTTTGAAGGGAAACATAAAATGGTCTTTGTGGACAGTTGGTCACTAAAGCAGGTTTGATTGTAGCAACAAAAACAGACATTCTGATCGTATTTTTTTCTTGCCCTCATCAGAGAAAATCGCAAGAATGAACAGAAAGCCAAAATCAGACAATATAAGCTGAAGCTAAAGGAACGTACCATGAGAAAAAAAGAAGTTAATTCTTGCCATTTAAACCGATGACGGCAAGATGAAAAGCTTTAGTTTGTCCGTCTCCAGTGCTATTTTTAGAACTTAACTCTAAGTTTGACTTAAACATTATGGAGAGTCATTTGTAGCCTTAAAAATGAAATATATTCAAAAGCAGAAGTTCAAGTATTTTAAACTTTTCATAAATTCCACATCAAGAACATGGAATCTCCTTGATAGAAAATATGAATGAATTGAATCAACATTTAATGCCTTTAAAAATAACTTTTACAAAATATTTTCAAAGATGATACCAGCTTTCCATAATTGTTAGTCCAACTTAGAGATAAGTTCAACTTAGGATCTTTGTGAAACACCCCCCTATTGATGATGATGCTTCTGTAGAGTGTTCTGCCTCGTGGCATACAATGGGCTACAAAAATCCAAGATATTCTCATCTACCCGACACTCCTTGACACAAGAGAAGTCCAAGGATGAGCGAGCAGACTGTTAGCTAGTGTATGGGAGTGTGAATGGGAGTGTGTATAAGAGTGTAAATGTGAGTGTTTATGAGAGTGTCCATGGTACAGGAGTGAGAATAGGAGCGTGTATAGGAATGAGAGCGGTATTGAAGAGCAAAGGGCCTGCTTGCTCATCCTTTGACCCACTCTTGTGTCACCTCACAAAATATATTTTAAACATGACTTAATTTGCCTGTTTTTGCCTTAGTCATATTAGTTATGAACTTTGTTATGAATTTTGTTATATACTGTATATTATACTTTGTGACAATATCAACCACATTTGTATGTATTATAATTCATTGCCAATGTAAATTGTTCATAATTCAGCCATCTGGCTGCAAAGTGCAATCAATAAAACCTTTTCAATCTCAATCTCAATCTCAAAAGCTGAAGTCCTATTGATATTGTGACAGAGTCGCTGTAACATTGCTCACAATGATATAGCCCTTTAAAGATTAACAGAAGTAGAAGAAGAGTGGGCTTCTCATGTTGAAATACAGTACCACACTGAAAACGAGTCGAACGTAGGGACACTTCAAAGACTTGACAACGCGCTAGACGAACAGTGTCAGTCTAGCATACCTTCTGAAAAGTTGTCATGACGTCTTTTGAGGGCTCATCAACATTGTAGGTCCCGTGGTCAGTCGGTCTCACAGGCTGTCTGTCTTGGGGGCTTTCAGTCTTAGGGGCTTTCAGTCTTAGGGGCTGTCGGTCTTGGGGCTTTCGGACGTTGAATAAAGGTGAAGTACTCATTGAAACAAATCTGATGCTAACTTTCATCTCTCACAGAAGAACCCATTAATCATTATTTTATCGTTATTTTCATTATTACTATCATTTGGATCATTAATTATTTTGATTATTAAAGATAAACTTGAGTTCTGGTAAAAAAAGAAAATGAATTCTCACAGAATCTAATGAAACTTATACTGAATGTTCAAGATTACAAATAAATGTCATGTGCCAAACAATTTTGGAAGAAAATGTATACTGGCTGAGTAATGAGCATAGAAAGATAAGGAAATCAGGGTAGTACTAGCCCCGACACCATGTGTGTTGTCCCATATACATCTTTCTGTGTAAGTGATTGCTACTTTACCAAGACTCTGCCAAATTTATGATGATTTTGATGACTCCAGAACCTTGCATTACACACCATTACTTACATGCTATATGATCAACTTTTCTGATTCATTTCACATCTTTTCTTTCACAATGCAATCGCATTACCAGAACTCAAGTTTATCTTTAATATTTGTATTATAATCATTATGATTATTTATATCATTATCTATCTCTCACAGAGTTTTACAAGTCAAAAGGCAAGAGTCCTCCTTTCTTCTCCTGAGCGACCCGTCGACATCAAGTATCAACCGGGGAAGCCGCAGTCTCTTGACCGGACGACCTCGCAATTACCAAGCTGTACAGACATAGGGGAGGGACAGACAACCACATGTAACCTCCTAGAGACGCTGTTGTCTTTTTTTCAAAGGGCTTTAAAATACTCCATAATATGGTGCTTTTTTTCAATTTTCATACCAAGATATACTTAGGGAAGACAATTACATCAAACTCCTGGAAATGCTGTTCTGTCGTTTTTCTTCAAAGTGCTTTAAAATGCTCCCAATATGTTGTTGTTTTTGTTTTCTATTTCTTTTTGAGACTTTCTTTCCTTTCTCACAAGAGCGATTTTATGTTATTCAAATGTTGTGCAATGAAATAAGATATGGACAGTGGGGCTTTAGTAGACAAAACCTACATGTAGTATGAAGTCAAATTACACTAAATTGATCCGTCAGAGTTGCTTCTTTCGCAAGGTATTCCATAACATTGAAGTGCTACTTTCCTCTTTTTTTCTGCTGAGGGGAAATTTTGATTTAAAACTTGTTTTTGTTTAAAACTCTGAATCTACCACATCTTGTAAGTGGTCTATAGGATACAACAATGTCACCGGACATGTGGATCACATGGTTCACTGTTCAAGTCCCACTGCGGCACTGATGCTTCCTTAGGCAAATCATTTATATTTGCCATTCTCCACACAGGTGTGTGGGTACCCGGTAGGAATGTATTCCTTGAATGCTTGAGGGCAGCTGGGCTAAAAACCAGGGTACTAAAACTACTCTGTAGGTGCCTCTGTAGGGGATGGATACATACATGCATTACAGAGGTCGCTGTGATTATGTTTATGATCTAATATTATTATTATTATTATTATTATTACCATAATGCAATATGTATCTACCAAACTCTTATGTTGAAGTTCATTTTTTACAGCGATGAGAGACTTCGGTGGTAAGCGCTTTATAGGCACCGTTATTATTATTATAATCCAGTATATTTTGGTAAACTGTGAGTTTATTACGAGTTCAAGTGAGTGTACAAGTATTCACTATGAAATTGTGCCTTTGTGCCGAAAAACCATGTACTTATTCCTAGAAAAATCAGGCAAGTGCTTATAAGTATTAATTTCTCTTGACTTGGTTTATATTTCTAATGTCTATGTACCGTCATTAATATATTTATTCAGATTTCTACAAGTATAAAGTTCTATTTTGTATAACTTTTATTTTGTAAATTGTAATATATATTCATATTTATAGATGATGACATATGAAACAGATCCTTTGAGTTTTAATTTATTCAATTGTAATGTTGATTTGTGCAATTAAATGTATTAAAGCCATGCTGTACTAGAAACACAACACTGCGAAATTCCATCTAGCCCCGTCTCAGGTCAGCTGTAGCAGTACGGTCCCATACCTCGCTGCTTCCCTAGCTGCGCTGTTGGTCCTCACATCGAGTCTTCTGACTGCGAAGTGGAATTAGGCATTGGATTACACACTGTTGGAAGTTGACCAAGAGATGGCGCTGGGCATGGTACGCAAGAGCAGAAAATTTACCTGTTCAGTATTGCTTTAACTAAAATGCCCTTCATTTTGACAAGTTCCTAGCCTCTCCTCATCTGGATCTGACAACGCCTTTTCCTATTCCATGGAATCTTTGGTATTCCTTTCCATGTCATCCATCACTCTGGCAGTTATTATTCTACAATGCACAAAGTGGCATGTATCTGTGTATAAAATGATCTGTTGGTATATAGGAGGTCATTTGAACAAGTGCCATCTCCAAATTGGCTTATTCTCCAAGATATTGTAGATAATATCGCAGGGGCAGATTCCTCCTCTCCTGGTCTTTATAGTGTTAAGAGAAACAGCAGGGGAGGGGGGGGGGGGGGGGGGGTCAGATATGGATTACAAGAGATCTGCAGAGTTTATGAGGGATCATTGCAAGCTCGCTGAAAGATCATTTGTTTAAAATACTTAAATTTTCGCTTTTGAATGTATTTCATTTTAAGGCTACAAATGGCTCTCCATAATGTATAAGTCCAACTTAGAGTTAAGTTCGACTTGTGTTTTTTGTGAAACACCCCCCTGATTTCATTTCATTTCATTCTCGCAATTCACCTGTGCATTATATATTGTGTTTTTAACAGTATAGGGCCAATCGCTGAAGGATCATTGTGCAAAAACGATACAGCTGAGCTATGTTTATGCAATTTATTTAATTGGACAGCAATAATAAAAAGGTATTAAAGTATTAATATTCACCTGGTTTATAGTATCTCATGTGAGTTATCTCTCTCGTTCCTTTCTTACAGGCTAGTTCAGATATGGCACCAAAAAATACAGCAAAAAGCCCCTGCATTCTGTTTTAAAAAACGTGCGATTAAGGTGCAACAAATGGCAACTGCGCTCGGCAAAGGACTTGTTCATATTCACTGAGCTCTGTGTTGAAATATACAGAAATGTGAAGCGATTTACACTTAACATCGTCAGGAACGCAGCTGTTTTGAATCGTATCTGAACAAGCCTTAAACCTGACACGTCTGCATGTTCTTTCTTCACGGCCTCCTTGTAGAGAAAGAGAGGTTGAGAGAAGACAATAAGAGAGAGAATGAAAAAGAGAAGAAGTAGAGAGGAAGAAAGATGAAATGAATGAGGAAGAGATAGAGATTGGGGACAGGATTCCCAAGGTCGTGGAAAAACATGGAGAGTCGTTGAAAATTGGTAAAAATCATGGAAAGTCATAGAAATTTTGAGGGAGTTGGAGGCCTTCACAAAACATGAAATAAAATACATCACTGCGTGGTATTCTTGTACCCCTTGGATACCGAAACGCATACTTAAATGGTTCTTGCCTGAACCCTGTTGCATTAAATGGAAATTGGTTCTCACATTGAAAGAAAGCCAGAGAAAATGCTAGAGAAGAATTCTTCAAAGCCATCCACATTTAGGAGGGAGTTTCACAAAGACTAAGATCGACTCAAGTTCGCCAAAATTTTCTCTCACCATTGACTGCATGGCTTTGGTTTCACAAGGACAAAATATCTAAATATCATAATTGAAAGACCAAAAGTGGGAGCAACTAGTGGCATGAATGCCCTGCCATAGTTACCGGTAAGTCCAACTGAAATTTGATCTTAGTCTTTATGAAACACACATTTCATCACTATACCATAATGTATACACAAAACCACACAGTAAACACAAATGAATGACAATTTGATCCAATTTCATTAAAAATGGATTTATTATAAACATCCACTAATCACATAATGTTTACACAGTGACAAACAGAAGAGAAAACAAATCAGCTCCTTAACTCTTTAACAATTTGCAGATGAAGGATGCACCCCCCCCCCAATACTAAAAGATTAAGACCTCTACTACTTATTTACAAACAAAAAACATGTTGAAAGTTGACAGAAAAAGTACAAACGGGAGAAAATAATGGGGCAAATTGTCATGACAGATAAACAAATTAAGCCTTCATGTGAGAAAAATTTTCCTCGCCGTTTTCAAAGAAAGAAAATCTGTGTCACAGCTCCAAATACTAGGTAGTAGGTAGGTACTATTATTGTTTAACATAAACAGCAGTGTGTCCCCATGGGGTTTCCAACAACATTTGGGTGTTTACTCAACAACAGTATTTCCAACCAAGTCTGGTGTCAGCGAATTATGACCAACTGCAAATGGAAAGCGATGACCCTCTCCCTTTGATTACCCGAGTGATCAACAACAGACCAATCTTTGTACTTTGGATATTTACAAAAGATGATCCCTAGACATTGAGAAAATATTTCAATATACAGTGAAACCTGTATACAAAGACTTTTCAAGAGAGATAAGAAAAGTGGTCTTCATTTGCAGGAGGCCACTAAAGCAGGTTTGACTGTATTTAATTGTAAGGGTTCAGTGTGGTACAATTGAAATCTGGGAGCTGTTATTCTTGTGGGCCTTCAAGGATGGGCTTTGCTCTGGGGCCCGTTTCATAAAACTTGTTATCTATAACAAATGCTAAATTTCTATGACAAATTTGCTCTCAGCCAATCACATGCCATGATTGCAGTAGCTTATAACAGTAGCTTGTAACTTGTTATTGATATCAAATTTTATGAAACAGGGCCCAGGTCATGCAACTAGATTGTGAAAGAAACAGTCCTGAAACATTTGGAGAAGATCGATGATGTAGCACATGAGAATATGTGTATAATGGGAGATTTTAAACTCATAAAAATGTTAAGAATTCGACCCAGTCTTGCTAAAAGTCACCTGCACTGTTCACAGAAGCATATACATGGGATTACATGTAAATGGGAATACATAAACATGTGTCATAACAGTTTGGTCACTTGTCATACTTTGAATATGAGGGAATTTGAAGACACATCTTTTTTCACATGACATTTTTTCCAAGATATTTTGTCCACATTACCATTAAGGGAATGAAAACCTCACATGTTAGCACTCTCGGTTCCCAGAACTCTACTATCCCATTTGTATCAAGGTTACCTACATCACTTGAAGACCCCCTAGCAAATTATTTCAATGAAGCATGACTGCTTGACTTAGACTATTTCAATAAAATGGTCATCTACATGTATCATGAAGGATACAATGTGGAACTCTGGGGGCCGTTTCTCGAAACTGTCATAAGTCTAACTTCTTAGGTGTCCCATTGAAACGTGTGTTATAGAATTCACACACGTTTTAGCGCCATGGGATGTCTACGAGCTAGACTTATGATGGTTTCGAGGAACTGGTCCCCTTTTCAATAAAGAAACAAACGTACAGTCAAACCTGCTTTAGTGATCACCTGTCTACAAAGGCCACATATATTGTTTCCCTTGAAAATGGTTTCTTATGGAATCATGTACTAAAGGAACCTGTCTATAAAGACCACCTGTCTACAAAGGCCACTTTGTGTGTTTCCCTTGGGTGGTCGCTATAGACAGGTTTGACTGTACATGTATTTCTCTTTTTGGTAGATTGAATTTTAAGAGTACTAGAACTGAATATAGAACCATTACACTATGATGACGGGCCTTCGTTGCTTGAGAGCATGTCTTCAGAGGACGTTGGGGGCATATCCATTGAGGGTGGAGGGGGCATTGGAGGGGGTGCTGGAGGCGGGGGAAGGAAGTTAGGCACCCCTCCTGATGAGACTCCGCTGGGAGGCCGTGGTGGAGGGGGAATGGGTAGGGGTAAGTTGCCCCCCATGTTTGGTGGCGGGAGGGGCATGTTGGGAGGAGGGGGCGGAGGGGGGTGTAGCCTGGGCATCGGGCCGCCACCCATGTTGGGTGGGGGTACAGGGGGCGGGGGGAGGGGCATGGAGTTTGGGGGAGGGATGGGTCGAGGGGGCATCATACCAGGCGGCATGGGGAATGGAGGGGGAGGTGGCATGGGCATGTTGGGGTGGAGAGGAAAGCGTGGCATACCGGGCGGGCCGAGAGGACCAGGCATCCCTAGGGGAGGAGGCATACCCATTGGGGGCATGGGGGGTACGGGAGGCTTCTCTCCAATATGGGGGGCTCCCTTCAGGGCGCTGGGAGGGGGTGGTGGAGGGGCTACCGGCTTAACTTCCATCTTGAAGTGGAACTGAAGAAAAAACTGCAAGTAAAAGACAAAATTAAACAAATAATTATATCAATTATTTGTGGGAATCATTCAACATCTTTCATAATGAAAAGACAAAAACTATATCAACCATGACAAAAACTCATATTTGCAAAGCTATAATTCATGTATAAGGATCTAGAGCTACATGTATTACGAAGACCCATGACATGTATCTCAATAAAGTACCCAAATTGTGACATCATACTAGCCAAGCTGGCTCTATACAGAAGAAATCATATTTTGCAAGAATAAAAATGTCTTCTTCTTCTTGATTTGATTTTTGCCACACACTATTTTATGAATTATTTATATTTATACATATGTACAATTTCATGCCATAAATGACTATTTTTAGGATTCTTTCTCTTTCCATCCCCTTTCCTTCTGCTTATTTTCTTTAATATTTATATTTTTTATTTTAGAGAAAATTAAATATATTAATAAATGTGTCTCACCTGTTTAGTTTCTTTGTTCCAAGAAGTCCAGAACTTGTTCTCACTTTTATCAACCTCTCTGCTAGGAACCTAGATAAAGAAAGAAAGAATTCAAACAATTTTGTTCAACAACAACATACTATACAGTAGGCTGTAGGACGGATAGTCAACCTGCTCGAAACATCGAGCCACTCTCGCCACTCATCCTCTCCAAGCGCTATAGTTCTCCTTAGAACTATAAACTAAGAAAGATAACCAACAGTCTTTTTCAGGACTACAAACTCTCAAGAAAGATTACTGAGAGTCCTTTTCAGGACTCCTCAATCCTCCCTCTCTCTCACATGGTGCACCGGCAAGCCTACTGTATATCTACATCACCATGCAAGCCGACACTTTCAAGCAGCATCTAACACAGGCCTTCTCAACTAGTTTATTAGAAGTGCCAAAACGAAAAGAATTTTTAGTTGAAGTGCCAACCTGTATGTTTGATTTTATTTCAAAATATATTAATCATAATTTCATACAACTCCTGGGTACATTCACACTGGAGAAAAATTTATATGTAGTTATTTTGGTGCAATAAACACGGGAATTGTCCAAATTAAGTGAAAAATCAAACAAACAGAAACAATACAAGATGTTTCCAAATATTGGCAATGTTAAAATTGGTAGCACATCATAAGCTTATTGTTGTTTAGAGCTCAGGTTAGTTAAGAGTCGTATAAAATAGTACAAAAATGTGTAAATTACCCTTTTTTCCTGTTTGTTAAGCAGACATTTGGGGTCTTTTTTATTTTGCTGAGTATTTAATTCTAAAATACAATTTTAGATATATATATTTTTTGCAACAGTCGCGCGCCACTCCGACTGACCGCAAGCGCCGCCAATTGAGAAGGCCTGATCTAACAACATAGTAGTGTGTGCGCATTCGTGTGTGGGTGAGCGACGGGGGTACAGCATACCTTGAAGGAGATGGTTTCATACGGCTCGGATGCAAAGAGAAGATACTGCCATTTCTTATCAGGAGGCTCAATCCTCTGCTCATAAGCCGACATGAAGCGATGCCTGGGGTAGGTGCCTTCTGCTATTTCTGGATAATCAATCTAAATAATAATATTAATAATAAAAATAATTAGATCAATATATATAGCACAGCTACTACAGTCAAACCCGCTTTAGTGACCACCTGTCTACAACAAGCACATTTCTTATTTCCCTTGAAAATGGTTTCTCATAAAAGGAACCTGTCTACAAATAATAATAATATTTCATTTTTATATAGTGCTAATTACAAATTTCTCTAAGCGCTTTACAAATATACTTTTACCCCGTCATTGCATTCAGTGCTTGCCCGCACACACTGTGTGCACAATCTCCACTCCCTGGGGAGCATTCCAGCCAGCCGTTACATGACGCTCAAAAACTGTTTGACCAACAAAGACCACCTGTCTACAAAGACCACTTTTTGTGTTTTCCTTGGGCGGTCGCTGTAGACAGGTTGACTGTAAATTAATATACTCTATGGCGCTATGATGAAAACAAAACTCCTAACAGTGCTACTTCACAGACACACAATAATAAAAATTATACAACACCTACGTGGATCCTTGTCATTTGATTGGACGGTTGTTGATCACATGATATTCAATAGATGGTATATTGCACGGTCGTGCATTTTTGGTTATATGTGCCGTGCATTTTTGGTTATATGCAGACTGCGTACCTCTCTGCTGCATGTGCGCGTATCCCTGCGTGTATCTGACGCGAAGGCAATCTGCATGTAATCGAGAAGGCTTGACTCGAACTTTAATTTATCTTTATAAGGAGTAAAGCATAATTTGTTGATTAACGTTCTATTAGGTCTTCTTCGATGTTGTATAAAACAAATAATGAATGTTTTTCATTCGTTTAATAGTGCAAATATGTTCATTCGTTGAAAGATTAACGTTAATTCTATTCAACTCGGCTGACGCCTCGTTGAATAGAATGTTAATCTTTCAACTCTGGAACATATTCACACTATTGAACTCATAACCATTCATTATTTGTATACTATTCGAAAGCTCCTGCAAAACAAGAGCGTCTTCAACAAAAATTTGAAGCCAGCAACAGATGAGGCTTTTGTCATGTCTAGTGGTAGGTTATTCCAAAACTTTGTATCGGCTCAAATGAAAGCAATCTCCAAGAGTTACTTTGTGAGGTTGCTTTAGAAGCAGCTTGTCCTATGTACTAAATGGGGAGAGATTTATAACGAGAGATAGGGAGGAACATAGCATATTTAGAGTGATAATTGCGGCACGCGTATCTACGTGTACATGAAAGAAAGATGAAGAGACAGAACTAGGGCCCTGCTTCATAAAACTTGATATCAATAACAAGTTACAAGATACGGTCCTAACCTACTGAAATCATGGCATCTCATTGGCTGAGAGCAAATTTGTCATAGAAATTTAGCAGTTGGAATATAGATAACATGTTTTGTGAAACGGCCCCAGGAGTTACTCACCTGGAATAACAAGCTTTGTTGATCGTTGTCCGAGTCTTTCTGCTTTGTTACTAAAATAGTGAGAAAAAAGCGTGAATATTATCAATCAAGCAGGGTGATGAACGCACTCTATTACGATGAGAACAAACTGTAACAAGAATCATCTGTGTGGAGTTAGAAGGGTGTCAACTAGCATACTTAAATAAAGAGTTAAAGAGGCTGTAGCATGAGAAATACTGGTTGACGCCATCTATGTCTTCTTTTGAATAACTGCATGTAAACGAATGGAATTGATTAAGTGCACTGAGGTAGAGGTCAGTGATTAACTGGGTCAGCGTGTGATAGCGTTCGCGAATGAGCGCGAAACAGACCAAAGTTATCCTCACGCTTCAGTTTTGCACGCACGTGAATACTGCGATCGCGCCGTCCGATTGGCCGTGAGGGCCACGGGAAAGACACATAGTTTCATCATGCTACAGCCCCTTTAACATCCTTCTAACTCTGAACGGACAATACACAGAAAAGTAATCACCTGGAGTCTTCCTGAATCCAGATTGCATACAAAATGATAAATATGTAACAAATTTCACATCCACGTATGGAAATATCAAATTATATCCAAAAACCATGCTCCAAAAAATATAAACATCTGAGATGCATGGCCGTATGTGTTATCAGTGTCTGTGATACGGTGTAATAGTGAAGCCCTAAACAAATTGCGCTTCAAAATGATCATGAAGTGCCTCAAAAAGTAAAAATCTTTGAGTGACCGGTTTTACCATACTCATTTTCCCCAATAGACTGTAGTGTTATAAAAACCAAATTCCAATCATAAATATCTTGATAATCAGACAGGTGAACGGCTTGTAAAAATCATGGGATTCCTGACTGACCTAAAGGTTTTTAAGTATGATTGCAAAATGAGCTAAATCCAGGATTTTGTTTAGAATATGAGGCAAAGATACCCGATCCCTTTAAGGAATTGAGGTTTTGTCACATTCATTTACAAATTTTAAGCAGAGCTCTTGTCCAGTTTCTATGTTTTTAAATACTGTTTACAGCATTCAAGAGCTCACCTACGCTCCTATGATTTCCTGTCACTGCTTTCTTTTATTAAACCTCTTTCTCTCTCCCTCTCTCCTTACCTTTGTAACCAGGCCTTCCAATCTTGACAAACTTTCTGATCTCTACTCTGGACTTTTCAGGCGCTGGTTGTGCAGGAGCATCTTTAGCTTCCTTCGCTGCTCTTCGAGCTCTGGAAGAAAATAAACATCATAAAACAAAATTCATTCAATTCATTCAATTTTTCAGACTGTATGGCACCATTTTAAATACATTCAAACCAGTCCATTAAGGCCACCCAAGGGAAACACAAAAAGTAACCACTATAGACAAACATCGTATTCAATATGTTGACACATCTAAATATCATCAGCATTTTTAACATGAAATCCCAACCACTAAGTATGAACATGGGTGTTAAAGGGGGTGTAGCATGGCGAATACTGGTTTACACCATCTACGACTTCTTTTAGACAACTGCAGGTAAACGTATGGACTTGATTAACGGTCAGCGCGCGCCAGCGTTTGCGAAACAGACCAAAGTTCCCCTCACCCTTCGGTTTCTTGAATACTGCGGTCGTGTCGTCCATAGTCGTATTATACCTGATCGGCTCGAGTCAGGCCACGGAAAAGACACAGTCTCGTAATGCTACACCCCTTTAATAGTATTTGATATTTTTATCAAACCACACAAGGTGCTCCAGGCTAACCAATATTACCCCAGCTCTAGCTAGGCTCCCAGTTTCGGTGCTCACAGCATTCATGGAATTCCTTCCTAAGTTCCTACCAGTACCCATTTAACATCTGGGAGGAAAATGGCAATTGTAGATTTATGTCTTGCTAAAGGTTGGATCCCATGACCTTTAAATTTGCAGTTCACTGTTTCAACCACGACTCTTCTAGTCTTCTACTATTGCAAAAACAAACATAATTTATCAATTTAAAGGCTTGTAGCAGTGGGTTCTCAAGGGGGAATAAGACACCATTAAGGGGGGCGTTTCACAAAACTTGTCATCAGTGACAAATGACAATTTGTGTTATAAGCTACTAATACCTTGCTTCTGATTGGTTATCAGCAGATTTGTCACTGATTTTTGTTATTTGTCATTGAAAAAAGGCTTTGTGAAACGGGTCCGAGGTGTTTAACCAGGTGTTGTCAGTCACAGAGTGGACTTCACTTTTATGACCGCCATGTCTTGTGTAATGCACTGCGCCTTAGCCTAATGCCGAAAATAATTCTTATCATAATATCAACTTTCCCTCATCCTCGAGATATGAAGGCAAAGTGAGTATTTTTCGGATGGGACCGCGGCTTCGCTGCTTGAGAGACCTGCGCTAATCATGATGCAATAGAGTGGTGAAGTGCGACGTCATCAAAAATCTATTCACATGGACACTGACTTCGGCTGCAAACTTTAGGAGACACGATGGCGCAGTGGTAGAGCAGTGATCTCATAACCGGGAGGTCCTGGGTTCAAAACCAAGTCGATGCGCTAGCACCCTTTTGTAAGGCATTAGTCATCATTACCAAGTCCCTAGGCCTGTCTGCACTAGTTTGGCCAGGGGGATTAGACCTCTATGCAAGGTCACTTACAGGTGGTTATCTCATCAAATCAGCTCTCAATTAGCATAAGAAAAAGGGGATCATGGGGGACCAACAGGCACTGATTAGGCATTGTTTGCTACATTATATAGAGGGCGCAAGTTGCTATACGTAGTGCAGTGGGGCTTAAAGGCCCTCAGTCCCCTGGTCGCTTACTTTATACAAGAATACACATGCTTTCTTAATAGCAGTAAGGTAAAACAATCCATCAAACAGTGATCTCGTAACCGGGAGGTCCTCAGTTCAAAACCAAGTCCATGCGCTAGCGCCCTTTGGTAAAGCATCAATCAATACCAAGTCCCTTGGTCCCCTGGTTGATTTCTTTGATACAAGAATACACATGCTTTCTTAATAGCAGTAAGGTGAAACAATCCATCAAACTTACAGATTAGATTGATGTTTCTTGCCCTGCGTATGTGCCAGGTAGCTGCCTTCGTTGTTGTGAAGGGTGAGACACAGCTTGCATTCATAAGAACCCAGATGGTTCCTCATAAAATAGGGATCCTATAAAAAATAAAACAAATTGTGAAAGATTAAGATTATTATGCACTTAGAAGATTGCAAACTGCTGGTTGAAAATAAGCCTTACCGCTTTCTTCCTTCACCTGAAGGGCAGTAATTCAACTCATACATACCAAATTTAGTCTGAACAGATCATTTTTAATGCATTGCATTACTGTATGACATAACATTGTTTGCTTCTGATCTCCCTTACATGTGCCTAATATGAGGGTTAATTTTAGTTACACGTTCATGTACATGTATACGTTTAGCTTATACACCAGCCAATGTGGAGAGCCTTTTAACAGGCATTGGCTGGTGCTAAATACCATACTGTTAAGGTTATATCATTTTATAAACCCTGTGATGTTTTCTTTGTATTGTTATCATCTTGCCTGGATCATTTTTTTTTAGAAAAATACATAGCACCCTTCTGGCTCCAAACAGATGATCCATTCACCACACTTCATATCCAGAGTCACCCACTAAGTTTTCTACCAGAGGAAATGAAGAGTTGAAGACCCCAAAATGGGAGGTCTTTACCTTTAGACGTACATACCTTGTTAAGATCGATGGTCTCTAAGGCCAGCTGTCTAAGCCTCTCTCTCCTGTCTCTGTTCGACTCTGACTGAGAGGCCACACCTCCTCCTCCCGTCTTACCCCCAGCTCTGTTCTGGAAGTCCATATTGATTGACAGCTAACAGATCACCAGGAACAAGTCTTTTAGAGAAAATATTGAAATCATACCAAAAAAATTAATATTCTGGGTTCATAGTTCATTTTATTTCTTCTTTCACAAACATTTGTACATAGAATTTCAAATAAAGTAACTGGAACAGTAGATTATCAATATAACAAACATAATTTGAAGCGCAATAGTAATGTTCAACATACAACTCTTGTTATCAACTAAAGAAATTCTATAAAAAAGTAACTAATGTATTAAAGGTCATATTCATACTGTGTTGCGAATCATTTTGAACAGACAAAATTGACCACCAAAAACTTGGTCCTACGGTATATTTCTCGCCCAGCTCTGAAATCATTATACCGGTAATTATATTCTGAGTGAAGCACTCAATACATCTACATGCAGGATAATGATAACGACAGTTGGGTCTTGTAAAATGCTCATGTCTGGCATTACAGCAAGCATAGTACAGTACATGTAGTCAATGCTAATTATGCGTATTGACCTCTAGCATTGCATACGTGCTCAGAGGCATCAATCACACACAATCCACACAATTGTATACCAATGCCCACAATGAATACGAAGTGCCTGATCGGCAAGTTTGACACTAGACTCAGGATTTAAATTTTCAAAATATTCTTTCTAACATCGGTAAGTAGGGTAGCGCGCCCAGTATTCGATCAGACAGCCGTTTCAACAGCTGTAACAATTAACAAAATATTTAATGAGCCGCGAAACTTGCACAAATCAGGCAGCTGAACAACTTTTCTCAACTCTCAAAATTAAATCAGATTAGCTCGAAATTGGTCAGTGTCGCACAACTGTTTGCACTTCTGCGTTCTGTTAGCACATGCGCTAACATGCATAGCCATATGTAGAAGTCTATTGCGAAACAACTACGTGTGCTGTCGCAATGAATTTAGTATGTGTGTGAAGAGAATCACTTCCGTGTTCACTCCATCGCAGCAAATTTGCAACTGACGCACTTGCCGATGTGCAAGAGGTATTTATACGATACTCTTGCCATGCGGTATCGCTCGTCCAGTATCTGGTCAACGCGGAATTGTGTGAAAATAGTGCGCAAATACGCTTCGCTCCTCGGCAACAAAGATACCACACACAAATCGCGTGACCAAATTATAATCAGCGTGACCGAATTCTGGGTAGAAAAATGCTCAGTCTTCTTTCGGAAATATTTTTCTTATCATCATTCTTTATTTTAAGTGACTATAAAATCCTGTTAGAGGAATAATTTTCTTTTCTTTTGATGGGTAGATTGCAAAATAAATAAGGTAGTGCTGTAGCCGAACCGCCGAACCGAACGGAAGTTCGCCGAACATGGCACTTCCGAACCGAACCGAACCGAACGCAAAGGCCTGGTTCGGATGTTCGGCAGAAAAATATAAAAGTTTTTGCAAGCTAATAAACTTGTCATTTTGTACCTTATTTTCATGCCATGATTGCTCATTTTATATTTACTTTTTTCCCATTTTCCACCTTTGTGATTTATGCCTATCCAGTGGTGTGCGCGACTTCACTGGGGCCATTTAAATCCCAAATCCTGACCATGCTACGTCGCGATCGCAAGCCATAAACAAGAATACATGTGCGTGATCAAAATATGTTCAGCTCAAACCCATTCAACAAAAAATTAATATTTTAATTGTAACAATATCGGACAAATTTTACAATATAAATAATGAAATAAATATATCTTATAGTATGGTATTTATTTATTCAGGAAAAATAGACCCCTAGGGATATTATATTTTTCCTATTAAAAATAAAAACTTATACAAAAAAGTTATTGACGAGCCTGAATTTCTATTCAAGATGCCAGCTTTCATGACTCTAACATTAGACAACAACCGTCTCGAAAAATCTTTAAAAAATATCATTTATTGACAAATTGAAAACATGATTCTTTTAAAATTGAAAATAAAACATGATTCAAGACGGAAATACGAATGTAAGTAGTATTTTTCTTCACAAATAATTACGTTTAGAACAGTTTTTAATGTGAAATTCGTACTAGTCGGAAGCAGTGTGCAGAGGTCCTCCGTGCTGGTCGGGCCCGGCAGGCTGGCCGGCCCGCCCAGTACCGACCGCCGTGGCTATAACGCTGCTTGCTATTATATTACTGAACCCCGAACCGAACCAAGTTCGGGTGAAAAATTGCCGAACTCTGCCGAACCGAACCGAACACGAACATAGCGTCTGACTTACAGCACTAAAATGAGGTAAGAACTAAGAATTCAAAATATTAGTGATTTCCCCTTAAGTGACCTGGTGACCGAATACTGGGCACTCTACCCAAGACTTGAAAAGATTGTGTTTTACTGCTATTAAGGTGGGCATCATCAATTGTCACTGAAGTACCGATTTTGAGTGAACTCAGATGAGTTTTGTACGGTGGTGTTTTAAATGTGAAGAAGAAGTTTTAATACACAGCCAGGATTAGGACCTAAAAGAGTATATGACGGGGTGACCAAAGTTCGCGGACATTTTAGAACATATTACAAAAGGTGATATTCGATCTATGATTTCTCCTATTCTACACAAATTTATTTATTTCAATTATTACCAAATGGACGGCAAAGTTTTTTACTACAAATTTGTTCAAATAGAAAATTCATCGTCGAAGTCGGTTGTCGGAGATATCGCGATCTAAAAATTTGACGTCCGATCGTGCGTGCGCGCTGCATCAAAAAAGTCATAAAAACAACGAGACCTAAGTTCACGAACGGGGGTTTACAGCACTCCAGCAAAGCATAGAGAGTCCATGCTAATGCGTACATGTATGGACCTCTAGCACTGCATGTATGTGGTATGCATGGGGTGGATTTTTTTTAGTATTAAGATCATAACATGTAAGACAAATACAACATAACATAGGTTATGTTATATTTGTCTTACATTTTACAGTATTTAAGATTATTAAATTATTTTTATAATAGAAAAAAAGAATTCAAAACTTTTAAAGCCCTTTTTCCTCCTTCTTTTACAGAGACGGCAGCATGATTCCCTCCTCGATTGCGATGACATCAAAACTGCGCACTTTACGCACACCATACACTGACTTCTACATGCGCTACAATTCGCCACAAAGACAGCTCGCCCCTGAACAACTCGACACAATACCCTCCCTGGATATCTCGCCACAATACCCTGGACAACTCAACCGTAGCAAGTTGTGCAGGGTATTGTTGCGAGATGTCCAGGGTATTGTGTCGAGCTGTCTTGGGGCGGGTTGTTTTTGTGGCGAGTTGTCTAGGCCCCGGTGAAAACATACGTGACTCGTGACCCGTGGCTCTTACGCAACATCTGACGGGTAGTTTTCTTATCTCGCAGACGTTTTCATTTATTGCTTTATCGCAGGTTTAAAGCACCTAGGCCTCTTATTCCGTACAAATTTCTAGATAGACTTTCGAAATGCTTATTATTAGTATCATTATTAATATTATTATTATTAAGACCCCAAAATTGCTAAATTGAATATTATACTTTGGAATTATATAGTAATGCTCCGCCACCTCTGTCGGCTAATAGTTGGGCTGAAATGTATACCAAACTCTAAAAACGCTCGTATGCAATAGCCTACCGCTGAGCTGTGTACACAACCGATCGCGTCCATATCAACATGCATATATTCGGAAGTAAGCGGTCGCGAACGGTCTTTAAAAAAAAGGTCATAAAATCCGAAAATGGCGCACGTTAGCTGAATTGCGGATGGGCTATAAGCAAACAAGTAGGCCAGATGTCTGGAAACCAAGGAAATTTACACTAATGAAACTTGTAAGTTCCATTCTTTATTTATTTGTGATGGGTTATATCCCATTTAATTAATTAGTAGGACATTTGAAAGTGTCATACCGCAGGCTTTCAAATGTGTCGCGTTAATGTGCTGGTGCCAGTGTAGACCGAATTTTCCGTCTCTTTCGTTCGTTAGCCTCTTATTGGGGTAGGGTCGGCTCTCTCTTTAGAGACGGAAGCCGTTTATACACATGTCCTTGCTAACGCCACGGCCAGTTCTGGTCGTAGCGTTTTGCCCCCAAAATCCCCCAAAATGTCATTTTACCTCGAGCATGTTATATTGTAAATTAGGCCTAGGCTATAATAAATCAGTTCCACTTACCAACTTGACTGAAATAATCAGTTTAATAGTCCCTTTTTAGGAAATTATGGGTCAAAATCGGAATCCATTTTTACAACATGGATTCCGATTTTGACCCATAATTTCCTAAAAAGGGACTATTAAACTGATTATTTCAGTCAAGTTGGTAAGTGGAACTGATTTATTATAGCCTAGGCCTAATTTACAATATAACATGCTCGAGGTAAAATGACATTTTGGGGGATTTTGGGGGCAAAACGCTACGACCAGAACTGGCCGTGGCGTTAGCAAGGACATGTGTATAAACGGCTTCCGTCTCTAAAGAGAGAGCCGACCCTACCCCAATAAGAGGCTAACGAACGAAAGAGACGGAAAATTCGGTCTAGTGCCAGTGTTGCCTGTTTTACTACACAGTCAGGATAGTGATGCTCCTATGTGTGGTTTACAGTTGATTTATCAAAAAAAGAGATCCATCAAAAATAAGGTAATATCATAATTTGCAAGACAAGATATCAAACAATCAGTTGGCACCCCTTTTTACTTACAATTTTGAGGAAATCTGCTCTCAAATTGAAGATTTTCAGACCCTTATCGGTAAGTTGATAATTTTTCGGAACGGACGCAAAAGATCTGAAGATAGCAAAAATTGCCGATCTTTTGTCAATATTTTCACAATTTCGTACCCAATCCCAAAGAAAAATTTCAATTCTGAGTAATTTTATGTTCCTCTTTCCATTGGTGATATCAGATTTTCGAAATCTTACTGATTTGTCGAGATAGCGAACTTAGGTCACGCGCGAACTTTGGTCACACGTCCATACAGCTAGGGTCTATGTGTGGGCGCGCAACCCTACTACTACTAGCAAACGTCAATATCTGCGTGTGGGACTCAAATACGATTGTGATTAAAACTTTCGCCACGTTAGAGCCTAGAAATGCATGATAACATAACAATAAACTCCGCATTCATACCCTTAATAAATAGCAAATAAAAAACAACACAAAAACGAGGAAAAGCGCCTCAAAATATAAATATTACAAAATTTACATCACGCTTACCTCGCGTTGCGTTGCGTTGCGTTGTCGCTTCGCTTTCGATTCGTTGCGGTTGGTATGGTTGTCAAGAACAGACAAAAACTGATGTAAAAAAAAATGCACTAAAACCGTAACAGAAAACCGCACCCCAAGAAATAACTTTACTTATTCCGAGATATTTATTATATTCTTGCCCATTAATCTACAAGATTCCCCTCAAAAGTGCATGAGATGATGATAGAGGTATTAAGCAAGAATGATGTACAGTTTCTCAGTACGACATGTAAGGCAGAGCTACAAGAAGTCAACATCATCTTCGTTTCACCAGACTTGTTACATCCTCTGATTCTTACAAGTACAGCTTCTTTCCTCGCACAACTGGGATCAACTTCCTACAAATATCATTGAGCTGCCCACATTGAAGCAGTTCAAGGAAGCCATCAGCTGCGAATAGTCACAGCATCATCAAATTTTACTTGTACCATAAACATCATAATTAGGCACAAATTCACACAAGCCATCCACCGTCGGCAGAAGATCACCCTTAATTGTCAGATGCTGAACAGGCTTTGCCAAGTAGCAGAATAGAAGTAGAAGTAGAATCGCCAATGTCTTGATAATGTTGCTGTTGTTTTAATCTTAAAGGCGGGTGGAGCTTAGCAAGTTAAAAAAAAAAATATTCATAAAATATTTAAAAATCTATGAAACAAATTCAGAAGTTTACATATCAAAATATGAGATGTATATGCAGGACCGCACACCAACAAGAAAACACTTGTATTTCGATTTCAACATGGGCCCTTTAAGTGAAAGTTAGAAGAAATACAAAACAAGAAAGATTTGAAATCTTAAATATATCACGGTCACTCAATCTTGTCATTTATTGTTAATATGCTCTTGTGTCCAAATAAGCTTTCCCGCTATTAGTATCATAAATTGTTCCACTACTAGTTACACCTGCTTACTAATTTAATGCTTACATTTTTAAAGAAAGTATTATTGAGAAAAACTCCATCTTATAAATTATATCAAATACGTATACACTCGATCATTGTTGGATGTACACCCTGTAACAGTAATATATCTGAAAACCGATACTTACAGCATCAGTTTCATAACTCAAAACAATTATGTATTTATTATAAGGTCGAGATATCTGAATATCAACATTTTAAAGAGTATTCAGTTTTATTCTGAAAACTAATCAATGGTTGTTCTTGTTTTTGGTCATGCACTAACTGTTTAGTACGGAAATATTCTCATAAACTTAAATCTTGTGAGTAGATACACTACATCTCAGTTTCAGGAAAGGAAAGTTGTGTACATCACAGAGACAAGGCGTGATGACTTCAAAGCAAAACAGAGCAAGGACAATCGACCCATAACAATTTTAAATGTTGATGTCAAGATAGGTTCTCAAGCCCTGGCACAGAGACTAAAATTGTTCTACCATCGACAATATATCCATATCAAGCTGGATACATGGGTGAAGCTATCAGAACAGTAATAGAGACCCCCCCCCCTTTTTTTTTTTTAATTCTAGAGTTGAACGAATTTCTTGAAAGTTGTGGTTCGTTTAATCATCAATTTTTATTGTAAGCGTTGAAGTGCTTTAATTTCGGAAATAAGACTTGCAACAATGTTAGTGTTCCTTATATGGACACATAGTCATAATGAATAGTATAACTTTAACTGTCCCCCCCCCCCCCCCCCCCCCCCCCCCCCCAGTAGAAAAAGGGGTCAGACATGGAAACCCTCTTTCTCTTTACCTCCTTATTTCATCAATTAAAACATTAACTACCAGTATCAGAATAGATCCACATAATTATCGAAGGCATGAAGCTAAATGCTTCTCAGGCAATAAATCTCTTTTTGTACGCAGTTATACAACTGTACTTCTTCATCCCATTCTGAATCATAATCTCAATGAAAAGCTTTTGCTTGGTGAATTTCAGTACTTTTCGTCGCTTTATTCGAATTCTAACAAGACAAGAACAATGTACAGAATCCACCATGCCTAATATACATCAAATTCATGAATGTTTTGACAATTCCTGGAATTGACTTTTCCTAAATTTCTGAAGATTGGATGGCACAAATCCAAAGTATTCTATCAAATATAAAATCTCAACTGAACCTGTGGAAAGCCAGACATCATTGACTGGACGGAAACAAATCAAATAGCCAAAAATGTTGCTATATCTGATGTGTCTGTTATCCATTAACTGAATAATTTTGTTATACATTTTCTTATTGGGAGGTCCAGACAGAATCAAACTTAGAGGTCCGAATTCACAAAGGAGGTTTGTCGACAAACCTTGGTTTTCGTTCGTCTTATGACGCGTTTCGACGCGTTTTTACAAACCAGGTATGTAAAAAACGCGTAAAAACGCGTCATATGACGTACGAAAACCAAGGTTTGTCGACAAACCTCCTTTGTGAATTCGGACCAGAGTGTTGGATATGGTGAAGGATTAGAAAAAGGAAAATCTAAAGATGACTTGTGTTAAATCAATTTTGCAAGCTCGGAAAATCAAATGGGTGACACGATTATTTGGTTTTCTTTGTATTTCAGTTTATTAACTTGCCTTGTTCCCCTCTCTTTCCATCTCTCTCTCTCTTTCTCTCTCTCCCCCCTCTCTCTCTCTCTCTCTCTCTCCCCCTCTCTCGCTCTCTCCCCCTCTCTATCTCCCTCTCTCTCTCTCTCCCTCTCTCTCTCTCTCTCTCTCTCTCCCTCTCACTCTCTCTCTCTCTCTCTCTCTCTCTCTTCCTTTTCTCTCTTTGTACCTCCCCTTTTCTCCCATTCTCTCTCTACCCCATTCGCTCTATCACTCTCACTCTCTTGAGCCATTTACCTTCCCCCGCTCTTGTATATCTCCTGCTAGTACATCCTTTCACTTAATGTACATAAACGAACGAAATATAATTCTGCTGTATTGTCATTATGTTACTGATTTATTGACTATGTTTTGTAATACTATTGTACATATATATATACATATACATCACTGTACCTTTGTAAATTGACCCGTTCAGCCTTGTGCTGCTGGTCGATCATTATATACTAATAAATAAAATCAATAAATAAACATAAATTTACTTCGAGCTCTACAGTTAGAAATCCATATATTTTGAATTATTATCACCGGTTGGTCCGTAATATCTGTTCAATTCTCATTTCGATGTTAATTGTTTGACAATTGTAGGATCCAAATAGTTAAGGGAAATTTTTGAAACACGGTGTTTTTTTTTAATAGAAAAACGATTTTGCCAACCGAAATATTTTGGAATAATAAATGTATTAGGTAAAATGGAAAAATCGATATTAAAATTAGAAATTAAAAAAAAGAGATTTGTTAAAAATTGCAGATTTGAATGATTGTGGACGTCCCCTAAATTGGAAAGACTGCAAAGAAAAAAATACTTAAATTCACTGAATATTTTGCATTGTTAGTTTTCTGATAAAAAAATACCAGGAGATTAAAAAAAATTCTTTTTGCAGCAAAACCAACATTCTGTGCTTATGGACCGCAAATCCGATTTCCATCTATTTTTTGTTGATTCAACATTCGAATCGTTGATATAAAACGAGGCAACTTTACGTTATTTGCATAAAATTAAATAACCCAGAAATTTCTGAAGTATTTACTCGTCTTAATCAAATGAACAATATTCTGGAGCCAAAAAACAGTGTTCAAACCTTTCATTTTTCCAGCAAACGTTACTATTGATTTCAGATTTCGCATTACATAATTTAGTACCAACTATGTTTGTTCTGAAATTTGTCACCCGAGATATTTTATCATTTATTTTTTAAAACAATTCTCAAACCATCTGCTTTCTAGAACTAAGTACAAGGGCGAAGAATTTCAATCCTGATAAAAAAATTGGAATTACTGAACCTAGAAGTCAAGCCTCTTCCGAATTTAATTTTCTTTTACATTACTGGCAACATTTTTTTTGGCGATATAAATATCAAGATGTTAATCCAGGCCTGAAAACATTAATATATCATATTGCAGCATACATGTCTACTGAGGTTTGTATTGCTAAGAGTAAGAACAAAATCGAGACGCATATTACAAAGTGCCAACATATCAATATGTTTTGGGGTTTCGGGTAAATCATTTTTCGGTTCAAAGATTTTAAAGAAATACGGGTTTTCGTTTTCTTGTTGCGTCTTGGGATGTATTATTAAGTTCTGTCATTAAATGATTAATTTCAGAGTATATATTGTGTTAAAATAAATAACAATGTGTATTTTAAAGTTAAAGTTATAAATAGGTACATTAAAATAGTATCATTGTTCATTTTCAATTTTCAACAGAACAAATGTAACACATACTTTGTTTATGTTCATGGTGTTTTATTTACAAATAAACATTTGGAGATAAACATAACTAAGGAGTGTATACAAAAACTAAAGGTACAATCTTTTTTTCTGACATCACATACAATTGTATTTCAGAAAAAATGAAATATAAATAAGTAACAAAAGTTTGTAACCCACTTAAGACAGAAAAATTAATCTTACCTGAAATTTGTCCTTGGGTATGAGAGGTATGTTGTACTACTGCAGAACGTAAGATCTTCAGCTGCCTTTGATTTGGTGTGCTGCAGTTATCAGCTTTTGATACGTGATTTTCGTTAAGTGTCATACCCAGTCACACCAACAAGAACGCCAAGAGATCGATAGCAAACTGGAAAAAATGGCATTACCTCGAATGGACATGTATGGTGAATCGGTCGTTTTGGAGTTGATGTGCATGGAGCTAGTCAGGTGTTGTTATTGACTAAGATACAATAGATATCTCACCATATGGTTTTCACTCCAAGTAGTGGCGGATCAAGGATTGTTAGAAACAAAGGAGTGATGAAATTGTTGTGAAATCAAATATTGTGCGAAGGTCTGAAAGGAAGCGGGGGGGGGGGGGGGGGGTAATTTGGTTTTTACAGACGTGTATCAATCAGATATGATTATTTTCATATGGGGACCGAACTCTTTAACGTCACCATCCAAAAGACGTGACACAGTTTCGAGCCGGGGTTGCCCGAGTCAGTT